CACGTGTACAAAGACTGACGAGCAGCTCCAATTTATCCAAGATCAGTTGCATGAAGAGATTCGCTTGGGTCGAGTGTCGGAAAGCTTTGGCACTGACCTTTACCCCGGAATGTACAGTGTACCAATGCACACTGTGCCTAAACCAAATTCGGACAAACTATGTTTGGTCGTGGATCACACAGCGGGTGACTATTCTCTCAATTCCATGATAGATCGAGATGACATCAAGGGTACGAAACTTGATGGACTACACTCACTCGGCGCTTCGCTTCTTCGATTCAGAGAACAGCATCCTAACGTGGAATTGGTAATGTTCAAATCTGATGTGTCACAGGCTTTTCGATGCTTGCCTATGCACCCGTTGTGGCAGGTAAAACAGATTTTAACGGTCCACGGTGAACGTCACGTGGATCGTAACAATAATTTTGGGGGCAGAGGTTCACCAAAAGTTTGGATCTCTTTCATGTCGCTCGTAGCGTGGATCACGATTCATCAAGCTCTTATTGATGCCCTTAAAACGTACATGGACAACTCATTCTCGTTTGAGATCGCGGACCAGGTCCTATACTACCCCCCATATGACTGCTATTTCCCCGCAAAACAGACTTGCCTTCTACAGCTCTGGGATGAGCTCAATCTCCCACACGAGTGTGCCAAACAGGTCTATGGTGCACCCTTGACTGTAATTGGATTTGACGTCGATCCAAACACCATAAAAACTTCACTTCCATCACATAAGAAGGCTGCGCTCGTTACCGAATTGTGTCGTTTTGCCGTGAAAAATCACCGCTGGTCACTCCGGGATTTTCAGCGGCTCGCAGGTTGGAGTGAATGGAGCTTCAATGTCTTTCCTCTCCTTAAACCTGGTTTGTCGGTGCTTTACGACAAGATCAGAGGGAAGACAAAAGCGATGGCGATGATTCATGTCAACAACGCTCTACTGTGTGAGCTTCATTGGCTCGCTGACCACATTGAAGCTTCTGACGGCTTACATTTCTACAAGTCATTGGATTTTGATCCAATTCAGGATGATGTCGTCGTTGCTTACACGGATGCGTCTGGAGTTGGAATGGGTTTGTGGTTTCTGGACGACAAGTTCGCATGCCAGTGTTATCTGCCGTGCGATGCCCCTACCGACACAATATTCTTTTTTGAGGTGTTGGCTGTGTGCTCCGCCATTCACGCGCTGGCAAATATGGACGAGACACCCTCCAAGATGCTCATCTACACCGATAACGCCAACACAGTATCCATGTTCGACTCTCTTCATGTGAAACCCATCTATAACTCTCTGCTTATCTCCACGGTTGATGTTCTGCTGAAGTATGATGTTGATCTTCGCGTACAGCACATTCCCAGACAGCACAACGTCATCGCAGATGCACTCTCATGGTTCAACAACGAGCACGTTGTAGATCTCATGCCTGATGTCCACATTTTTGACTTTCAACCCCCTCAAGACGCGCTGGGGGCATTGAAAAAATGATTCCTTGTGCTACGCAGTCCAAGCAACCCCAATGGGATGCTTGGACTCTCGAACACTTGCAACTCGAGCATTCCATTGCTTTAGGCTGCACTATCGAATCTACGACTGCTTCTGCTTACGATTCACATCTCAATTCCTATCTGAACTTTTGTCGGCTCCATAATCACGCGATTGAACCAACAGAAGATACTTTCTCGTTTTTTGTCGTATGGCTCTCACATCACATTGAACTGAGGTCCGTCGACACCTACTTGTCGGGCATTGTCAGCCGGCTTGAACCACATTTCCCGCGTGTACGAGAAGTCCGCAAGTCACTACTCATAACACGAACCCTTAAAGGTTGCAAAAAATGTCTCTCCAAACCCATCACCCGCAAACAACCACTTTCCGTTGACGACCTCACACTCGTAATCAATGCCTTTGCGCAATCTCAAAATTATGACGACATTATGTTCGTCGCAATGCTCGTAACTGGATACAAGACTCTCCAGCGCTTGGGAGAGTTAGTATGGCTTGACACATTGAAACATCAGTCTTATCGAAAGGTGGCTATGCGCCACACGCTCAAAATCACACTCCATTCCGCGACATACACTCTTCCTTACCAAAAGAACAGCAACTTGGGAGTCAGGTCCCAGGTTTTGCTGTTAGCAGAGCAAGGGACAAAGTTTGACCCTTTGGCACTTCTCAACCGGTATGTGTCCGCTCGTGATCATAAATTTCGCTATCATCCTCAAATCTGGGTGACTGAACGGGGCACCACTCCAACTCGGGCCTGGTTCATGCGGTATTTACGCTGTTTTTTCGGATCAGCTATTTCAGGACATTCGATGCGCGCTGGAGGAGCTACTTCTCTGGCGGCTGCTGGCGTCGCACCTGCGCTGATACAGGCAGTGGGATGCTGGTCTTCGGATGAATTCCACAAATACATCCACAAACATCCTTTCCTCCTTCAGCTTCTCATCCACGGGTCTGGGATATCATGACTGACCGAAAACATGACAGCTCTGCACCTTTATGTCTCGTCTCCGCTCATATTCAATTTCTCAACTTTGTGTCTATCTCGCAATTGTGGTTTGTGCCTCTTGATACTATTAAAAAAAAAACATAATAACCCTATAGCATTTTGTTGAGACAAGTCTCTCCCCTTTTCTCTTTTGTTTTCTGGTTTCCTGGCTCATTGCATTTTTCAGTGTTCTCGGCGACTGGTATTGTACATTAGTTCACACGAGTTTTCCCTTCCATGTACGAGCTGTCAGTTTTTGCTGTCACAATATACACGGTCCTCCGAGCGTTGAGCTGGAGGACCGGCTTGCCCTAAACCCTCAAAACAAGTGCTCTCTTCACCAAGTACAAGTTGATTCAACTGGGGTTTAACCACAGTTTAGCAATGTTAGGAAATTAAGGCATGACCTACTACACTCAGCACATGCTTGTTATGTACTTAACTATTTAATTAACACGAAAATAAATAGCCAAAGGGCCAAAATTGAAAAGACTGGAGCAGGCAGTCAGAAATCAGGATTATAGCACATCAACAACAATCTTCTGACTTGCTGACATGGGATGATGAGTGTGACTTGGAGACCAGTGGCCAGCCCTCGCATGGTACTACTGCTATATCCTTGGCCAGCGAGGAAGTGCATCATTCCCATTCATTTCGTCCCGTTGTGAGAGAGCTTATCGAGGATGTTGATGATGAAGCTGCCAATAGCGCTGATCATGGTGACAACGACAATAGCAACTCGCTATTGCTTGAAAATTTGTTTCACTATCCATTGGACACCGAATCAGCCACGGTCAAAGAGTTGATGAATTTTTGGACACGGTGCGAGGCACTGCGAGCATAGTTTTGGAATTGAGGTCACATTCCACAATCAACTCGCAGAAATGCAGAACGAAACGTTGCCTTAGATATTCATATTAGTTTTGCATGCAGTTATCCTCTGCTAGCCGATGATGCAACTGACTCCGAAGTCACACTTTGACTTTGACGACGGGAGTTCAACTTTTCATTTACAGGTTAACGAAGCTAAACCTCCTTCGTTAAACTCGTTAAGACGACCACTGGTACGAGTTGACACAATAGAACAGCCCTCCGGGCACCCCTGGACCCGTTATTTTCTCAACTATTGATTTGATGCCTTTTTTGCCTCATCCGATGCATCATCTTTCCTACCAATGCCACACGCCAATTGTACATATCATTCGTCATCATGCATCATCCTTCAATCCCAACTATTTTTCCATTCTCTTTCTTTCCTCTTCTTTTGCACATCGTCCAATCCTTTACTCGGGCATAATTCTTCCAATACACTTTTGTTTGTTAGTTTTTTTTAATCCTATGAGATTGCACTCACACCTTCACAAGGTAAGTTGTCAGAGAAATATCTGCTTCCGACATGTTACAGACTTTGTTCTTGTTTTCCCGTCTACTCTTGATTACCAGCAAATTTCCTTTGTGTCGTGCGATGTTTCTTTTTGGTCCGACAATGCTATCTGTTAAAACATTTGGAGGCAGGGCAGTGTGAGTGCTTTCAATGAACAGAGTATATATGTGATCCGGTTCTGCATTTGGAATCGTCGTCATACTTTTTAGGAGTCTTTGTCTGTAAGTGATGAATGTTCCTTGGTGATGTTGGTTAACCCAAAATGTAACATCCAGATCGTTCAAGTCGCACAATCTGACTACTCCTTGTTGCAGTGGAACATCTACTATCCATGCTGTTGCACTTGCGGTTGTGTAGAGTATTCCCTGATATATTATGGGATAACTCTAATCTTTGTTCAGTTTTGTAGAATTCTTCACATACTTCAATGCACCGGTTTGTGGTCTTGCATGTTAAACATTTGTTTGTCAATGCTGTCCTGACTTTCTGGCATAGTTTCTGGTGGACACATGACATTTTGTCCTACCACATCTTTCTGGTAAGGACATAATGGGTTATTGCATACATTATCCATGAGCCATTCAATGTCGCTGTTGATGATTGACTTCTTCACAGTAAATCAACTGTCCCAATCGATCACCAGAAACTCCTCATGGTTTTGCGTGTTTCTCCACAGTGTTGGGCAATTTGTATCTCATGCGCATCTGAGGAATGCTGTATCATTCTCTATGTGAAAACGACCGCTTCCTTTACTCCCACATCAGTAAATTTCCACACTCTGGACAGACCTGCACAGAACTAGACAGCGCACCAGACATACAGCTTAGTCCCTACTAGCTAGCTCACTACAGTAGCACCTTTATTTGTCAACATCTGTACATACACTCACAGACCCACCCAGCACATACAAAATAGGTCTTCAATAGCATAAATTTTCTCTGTATGTGTCTGTACAGATACTCACAAACTCGCGCATAAATGACTTCTGTAAGCTTCTGTACTGGACTTTGTCTTAGAATAGCACAATCAACAATAGATTGAATCACATGACGCAAAAAATGATGACGAACAAAACATATAAAATGATATATGAGGATACTAAGTAAGCACGGTAAATACGATGCTCAATCAAGCTGGATGCGGAGGTGGCAGCACTTTGATGGGTCAATGCCGTCGAGCTTACAGGACTTGGCCCTTGAGAGAGCAAAAAATTGTCAGCGCCAAAAATCGTAAAACGGATCTCGAGACTCACCATCCAGCTTCGGCCCGTGCATGAAGCTGCAGCACCAGCCTGGGACCATGATAAGGATCCTCCATAACTTCGCAGAGAAGTTGCAACATTGTAAGATAGATAGGTTTGTACTTCTTAGCTGTGAAGTTCAGGAAAGATTTTCCATTTCCGTTCTTAATGAGGCCATTGAAGACGCAATTGAACTATGAAAAAGTGTCAGCAGATCAGCAGCGTGCCAGTATCAAAAAAATACTGTTGTGCAGACAAGAGTGAAGCAAGTCAATGGTATCTCCTTCCGAAAGATCTCTGGTCGCCTACGAGCAATACAATAAGACCCGGTGTGGAGGAAAAGTATGGTGGCCTCATGAAGCCCAGGGTGAGCAAAGTTCCTGGTCTTCCCCAGCTTGTCTACTCCATCATGAAGAAACAAGGAATCATCCAGCCAATCCATAGCGGCATTTTGAACCCAAGCTGCGCGCTCCTGAACGGGGATGGTGGCTGGGGGGACAAGACTGTACACAGAAGGTGTGATGGCGATAGTGATCTTTTTGAGGTCGGAACACCATGTAGCTGAATCATCATACAACTAAAAAAAATGATATAAGGCACGAGGCGCATGACAACAGAGATATGCACCAGCCTTGACATGTCAGACTTGTGAGCGGGCCACACGTCTAGTAAATGCCCTGGTTAGCATAATATCTCGAGAGAAATGACGACATACCAGCTTCAACCTGACCACCGTTTTTGAGCCATTGTATGAGGGACACTGAAAGAGATTCAGTGACAGTGTACGGCAAATCCTCAAGCTTCGGGAAGGGGTTGTCTAATGCTTGCTGCGCACGACACTCTACCTTGGCATCCTCGAGGAAACTTTTCCAACGAGGACCGTACCAACCTAATTGTGTAGCATTAGACCCTTCAGACACCTTGGATTTTGCTGTAACTTTGACTGCCTGCATGTTTACCTTTGTGTTGCTGGTGTTTGTTTCAGCACGTCGGAAAAGGTCCAAGAGTTCAGGATTAGGCATCTGGGGATGGCCATTCTTCTGGTGGCGAAGGTTTAAGACATCATCCGGCTTGAAAGGGGAAAAAATTAGTGCACTCCATTTAACTGGTGGGCGTATACCTTAGGAGCGATCCTGTCATCCGCTGACGCACTACTATCACTCAAGCCAGTGCCAACAGATAAAGCTTTCTCCGCCATTTGGTCATCTTCATCACACGAAAATTGAAATTGAAAATCTGGGGGACGAGGGGACACAACCCGAGGTTGGGATGGTTGCTCTTCCCCAGAAAAACCTAGCACTAGTCAGTGTGATCACAAATGGTGAGGGTGAGGACTTACCAGGGTGTGCGCTATGACGCTGTGCAAAATAAATTCCCGACAACGGTATATGGAAAATAGCTACCTGTAGGTAAGCCTACCAAATACCTATGTGGGTCTTGCTTAGCCTAAGGCTAGTTCGACCCTAAAGGGGCCTGCTGTCTGATATAAGAATGATGGTTAGTGTCTTGTCAGTCAAGAAAAAGATAACCCGAAGGTCCAAAATGTTGGGTCCTAAGTAGATCGGGTAGTCCGATGTGCGGGAACTGCGGACTTGACGGGTGATAATGGTACGGGACAGACAATGAGTGGATATTGTCGGGAACAGATGAGAGGGATCAGAATAAAGGAATGGCAGAGGTTTGGACTATAAGGAGCGGGTAACTGGGTGTACTGGGCAAGGTGTCAAGGTGTCAAGGTATCATGGACCAAATTGTATTAGGGAACTCCCTACTACAGAAAGGTAAGGTATTTGTGAGAGTCCCTTGGTCCTTATATAACTAGCTATGTAGAAACTCAGAGTCCTATAAGCGAAGATAGCGGATAGTCCGAAGGTAATATGTAAAAGGACATGAGGTACTGTGGACTATGGGAAACACATGTAATAGCGCTGTCTACAGTGTCAGTCATGAGAATAGCTGACCACTCACCAATGGGGATGCATGGGAACGGACTGGACATAGGGATAGTCCGAAGCGTGGGAAGGTAGCAGGTCCTAAGGTGCGGGGTATCGGGTTATCATCGGGTCGGGTGCGGGTGATGTTAGGCATAGCAGGGAATGGATGGAAAGTGCACTGGTGCCAAATACCATCAAAATAGCCAATTGTGAGGCTAGCGCTAAGATGTTTAGTACAATGCCCCCCAACTGCCCCCCAACCAATCTGCTCATCTTCGTCATCATTGTCAGATGACTCGGAACTGTCACCCTTGCCAGAGTCGGAACATTCAGATGCTGTACTTTGTGGTCCGGTTGGCCGGAGGGTAGGGTCCAAATTCTGGTAAAAGAGGGTGTCTGCTGCCGTAGTCGAAGTCATCCTCAAGAACACTGGTTGTGACAAATCTCCACCACTAGCGAGACAACTGCCAGAAGGATTAGAAGTGATGATAGGAAAGTGATGTTGCAAGGCATCAGAGGCCACATGTGTCTCCTTAGCTGCAGCTATGAAGGAGTTATTTAGCATCTGGAGGTCAGGTTCCGTGCCAGGGGGGACAATGGGCTGAGAAAATCCAAACCGTCCACCATCTTCACATTGCAAAAAAGTGGGCTTGTTGCTCCCCGACTCCATGCTCAGGGGAGGAGCAACAGTCTGCGTAATAACAAATTAATCATTGATAATCCATGATCGAAAACTCACCTTTGTCTTCGGCCGTGCTCTGGGAATCTTGGCATTGGGAATTGTGGTGTTGGGAATTGTGGTGTTGGGAATTGTGGTGTTGAAAATTGGAGCATTGGGAATTGGAGTGTTGATCATCATAGTGTTCAGAATTGGTTGCTCCGAAATGTTGTATGGGGGAGGGGGCTGCTTTTTCTGCTAGATGATTAGTACAGTTAACTACAATTAAGAAAATCTACCTTTGAACAACTACCACAATCCTTGTGGGGCAGTTCGGAAGCAGCAGGGTTTGCAGGAATATTGGAATCAAGAGAGTTAGAGCCTTTGGGCTGGCTAGTCCGCGCTGGAGCATCCAAGATAGCGTCTAATCGCTCTAGTTGAATGTTCCTGTCTCCCTTCCCTGCACCTAGACATCCTGAACGTCGAGTTTGTTGAGATTCATCCACAGTAGAAGCCGTGACCGAGGGTGGAGGTACTACTGAGTGCTGAGCCCGTGTTCTCTTTGGCTTGGCGGCCTTGAGATCAATGTTGGCAGCTTTGCGCTTGGTACACTTTTTCTTCGGGCTATCAGGAATGACTGAAGAACATGAATTGAGCTCCCAAAGTGACAATCAACGAAGACTCACCTTTTAAGTCCTGGCTGCTGAGGGCAGATATGAGATAATAATGAACTCATGGCGAAAAACCGACTCAAGTCCTCCAATGTGATCTGAGAGGCAGCGTCAAGAAAGTCCTCATGTGCGACGGTGAGTCAGAATGAAAGGCGCCTCATGTGCAAGGGTAGAAGAGCACAATTCTGACTTTACCCTTTGCAAACTTCATGTCCAAATTACATCATCCAATCTGACTTGAACAGTGTGGGAATCTACTCAGCTGACTGTAAAATCTGACTAGGACAAGACCAACAAGATTAAAGATTGTACTGACTATCGTGCACATCATGACATACAAGTGAGAAAAAAAATACATATTATGTAGTTCTGTTCCACTTGGGCTGCGGTGTAGGTTCCATCGTCCAGATCCGACCCCCATGTGTCACGTCATGAACTGTGATTGGCCCGGGTATCTCTACTATATCACCGTCTGACAACTTTCGCTTCGAGCTTTCGCCACCAACTGGAGAACTTGAAGTATCAGGCAGTGGGAGTCCTTTGAGGACCTTCCGTGCAAACAGAAGCTTGGGGGAAAGCTCCTGTGGAAGTCTGGTGAGGTGGTTGTCCAGAAAATCAAGGATCTCCTGTAAAGTTATTGTGTTCGATGGTCCTTTATTCCTGATCAATTTGTACCATTCCACCGCGAGCAGGATGAGGTTTTTGAAATAGGGGTGGAATTGCTCCTTGAACTTGTGCGCATGCGAATGGTAAAAGAACATAGTCTTCTCATCGTTGCAGGCCTTGAATGTGGTGGCAGACCATTTGTGCAGTAGCCAGTCATGGCTTTTGTCAAGGACACGCTTAACGCCAAGGGGACCCCTGTATCCAATACAGATCCATATGAAGACATAGAAGACTGACTCAAGATCATCTTCATAGCGGTATATGATAAGGCGGGCTTGAGTCACATGGGAACTCGAAGCACACTTCATGCTGTGTTCAAGGGTTGCAACACTGCTGACAGCCTCGGAGAGCTGGAACAGGAGCGACCGTGACATGAAAGGCAATGTGCCCTAATCATTGTTGTCAGTATGCGAATACATGCTCAGGAGAGTATAAAACTCACTGTCCCACCTCTAGCGTATTTTTGACCTTGAGCAATAAACACAGTAAACTCCCAATCAATTAAGGTTCTGTGGGATCCATCACCATCGTCTTCGATCATTGAATTGTTGAGACTGCAATCGCAATGAAGAATGCCCTTCTCTTCCACCACCGTCTGTTGAACTGAAATATCGGGTCAGTTGAATATAAAAGTGGGAGGGTATTGAACATATACTTACTTTTTATGATGTCCCAAATGGCGCCCAGCAACTCTACCTTTGTCCAGAACATATGTGAAGGTCATGCGCGAGGCTTCAACACCAAATGAATGTGTGTGCGGATGACACTTTGAATGCTATTCAACAGCTTGTAACGATATAGCCCCGTTCCATCAACCTCCCCAGGCCTAATCTCAACCAGCCAACGGTCAACGAGTTGCGGCACACCGCGGACACCTTGCATCGCCTGCAGCATCGTGACCTCATTCAAGGTGTCATCTTTACTCCCAAGAACCCAATAGTCTTTGATTATATATTCTTCGTCATCCCTCCGTGCGAGATAGCAAACGGTACCACAACCTACAAGCCCCTGACTAGAAAATATGACTTCAAGAATGTTGTACATGTGATTGCAAACTCGGATTTGGCAGATTGGATTTGGATTTGGAACATGAAGAGGATCGTCAGGGATATTTAGCTGATGCACAGGACGAGGATCATCCGGGATATCTTGCTGAGGAGGGCCGATCTCGGGATTGCTTTGGGGGGGGCTCACAGGTGCATCGTCGATATGGGGGAGGGGGGGCTCGCAGGTGTGTCATCAATCTGGGGGAGGGGGGGGGGGGCATACTAGTGGTCTCAGAGACATCTTCGGTCTTGGGGAGGGGGGGGGAGATGCCCTCTATGATGCCTTCCATCGTGTCCGGTGCATGTGATCTGGTTATACTGGGGCAGAGAAAAGTTGACGTGCTTTTGAGTTGGGCAGGTCGCAGTGTCTTCGTGAAGATGACGATTGAGGGATCGTACCCCAGGCACTCAAGTTTACCAAAGACAAGGCACAAAATATCAAGTAATGGTTGGGGTGGGTATTGATATTGATGGGAGGTGTTACAACAGCACCTGAGTGGTCGTACATATGGACTTGAAGTTCGTGATACTTTTTGCTCATGGACATAAGCAAAACAAACCATCTCCAAGCAATTGAGCTCGAGAGCGGTGAGTCTGTCCAGTGTAGGCACATCATTGACAATGGGTGCCGACATCAGTGATGAGAGCTTCATCCCATAATCTATGGTTTTGCTGTGTTCCCCAGCTGGTGCCATGTCCTGTCGCACAATAGAAAACAAAGATGCCATTCAACATGGTACTATCTCTACTATGTGGGTATTTTTCGTGTATGAAAATGTTGCTTATCGGGTACAAACTCAGCGCAATTAGACTGACAGCACAAAAAATATATTTTTGTCCCAAAAATAGTTTAGCCAAAATTTGGTGGTGTGCTCCATGCTGTTGTAGGCAGTGAAACACATATCCATAGTGGCACCAAAGCGGGGGACAAGATGGACAGGTGCTCTCAGCTGAGAGACCGGAATGATGTCCCCCATCCGAGTGCCATTAGAGTGCTTCAATCTTTTTAGCATATGTAGCTGACTAGCTGGATCGTGTTCGCTCGAGATATTGAATCATTCGATGTAAGTGATGAACTGATCTGTTCATGACCATGGTGTTCCACGTTTGCCAATAGGCCGTATGACAAGCCTGATCTGGGCTACGGAGTGACCTGTGGAGCTCATTCTTTAGTATATAGTGAATATTGCAATGAGAAACAGAAATAACGCACCTGAAAGACCACTGCTAGGCCATGACTGCTCTGCATTGGTCTGGATAATGACTGTGTCATAATGGCCTGAAGTCCAGGGGCCACTAGGTGGTGCACAGTTTAATGTCTGAGCTGGGCGGGTATTGTGGACATCATGAAAGTCCGTTTCTTGTAAACAAATTTTGAACCACACTTGAAGCTTATCGAATGGAAGTTCAGCATCGGGTCCAGCTCTTCTAGGACCACCAATCACATGAACACAGTGTCCAGATGTCACCTCACGGTGAAGAAAATCAGCGAGAACTGGGCGAAGGTCTGGTAAGTTGAACATGATGGCAGTTTCATCGACGCTAATATTCCTAATGGAAGGACCATATGCAAGATGGAGGGCAGTGCGGCCAACAACGAAAGAGTGTAGTGGGACGGGTTTCAATTCTGCTTCCTTGTGCTGTAGCATTTTGGTGATTGTGAAATAGTCTGTGACAGGACGTGGCTGATCAGGTTGTTGAGCCTTGGACGGAGAATCCATGGGGACAATGTCCACGTCCGCGTCAATGTAGGTGTCCTCATCTTTGTGTTCCTCTCGGACAACCTCCAGATCCTCAACGCTCAGCTTGTGGTCCAAAAGACTGGTGGCAAGACCAAACCTATTGCACTTATCAGCACGGTCAAGAAAACGACATATTTGCGGATCATAATTATTGTTGTTGGTCGATCTTGCAGGGTCTTTGACCTCCATGATGTGCGCATGTTCGGTGGCATCAGCAGACCACTGTCCTATAACGCCAGAGCTACGGATGCTAGGAACGATGTTCTGCATTAGCTTGAGCTTGGGTATGTGCCAGTTGTTGATGGCCGTATTGCCTTTCCCCCGGCGAACACCAGCGGTGATGATCACATGCTTATTCGCATGGAACTCGTCCAATGCAGCCGAGATGCAGGCAAGATCATTGTCATCAATGCGTGGTGACTGCACAAGGTAACGGAAGTGCATGAGTGTGCATACGGAAATCATAATACCAGGAGGCATTGCATCCACACTGAGTGCGATGATCGATCACTGAATGTCTCTATGACAGTGACCGGTAACTTGTTTGAGCTTCAATATGCCTCCGTGAAAATGCCGGTAACCAGTAGTGGGCTGTAAAATTGAGAACCGAAAATCTAATTCAGAATCTCCTACAGTGCTGGTAATCCATTGGACGTCATGATCGTAAAACTACTTGTGAAGGTGGTGCAGTGATTCAGGTGTGAAGAAATGGGATGGTTTGGCTAGTGGCCAGTCACTCCAGAATGGTTTCTCAATGCCATTCAGGCGGAACTTCTGCGCTTCACGGAAGAATGCCTCAAGGTTATGTGGGTCAGCATGTGAGTGCACAATGTCCAGCTGTGCAAGAGTTGTTGATTTGGTCCTGGGTTCGTGTCAAAAGGCATCCCCAAACTGCTTGTACATGGCCATAGTCACTGGAGACATCTTTCCACCAATGCATGTGAGCATCATCGCTTCCGGGGTATCGGCAATGTAACTAGCAAGTGGAGTGAAGCAATAGTGACTGCGTCTGATTGGATCTACACCATGATGCCCAGCCGAGCAGCCAACTTCAGTGGTTCTAGTACAACATCCAAGCACTGGTGAACGAGCCAATCCTGCAACATGCCCTTCATCTGTTTCTTCCTATGAATGAATTTTGGCACCAGAAGCAAGGCAGTGAGGAGGAAAGTGTTCGATGATGATTTCAATTGCGTATTCATGTGAATATTGGCGAGGCTGATAAGTAACAGATGGGCAACACAATCACCTGTCAATGCAGTGATACACGTCTTGTCTGAGGATAGAATGATGCCGAGGAGAGTTGCACCACGAGGTAGCTCCGACTTCAAGAATACATGAGGTGATGACTTCGAGGGGGGCGTAATACGAACCTGCATGTCCCAAGCATGTTCCCCTGTCATCCACTCAGTATATACCCGAGACAGCTTCTGCGCTGTGGTATACACTTTGTGAGGGGTGAGGTCTATATGGTCGTGAAATAACGGATGATTGAAAATACTGGCGATGCACTCAAGCGGATCCCTCCAGTAGAGAACAACCGGTGTCTTGGTGGAATGGGATGTAGGGATTACTTGCGACTTCCAACGTGGACTGCCCGGCACCATTTCAGCTCGACCTCGTAACTCTTTGGCTGAATGGAACGACAGAGGTAAATCATTTATCTAGGCGCTCCCCAAATCAAGCCATCATAATGCATAGGAAGGTTAGAAACTGACCATCTCCAGCGACAGGAAAGAATCTATCTTGCCCATACTCAGGCCCGAATGCAGAAGCCATGATGCAATCTCCCATTCCCTCCGACTGCTGAATGGATAATATAGGTTCGTTTTGTGATGGACACTGTTTTCATCAGCATCAAACAAGCTCAAGAATGTGTAGCCCTCCTCAAAGGCTAGAGGGGGTTCAGGGAAATAGTCAGTTACTTCAACCTCACAGTCCATGCCCCAGTTTCCACCTCCGTCAAAATATTCTTCTTGTTCGTGGTAAGAATTCTCTCCTTGCTCACTGGCATGGTGAGAATCAGGAGGTTGGCCGGTGCCGTCTTCGCTAGGTGGGAGGGTGGAGTTGAATTTGATTAACTCATCTAGCCATGTATTGCACCCAGACCGTGGTTAACTCATATGACGAGCAACGGAACTGTGATCTGTGAATTCTTTTCCACACAATGGACAATGAGCTGGCGGCATGCTCATGGAGAAAGATGATTGCAGAGAAAGACAATATACTTAACACATATTTGCAGATTCAGCATTTTCCGGGAGTCCATTCTTTCCATCATGTTATCCTTGTCACTCAAGTTTAACCTTGCTACTTTGCAATCACTATCAGCAAGCGCTTTCTGCTCTCACGCTGCCCCTCACGTCCACGATCAAAATCGTGATGACAAACACGACGGTAGTGGTATACGCAACCTATATGAAGTTCTTGACGCTGTGAATGCTATGGTGAGTCGTCCTAATATGACATCCATCATTCTCATGCAATTTACATTTTATTTTCGATATAATCTGTCCAGCCACCAACTGAATCCGAGGTGAAGATCATGATGAATCTCATGAGAGCCAAGCACGATGTTTACTGGGCCCAAAAAATACTCGCAGATTGTGTAGTGCAGGAAAACGAGGCATTCACAAGCCTGCTGAAATTCCGAGTGGAAGCTGCTGAGAAGAGGCTAGATGATACAGACCTTGGGCTGGGATGTATGAGGATCGTTTTCAACACACATGGTTGGTCTGTCCCTTCTAGTCATCTTCCTCAGGGACAGGGTGGATCACATTCATGTGGTAGGTGTGACACACTCTCTGCGCTATCATTGGTTTCTGACTTCTAACACCACTTTACAGGTACGACATTGGATGTCTCACATGGATGGTGTCCCATGGTTCAGCTTGATTGATTGTTTTACCTTACTAGTAGAGTATCTGATATCTTCATGTCATGTTGTCCTGTGCTGTCTTCATTATGATCGTGTTATGTGTTGTATGCCAAGCTCATGTATAGAATTTGCATCATTGAATCAAGTCCATTGTGTTATATCGTGAAGCCTCAAACTTAACTTGATGTTGAATTGTATTGCTAATTTTGTGCCAGTACATTGATACACTAGTACTAGTACTACACTTGGTACCACCAATGTTTCAGACTTGTGTGAAATCTGTGGGATTTCGACTGGAGTCGCTGTACCACTCTGTGCGCTGTGAACCTGTGACTCTGTCACATCTGTGAGACTGGAGATCGCTGTATCACTGTGTGCTGTGAAGCTGTGACTCTGTCACATCTGTGAGAAAATTGCTAGAGCTGCTGTATCACTGGAGTCGCTGTATCACTGTGTACTGTGAACCTGTGCGAACTGTGGGGCCCTGTGACTCGCTGTTGAAAAACCCAAAGTTTGTCACCTCTGTGAGAAAATTGGACTTTACTGATGCAAAGCATTGTCCTTGTAACAGTTTGTTCCCTTTGTGGGTCGAATATCCATTCCATTCTAATGTCATTTCAGGATAGAATGTTGCAATTCCTCCTGGGGTCATCATTGTCATGTCAATGGTGGTCAGTGCCTCCGTGATTGGTTGTAATGCATCCCATCCTCTTTTAGTCTCCATCAGAGTGATTATCTGACCATTCGATGTGTAAGTTTTGAATCTTCTGCTTCTGTCTTTCATGACCAGATGAACAATTATTGATGTGGGCGTGTATTGCAGGTCGTCCAATATAAACTTTTCCATCAACCACCAGCCTCCCATTGCGACAACGATGTTCAAATTCCTTGTCGAATATCATGGTGTTCCAAGTAGCATGTTTATGGTGCACGAACCTGTGATAATACCACACATGTTTGTTAACACTTGATTAAACTTGTTCAGTTTTTGACGAATATACGGTTGCAGGATAACTTCATATTGTTTGGTTACAATGTCCAATGTGCAGAATCTCACAGCACAACACACTTGAGCGAAACATATAAGCTCCAGCATAGGCATGGGTTTTAGAACCATCGCTATGAGTTCACGTGCGTCCAAAACTGTGTTTAACGTGCTAAGTTGCTTTCTGTTCTTGTGTTGTTGATAGTACTTACATCTTTGAACTGCTGACAGTGATCCATTGTGTATGTTGTTTGCCATGATGCGACACTGGAAGGAGCGATTAGAGTTTAAAAGTCCAGTTGCAAGACCGAAAAAAGACCGCAACCAGACTGAAACCAGACCAAAAAAGACCGGACCTCAGTTGCCGGTTGCCTCAGGTCCAGAAAAGTCTGGTTGCAGTTGCCTTAACACTGCTAAGATACAAAGGTTGTTAAGGTCCCAAGTACTAGCACCCGCAGGATCTAGGATGTTGTTGGGACATGGTATGACACCGAGTAAGTAACCTCCTCCGTGCTTAAGGAGTAGATAATTGCGTATTTTGGCGGACCACATGCCCCAGTTGTTCTGGCCACGATCGAGGAGCTCGATCTTCTCGAGATCGGTGTAGCTCAGAGTGATGGCCGTGATCTTAGAAGTCGGCATTGACATCACTGTGGTGATCGGCCCAGCCCCATGTATGATGGGTGTTTGGAGTGTATTGGTGTGGACGGATGGGCAGATCGTAGAAGCGGATGAAATTGGCTTGGGGATGCTCGTGTTGGTACTGTTAGAGTGCAAATGATGTTTTGCCATGCCAGACAGTGATGGTGAGAGGGAAAGAAAGTGGGTGAGGAAATGATGTGATCAGCTCGTTATTTAAGTTGATCGATGGCTGTAGTTCAGAAGTGCTTCTCACTCAAAGAAGTAATATGAATGACGACTTGATGACATCAAATTAAATCAGCGTGTATCACTGCATGTCGGTGATGTGAAAGCCCCGATAAGTGTCTTATTGTGTTGAAGAAGTCTAGAAGGTTTCCGCTTGCTCGGTTTTCGAGTGAGCAGGGCTCATAACCTATTAGGACTAGACAACAGTCAGACCTCAGTCGTTATCAACGGACTTGATTATTATGTAACTAGACAACAGTCAGACTATTGTAGTGATGTTAGCGTCTAGGTATCATAATGATAAATAAGAGAACATACCCTCAGTCGTTATCAACGGACTGAGGAAAGAGGGAAAACCAAACAAGAGAACTATATGTAGGGGGTTTGTATTCCTATGCAATACTTACTCCGCTGATCCGTGTCACGTTGGTCACATGCATATGCATGCCGCAATAACGAGCTCAAATTCAGAATCAGCACTCCAATGAAATTAACTGCATGCAGTTTCAGTGGAAGTGACTCTGAAACATTCAGCATCAGTGCATTTTCCAGTGATTTTCATTGAAACCACTATCCACAGTGCTTAGCTGCTAAAGAACCTCAAACCTCTTTGCGGTGCACACGGCCCCCGTACACTACTATGACTGGACTTGAAATAGGAAGTTACTATTCTGAACTCCGCCATCGTCTCTACAAGATCATACATGCAGGATTTGCGCAAAGTGCAATGACTTTCGAGAATGTTGGACCACCGTCCCTGATTGGCATCGCCCTATTCATCCTTGATGTGCTTCTGACTTTCTTCATTTTGAGTACCAAATTTTGCGGTCATCAGCAAGATAAAAAGTAATGACATTGTTACATAGAGCAGGTAGTATACACTGTATATTCAACGGTATTGTACTGGAACTAATGTTCCAAGGACTGATAGTGATTCAAGGACCGCGGTACATGTTTATGCCTCGAGCGACTATCCTTGGACGTACAAACCTTCTGAGTGGGCACTGCAGGCCGCTTGCCACGTTTCATCACCGAACTTGATGTCGGTACTGAATTTATTGGCACTTATGAATGCTTCCAGTGAGCAAGTCCCATATAGGCGATCTTGCTCGGTTTTCGCGCAATTTTGCAATGGATATGTCTCGTCGTTGAGTACGAGTCGAATTTGTGGTTTGTGGAATCTTGACGGCGAATGAGTTGTCAAATCGTAGCTCTAACGAAGGGAAACATACGACTCTGTGCAAGTGAAACGTTCCCAGATCATTTTGGCAGCAAAGGGAGTTTGATACGATGTTCGGAATTTTCGGTGCTGGGGTACTCCATGTGAGGACAGTGGGGGATCATCTCTGCAGATGAACGCATGAAACGGAGTCCTCGACTATAAGCATAGAAACGTACCTATTGAGGTCTAACGCAGCCAGCGCAGTTATTATGGTAGCATCATGTCCGAATTCGAGATAGAGAGACTGGTCTTCCTCGCCAGTGTCGGAGAATCTAACACACGGGTTTGCAAAAGCTATCTTGACTTGCGTCAGAACGTACCTGTTGATGAGTGTGTTGACAAAGACACTTCCCATGACACGTCCAGCATCATTGGGTGCCTGGTATCCGATAGTTGCGACCATAAAGAGATCCATTTCGTACCTAAGCGTGATGTCAATGTCGCGCCGCTACAACGTTCAAATAGCCTTACTCGAAATTTGCAAGTTCTTCCGCATCGAAAACATTGCACCACGGTGACTCATCCCTCGCGGCTAGGTCATATGCGCATGCATACAAAGCTCCGTGCGTGTTATCATCAGTCAACTTAACGCCATGAGGAAGGAGGCCATTCAAGCGCTCAGTGATATCAGGGAGGTACGAGTCGGTCCACTCCTTTACCAACTAAGCAGCCAATATATTATTATGCAAGGACTAAAGAAACCCAGTTACTTACCTCAAATGCGGGTTGATAATCGTAAGAACACGAATTCCAAGGAGTGATCCAAGACACTGGACCGGGCATGTCATCAACTGTAAGTAGCTCCTTGTCCTCGGCTTCGCGACCAAAACGTCCCTGAGCAAAAAAGTACATGGAGTCAATCACTCTTTGTACAGTGCTGGATAGTAGTCTTTCCGTGGTGAAGTCCGGATACTTCAACCCGAATCTAGACGGCGGCACATTAGTGCAACTCGATAAAACAATGGAGGAACAAGCGCACTCCACGCCATGGTTGAAGAGCTGCTGACGCCCAATGATGGACAGGCTTTCTGGATCTAGATGCGATTCGTATCCCTTCTCAGTCTGGAGGAAATGGAGGTTCTCCGGCAGATCAGCATCCCGTATAGCCTCGTGATGCTTCTTCAGCGTGTCGACAAGGGAGTCGATCAAGCGCGTTTCTTCCTTGCCAGCAGGCCCACGAGAGCCATGTCTGTGCATCTGCAACTACGTCAGATGCGCCCGCTTCGCAAGGAGTGACTTGGCCATACCAGCATCACTCGATCGACACTACAATCACCAGGTAACTCTGCCTCGACGTCGCGAGCAGGGGCTACACGGTACGGAGTTAAATTTCCAAGTTTCTTGAGAGGGTCATCATGTTTATGTGAATTGAGCGTTAGAGATGCTAGGGTGAGCCAGTTTAGAACGCCCGGAATGAACATCGTTGGGAATCCTAAGCTGATGTGTCTTTGAATCAGTTCGGTGCACTAGGTTCTTATATGCCCAGTTGATTGCCCGGTTGGGCTTACAATCATTCCATGATCCTGCTCGGATGCGAGAAAACCCCAAAATTCGGTTCTGCTCGGCTCACGATCATTCTCCAGGCTGGAATGTTACGTTGCGAGATATTGCATAACTTGGACGGTTTGAGCTTAGTAGTGATATGCAACAGTTTTCCCTTCAGACTTGGCCAGGGAGCCCACCCTGCATTCTAATGTAACGTTAACTATTTTTCGATAACAAAGTCATATACCGACCAGATGTCACCATATCTGCACTGGTGAACGGACGCTTCCTGAAGATTGAAGCACGGGAACCTCAAGAAGTTTGCGATTGCCAATCATTGTTTTGAAGTATCGCGTTGGCTGTGGACTCATGATGGTCCTAGTAGAATCATGAGCTGATCCATGGCATCAATTGGGTCCAGGATTAGTAGAATTTATGCATTCTCCATTTCGTGCTTTGTTGTCGTGGGGCACGCTGATCTGGCGGGGGAGGATGACTAAGCCATTTCGTGCTTATGTAACAGATCTAGGATCACCTGACTCCTTGGCCAGCAGGATTTGTGCAATGTATGATAATTTTTATTAATTATAAAAGTATACAAAAATTTAACTTCAAACTATGATCTCAAAAAATATAATTGATTTCAAAATCTGCTATGATTATTAAGGAGTTGAGGTGCTGCAGGCACCTCCCAAAGGAGCGCGAAGCGCTCCGCTGCCTTCCTGTGCCGAAGGCACAACGGGTGTGGACTCGTACATACTAATTATTGGTGCAAAAGGATCGTGTGGAAGGCAAGAACTGCTCGTTGCGTATAAGTAATGGCTGCTAAGCGAGGAACCTCAAACCTCTTTACGGTGCACTACACTACTATGACTGGACTTGAAATAGGAAGAATCTGCGCAGAGTGCAATGACTTTCGAGAATGTTGGACCACCCTGACTGGCATCGCGCTATTCATCCTTAATTAATGTGCCTCTGACTTTCTTCATTTTGAGTATCAAATTTTGCACTCATCAGCAAGATAAAAAGTAATGGCATTGTTACATAGAGCAGGCAGTATGTTCAACGGTATTGTACTGAAACAGATGTTCCAAGGACTGATAGTGATTCAAGGATCGCAGTACATGTTTATGCCTCGGGCGACTATCCTTGGACGTACAAACCTTCTGAGTGGGAGTGGGTACCGCAGGCCGCTTGCCACGTATCATCACCGAACTCGATGTCGGTACTGAATTTATTGGCACTTATGAATGCGTCCAGTGAGCAAATCCCATATAGGCTATCTTGCTCGGTTTCTGCGCAATTTCGCAATGGATATGTCTCGTCGTTGAGTACGAGTCGAATTTGTGGTCCTTCGAATCTTGACAGCGAATGAGTTGTCAAATCGTAGCTCTAACGAAGGGAAACATACGACTCTGTGCAAGTGAAACGTTCCCAGATCATTTTGGCAGCAAAGGGAGTTTGATACGATGTTCGGAATTTTCGGTGCCGGGGTACTCCATGTGAGGACAGTGGGGGATCATCTCTGCATATGGATACATGAAACGGAGTCCTCGACTGTAAGCATAGAAACGTACCTATTGAGGTCCAATGCAGCCAACGCAGTGATTATGGTAGTATCATGTCCGAATTCGAGATAGAGGGACTGGTCTTCCTCGCTAGTGTTGGAGAATCTAACACACGGGTTTGCAAAAACTATCTTGACCTGCGTCAGAACGTACCTTTTGATGAGTTTGTTGACAAAGACACTTCCCATGACACGTCCAGCATCATTGGGTACCAGGTATCCGAAAGCTGCGACCATAGCGAGATCCATTTCGTACCTAAGTGTGATCAGTGTCGCGCCGCTACAACGTTCAAATAGCCTTACTCGAAATTTGCAAGTTCATCCGCATCGAAAACATCGCACCACGGTGACTCATCCCTCGCAGCTAGGTCATATGCGCATGCATACAAAGCTCCGTGCGTGTTATCATCAGTCAACTTAACGCCATGAGGAAGGAGGCCATTCAAGCGCTCAGTGATATCAGGGAGGTACGAGTCGGTCCACTCCTTTACCAACTAAGCAGCCAATATATTATTATGCAAGGATTAAAGAAACCCAGTTACTTACCTCATATGCGGGTTGATAATCGTAAGAACACGAATTCCAAGGAGTGATCCAAGACACTGGACCGGGCATGTCATCAACTGTAAGTAGCTCCTTGTCCTCGGCTTCGCGACCAAAACGTCCCTGAGCAAAAAAGTACATGGAGTCAATCACTCTTTGTACAGTGCTGGATAGTAGTCTTTCCGTGGTGAAGTCCGGATACTTCAACCCGAATCTAGACGGCGGCACATTAGTGCAACTCGATAAAACAATGGAGGGACAAGCGCACTCCACGCCATGGTTGAAGAGCTGCTGACGCCCAATGATGGACAGGTTTTCTGGATCTAGATGTGATTCGTATCCCTTCTCAGTCTGGAGGAAACGGAGGTTCTCCGGCAGATAAGCATCCCGTATAGCCTCGTGATGCTTCTTCAGCGTGTCGACAAGGGAGTCGATCGAGTCCGTTTCTTCCTTGCCACCAGGCCCACGAGAGCCATGTCTGTGCATCTGCAACTACGTCAGATGCGCCCGCTTCGCAAGGAGTGACTTGGCCATACCAGCATCACTCGATCGACACTACAATCACCAGGTAACTCTGCCTCGACGTCGCGAGCAGGGGCTACACGGTACGGAGTTAAAGTTCCAAGTTTCTTGAGAGGGTCATCATGTTTGTGTGAATTGAGCGTTAGAGATGCTAGGGTGAGCCAGTTTAGAACGCCCGGAATGAACATCGTTGGGAATCCTAAGCTGATGGGTCTTTGAATCAGTTCAGTGCACTGTGTCCTTATATGCCCAGAAGTTGATGCCCGGCTTACAGTCACTCCATTACCCTGCTCGGATGCGAGAAAACCCCAAAATTCGGTTCTGCTCGGCTCACGATCATTCTCCAGGCTGGAATGTTACGTTGCGAGATATTGCATAACTTGGACGGTTTGAGCTTAGTAGTGATATGCAACAGTTTTCCCTTCAAACTTGGTCAGGGACCCTGCATCCTAATGTAATGTCAACTATTTTCCGATTACGAAGTCACATACCGACCAGATGGGCCACCATATCTGCACCTCAAGAAGTTTGCGATTGCCAATCATTGTTTTGAAGTATCGCGTTGACTGTGGGCTCATCATGATGGAGCAAATGGGTCCTAGAATAGTAGAATCATGGGCTGATGATCGCTGATCCCATCAATTGGGACTAGTAGAATTTTGTGCATTCTCCAACGCGTGCTTATGTAACAGATCTAGGACATACACGTCGTTAGTCAAATCTTGTGTTGCATTAGCTCCAACCGTGTCTAGACGATATCGAGTAGGGGGACGGAGGAATAAGTAGATACTACAAAATATGGCTATCATGATGATGATTGGGGTCGTTTAATGTGTCGCAGAATCCTTCTTGAATGGCGATTGCTTGGACTTTAGAACCGAGAATTTTCGGACACAGTCTTATGGCGGATTTAAATTACGGCCTCCGCAGGACTGAAATACCTAGTATAACGGCAAGAAATCCCTCGATTATTTTCGTCGATTCAAACACCACAAGTCGCGTTCCAGGTTTTATCCCGGAACCGAATGCTTGTGCTGTAATGGTTCGCATTGACGAAAGTATCGAGGGAGCATGTCCCAAGTATAGGATCCATGCCTTGACCGCAAATAGTCAATGGCAAGGTAGCATCGTTTAGGATAAGGCGAATCTGAGGTCCATCGTATCTGGAGGAAATATAAGAACTCCAAGCTTGGATTCATTGATCAGAGTGTAACACTGACGAGCTTGTGCATGTGAATTTTTCCCAAACCATATTGGCGGCGAAAGGTGTAAGTTCAGATGTCCTAAACTTCCGGCCGGGACGCAGCTCATTGGGGGACAGGGGTGGATCATCCCTGGAAAATTGGCATTGTAGAAAGTCCCCCATGATGAATGAGCATGGCGCTTACTCTGCTAGACCCAAGGCAGATAGAGCGAACAAAATTGTGACATCATGCCCGAATTCAAGATATAATGGGCGGCTGTCTCCCTTAGAATTTTTGAAGCTGTGGACGACGTAAATTTATTTGTTGTGAAATATGGGGGACATGCATACCGCTCAATTAGCTTATTCACAAACACCGTCCCCACGAGGGGGGGCCATGTTATCTGGTAACGTGTATGCGCACGAAGCGTCCATTAAGATGTCCCTTTCGTATCTCAACAAGAGTTGTCATCAGAAAGCCATGTACGCTTAATCGATCGATCTTACTCGAAATTGGCCAATTCGTCGGGTCGAAAAACGCCACACCACGGAGAAACACCATGGGTAGCCAAGTCATAGGCACAGGCAAACAAAGCCCCATGAGTATCGTCTTCAGTGAACCCAACTCCAGGTAAAAGCGTGTTTAGGCGCTCAGTGATTACAGGCATGTAGAGTTTACTCCACGTCAACGTCGCCTGCCTTCCAAAACTGTAGTCAAACTTCGGACAAGCTGGTCCTGGTGCAGGAGTGATCCAAGAAACAGGATCATCTGTGTCACTGACAGTTACAATGCGAACATCCGGATCAAGTCCAAAGAGACCCAGCGCAAACCAACGTGCAGACTCGACCACTCGACCTGAATCGCTAGATAGGATGACGTCGGTTGTCAGGTGTGGATACTTCAATGCAAATCTTGTGTGTTATTATTATAACTAGTGCCTTTGCATGAAATTGAACCTAACTCACTCAACGCCATGATCAAAGAGTTCCTTGCGCCCAAGTATAGTGAGATTATGCGGTGTCAGGCTGGAATTATACCCTGCTCTCAGAAATTCAAGCTCGCGAGGCAGTTCTGCTTCCTGGATAACATCCGTTGCGTCATAGAGTGTCTGAACCAACCGCTCTATGTATCTGTGCTCGCCAATGGGACCACGAGAGCCATGTCGGTGCATCTACCTAGTGATTAGTCTGTCATTTCTGTACAAAGTCTACTGCATAATCGGAACTCACAAGCATTACTTGGTCAACGGTACAGTCGATAGGTAGTTCTGGATCGATTTCTGAGGCATCGTAATGGCGAGCACGATGATACGGAGAAATGCTGCCAAGATGGTTCAAGACATTGTAATTGATATTGAAGTATTCCTGGACGAAAGGCGTGGACGAAAGGAGGCCAAGAATCGCCTGTATACGCATTGCGAGCCTGAGATGCAGCCTGATGCAGCGTGGGGTTGCCCCTGGTTGCTTAGAATAACAACACGTTGCAATGGTCCAGGTCAAACTGTAAGTTTAAGTCACGCTCTGTCTTACGTACAAGACAACTCTCTCAAGAACCTTGTTGTCGACGTCAAACTTAATGTCCAACGATATTGAACTTGAAGACTTTTCGGGCAGGATACGACCAACGCGCTCGGACGATGAAACTCACGTAAACTCAGTTGATCAAAACTTCACAAGCCAAGATGGGGCAATAGGTCTTTGGGTTTGGATTTCAGCGGCCTTGTAAAGCCAACCTGCCATTTCTTAGAGACTATTGTATTGAAACCTCCACTTAAATTGTAGCTTTTTCGTGTTTTCTACAAGCTTGCTACTGTTCCCAAGGTTTCTCCTCTTCATGGCGGAACCATCAGGAGGACGAAGTGTACTCTCACCCCTTGAATCCTTCTTCGCGGCACAACTAGGCATTGTGATGGGCGCAGTCGCACTCACTCTGGTAGTAATGGTGAGAAGTCTTGCCAGAAATCGCATGCTTCGAATTCCATTGATGACGGGCATTCACAGATACCAAATGCTTCGCCTATCGGTTTCCAGCAGGATGACCATGTGAACTCCCATCCACTTCTCGTGCCTGTCACTTCTGCCTCAGTTTTACTCTCATTCCTTTCTTACAATGCAAGCGGCGTCGGATCTCTTGGCAACTTTGTTTTGCTAGGGTCATCCCTTGTCAGCTTATTCGGGCTCTGGGTGGTACGTGTTTTCAAAGATTTTATTAGTGAAGTATGGGCACACTGATATGGGGTCTCCAGCTTCTTTTTGCGGGGCCATCTGTGATCTCGAAGAAGACTGGAGCTGACAAGCGCACCTCCGCATTCATATTCGGGAACAAGAACGCCGCTTCCGTCCGCAAAAAGGAGTGGAGTAAGCAGCAGACAAGGAACACGACCTCGTAGACATCAAGTGACGTGCACTGCCAATGACACGACCCTTGATTGATATAGAACAGACCTGCACTGTATTAATAGTCATCCTGATCATGCCAATCACAATTGTCTGTATTAGTCAAGTATTAGCAGAAGAGAAATTCAGGAGTGACATATATTTCGTACATGGTTCTCAGAAACCTAAACTTTATTTAGGAATTCATCGTCCAGCGTTGCCGCCCATACCCATCATCTTAAACATATCCGCGATATTTGGCATACCACCTCCCATGCCAGGCAACCCTCCCAGCCCCCCAAGGCCGCCGAGACCATTATTCATCTGTCCCATCATTCCTGGGGCGATGATCGGCAGATCAGCACACGATAATCAGGAAAAGGACTTTGTCATACTTTGCATCTCTTCCATATCAAATTGGTCACCTCCTTGACCCTGCATCATGGCTTTCATCATCTCCTGCATGCCGCCGCCGCTCCTCAGTTGCCGTTGCATTTGTTGCAGCATCCCTGGAGGCATTGCGCGCTAGAAGGGGGAAGGGTCAAACCCCGCTAAGATGTTAACATCGTTCACTTACTTGCATCGCTTGAATCTGTGCAGGGGTAGGCATGCCGTTGGCTCCACGCCCACGCCCCCCTGCTGCGCTCTGCATCTTCTGCATCGCTTGTAACCTGCGGCTGTCACTTAATCCAATCATAATGCAAGCGAAGATCGGACCCGTACCATCCATTCTTCCCACCCGCTTGCTTAGCCATGTTGGCCATCATCCTGTACTGACAAAGCAGCTCTTCGACTTCCCGCACACTCGTGCCACTCCCTTTTGCCACACGCGTGACTCTCCATGTGAGTCCCACAGGTTTGCCATCCTTCCCCATTTCCATAAATAACGAGCCGTCTGAATCAAGCTCGGCCGATGACATACTGTCGGTGATATAGATCATGCGCTTCATTCGCATTGAACCTTCTTCGTCTGAACCTTGAAGTAATTCCTGGGGAAGTCCTGGTATCATCGAGGCGATCTTGCTGATTGGTCCCCTAGTGCAAGGTTTATGATTACGAAATAAACTTTAAGAATAACGTACATGTTCATCACGTTTTGAATTTGCTCCCTCCAGTCCCTAATACTGAGTTTGCCTTCCTCGAGTTTTTTTGCCATCTCTTTCTGCTTGTCCGGGTTTTGGGTGGCAAGATCTTGCATATGTTCCATGAGGCCCTGCATGTCACCCAATCCCAGAAGTTTGGATATGAATGGCTGCGGCGAAAATCGATCGAGGTCATATAGATGTTCCCCAACCCCGAGGAAAATGATCGGTGTTTTCGTGGCGGCGACACTGAGCCAATGTCAGAAGTCAGGAAACCCAAGCAATTATTAAAAATGATCATACGCTGAGATGGCACCTCCACCCTTGGCATGGCCGTCCATCTTGGTGACAATAATGGCACCGAAGTCAGCGCTCTCCTTGAACGCCCGACTTTGTGCCTCAGCGGCCTGGCCTGGAGCCAAAATTCAGCGGCCGTTGTGATCGGAGCATACAACAGAATTACCTATGCTAGCATCGAGGATCAGCACTGTCATGTTAGGCTTGACGGCTTCGCCGATTTCTACCATTTCTTGAAACAGTTCAGACTCTTGCTTGTGACGACCAGATGTGTCTACAACGATCACTTCAAATCGCTCTTTCTTGAATTTCGCAACGCCCTGAGCTGCAATGGCGACTGGATCTGTTTCAGTGTATGAACCAAAGTAGGCTACTTTAGCCTTGGTTGCAGACTGTCTGGTCTGATCAAAAGCGCCAGCGCGGAAAGTGTCCGCACAGACAATACATGACTTGAAGCCACGTTTCTGATAGTAGACAGCCAGTTTTGTGCATGTGGTGGTCTTCCCGTTTCCCTTGGATTTAACGTAAATGGGTATAAGTATAACCATAAGTCGGGCGAGATGCTTACCTGCAGACCCACGGCCATAATAACATTTGGTTGGCCTTTCTTTGGTTTGTATGGCTCGACCCCTGGGTCGACCAAGTGGACTAGCTCATCGAAGACAGCCTAGGTTACAAGTGGCATGAACACCATTATGATATTTGACAGGAGTGCGGACCTTCTGTATGAGATTCTTCCGGCTAGAATCTTTTGACTTCTCTGAGCCATCCAGAGCTGCTTTGACCTTCCCTTTGACTTTCTGTCGTAGTGACGCGACTAGTTTGACATTCACATCCGATTCTAGTAGTGCAGCTGTGATCTCCTTGAGCGTTGCATCTAGTACCTGTGGGGCAGTACTGTAAGCGAATGTATTTGTGAATCTAAAATAAACGTACCTTCTCGTCAACGACAGGCGCTCTGTTGAGCGAGGACAGGGCAGCATTAAGTTTACGGCCAAGGTCAGCGAGAACCATGACAGTGGCAGGTGAGGACAAGTATGATCGTGAAGTTGCCGTGGGAATCTTGCACATAACATGGCTCACAGTGACTCTGAAGGAGAAACTATCGATGATCTTGAATTCGATACAAGAACAACGGATGGCGATGCGGAGGAAGAGAACGATATCGACGAGGACCTGCTAGGCGCCTTGGAGAATGGGGTTGATGAAGCAACAGAAGCAGATGAGGTAGACTCTAGTTGTGTGCCACCAGTGGCTCTTAACGTTTTATATACAGGACTCCCCTTCGGACGACTCAGATGATGATGACGACGATGACGACGAGTCAGAGCCTCCTGTCGAGTCACATCTAGGTGTTGGGCCCTCTTCGCCGTCTGTCGCCGTCAGACCAGATGTCAGTAAATCAGCTTCGCTTTCACCCAAGCCACCAACCCCTGAACCGCCCAAAGGTAAATCAGATTTCCAAGTTCCGAATCCATCGTATCGTATTGCTTATACTTGTGATCAAATACCAGTAATACCTCAAGTTCACCAGCGATCACCATCCCCTGCAAGTGTTCGAAAGAAGGCACTAGCATTTCCACGATCTCACAGCGAACTACCACCGCGAACTTTCACAGTGGAAGCAATATGCGCTATACCCCACCCAGTACCCACACATGCACTTGCTTCGTCCTTCTGCATGACTCACCTCCTTACTGGTTCTGATGATGGATTCATTCGTGACTACGATGTATTCACCGCCGTAAATGGTAAGACCACACTAACAGCACCACAAAGACATCACTGCAATGTGGTCGAGGGAAACATGAAAGCCGGTCAGATACGATCTTGGTGGGAAAACCCTGATTTCGTTCCTCAATCGGGGTATCCTCCGATGGGTGATTCTTCTCCATGTCCCGTTTATAGTCTAGCGATGCATTCCGACGCAATTTGGGCTCTAGGAGGAACTAACGTATGCTTTCTAAACAGCATAATTTTTCCGACAACACTGAATCGGGAACTTCTGCAGCGTGGTCACATCAATCTCTTTACAGTACGACATGATCCGGGCCGTTTGGTTCATGTCCTGGCGAACGGACACCGAGGACCTATCTCAGCACTTTCTATTGATCATGACGAGAAGGGCTTCTTCAGCGCGGGGTGGGATGGTGAAGCAACTGTAAGTTATAGTTCTTACGGAGTCGGTGATAACTCAATCGAGGATATTCAGCAATGGGATTTGAACACCGGGCAAGCAATCCGGAAGTTTATTGCCCACGGCGCGCAGCTTGTTGCTATTGCTGTTCGACCACTCGGCTCCCCATGCCATCCCGACCCTGTATCATCCGCGGGAAGCTATGGTTCCTACTTGGTATCACAACCTACCAGGGAGAATGATATTTCCAGGGCCGTCAAGGCGGAACCATTGACCAGTACCGCTGACGCTCAATTCAAGCAATCATCTAGCGTTTCTACCGATCCTCTTTCAAACCACAAAATGCAAGACGCAGATGCTAAATCTGATGCTTCTTTTGATCCCCTGTTTGATGGTGAACCGGATGCCGACGGCGAATTTGACAACGAGAACCCCCCTCCAGACGAAATCGGGGCATTACGTTCTCAGGCTCCACAAAGGGACGGTTCGATCGCGGACAATAAGTCGAACCTGGCCGTCCCTGATGTGGCACCTCACCCTGGCCAACAGCAAGCAGTACGGTCACCTCAGAGCTCCGTCGCACCTCCGAAAAACGCTCCACCTTTGCTACATGCTTCCAATAGTGCAACGTTTTCTCCAGATATTTTAATGGTTGCCGCAATTGACGGACAGATTATGCTTTGGGACAAACGAGTCAATACACCAGGAACAGGTGTCGGAAGACTTTGGATGAGTGAAAAGACACCACCGTGGTGTGTTTCTGTACGTATTAGCATTTGCTCACTGTCTTTCGGGTCCTTAAAGCGGTCTCCCAGGCTTGTTGGTCCACGGACGGGTCGCATATTTACGCTGGGCGCCGAAATGGAACAGTCGATGTTTGGGATGTCCGGTTGCTCGGTCGCTCTGGTCCAAATTGCACACCAAGATTACTGAAGAGTCTTCGCAATCCACCGAGTTCGGGTGTTGTTTCTTGTGTGGTGCCCTTCCCTGATGGCCGCCACATCGCATGGTGAGTTTGCTCGTGACGTTGACAGGGATGAGAAGTTGAGGCCCCGCGTACCAGTGCGTCGATAGACAATATCCGTTTGTGGAATGCTGCAGAGGCAGGTGAAGTGGACGGAAGCATGAAATCAAGGGGTGGAGTCCAATTCAAGATTATTCCAGGTCATCACGGGGGCTATGTTTCTCAGATGCGTACGTGCTATCCTATTGAATACATATACGTGCCCTGTCAACTGACTATTCTAAAGTTGTAGATCCGGGTGGTCGTTTCCTTGTGAGTGCTAGCAGTAACCGTGGGTGGCATGGGGATTCCACACGTACCGTATTTGTGCATGACATCAAGCCAATACGATAAAGTTCATGAGTTTGGCATCACATTCACATCTCCAGATTTGAAGGTAACCTGAGCTGGTCCTGTCAAATAGGATTAGGATTGCGCTATTTCAAATCAACTTATTCAAGTTCCGCGGTATAACCGCAAACCTTTTCGCAAGAATCACATCGTTGTCCACACATGGATGCCATCTATGTGCCATCTCGTTATCCTTTTCAACTGGGATATAAGACTTGGGAATACTCATTTAACACCACCATGTTACTTTAGTCCACCACCCCTTGCACATGCGTCTCAACTATCCAGTGATCTTCCCTCTCAACCAACTCACTTATGTTGGCGAGGATGACTCCGAATTCTTTCGTCAAATACATGGCAGGAGATTCAATGCCCTCAGCTCTAGGTACATGCTCCCTGCGGACGAGGAAGAAGTTAGGGTAAGTTCTTTTCCTTCTGCGACGTGGCATTATGACATCCCACTCCAGCGATCAGAACTTCAACACAAAACAATTCAATTTCTCTTCAATGGAAAGAACTATGTCGGCCCCATCGCTGACATACTAAAACCAAAGGAGGGACAGGAACGTTGTCGTGTCCTTGACTTGGGCACTGGTGGTGGTTTCTGGTCAGTATTCTGGGAATTCCATGTCGGGTATATATAACCCACCTTACAGGGCCATCGACTTGGCAGACGAATTTCCTTCAGCAGAAGTGATAGGTGTCGACCTTGCTCCCGTTCAACCACGGTAATTTATACTCCTTATCAACTATCCCTCGATATCACTCACATGTCTCCAGTGAAGTGCCTGCCAACTGCACGTAGGTTATCTCCCCTCTCAAGTAGCACTTTGTCATTAATGAAAAAAATTAGGTTTGAGCTCTGTGATCTGGATCAGTTTTATCTACCATACCCGAGCGAACACTTCGACGTTATCCATGCGAGATTTATGCATACGGGAGTAAGAAATACAATCCCAATAGTTTGGTTCGCCCTGACTTACGAATCACAGATAGAGAATTATCCTCGGTTTCTTCATGAAATCGCACGGATGCTTCGCCCAGGAGGACTTGTCATACTGATTGAACCCGACACTGAACCAATCGCGGATGAGAAAACCGCATCACATTTCACCCGCTCCGGACAGCCGTCTGGAATGCGTGGCTGGTTCACACTGTGGGAGACCTACAGGAAGTGCCTGCGTGACAAAGGCATCGACGTTGGAATACCTCCGGAGCTCTCCAATCTCGTCGCATCGACTGGGGCCTTTGATAGGATTGTCGCGCAGGAAGGAAATATACCTATAGGGTTCTGGCCAAAGGGTATCAATTAACGCATTGCGAAAGCTTGTTCGAGCTTATCGGTTTGTTATAGATCCCGTCGCTCTCAGTATCGGTCAGCTAGCGTGGATGAACTATGACATCATGCTTCCTGCGATGAAGCCTCTTTTCTTGTCCGCTGGGATGCGAGACTGGGAAGCAAAGAAATTGATTGAAGAAGCCCATCAGGATCTGTATTACCCGCTCGTCCGAGCTTCCTCGCGCCTCCATATTGTGCATGCAATCAAGAAGGCGAAACGTCCTTGACTCCTCTTTCCATATTTCCATGTCCCATGTTTGCTGTCCGGGCGTTGTAAAAGTACCATACCCCTTCATGTATCCTACTTTTTCATGTTAATGATTGGCATGACGATTATGTTGTAGCATTCAGAAGAAATCACACGCGGGCACACGACGCAGCATTTGTATCACCTCTGTTCCTTTTTAAGTACACAAAGGACTGACCACCACCTATACCCATGACGTAGAGAAAAAGCGATGTCGAAGAGGCAGCAGTCGCAGATGATAAACATGCCACACAGCAAGTACGCGAAAAGAAAGGACGAGCCGAGAATCCGCTCCAGAAAACAAACATCTTGAAACAACTGATCACCCCACCGCCCCGAGCTACACCTCATGCTTCTCAAGCTACCTCATCCTTTGAGAAATCATGGAGAACAGCGAGTGCCTCGTTGACCTTGGCAGCCATGGCATCGGGGGAGTCAAGGAGGTGGAAGAGTTCTGCATTGTCCATCTCGAGCAACATGCCAGTGATCTTGCCAGCCAGCTCAGGTTGTTCACTAAGATAAGCTACGTCAGTGACAATGCACAACTGAATCAATCACAACTTACGGAAGGATGTTCATGTAAATAACCTCGCCGAGCATCTGCTTCTGCTCCATAGGAGATGCATTAGCAAGGGCAGCAGACTGGATAGCGGCAGCATCCGACTGAGCCGCGCTCGCTGGGGGAGGAGCAGCTGGACCAGGAGCGGTAACAGCATTGCGGGTCTGAGGATTGAGCTTGTACTGCTGTTGGTTACGAGCACCAGGAACAGGAGGGCCAGCAAGAGGACGAGGTGGAGGCGCACCGCCCTGGGGAGGTCCAGGGCGAGGAGCAGCACCATTGGCCGGAGGTCCGTTGACACGGGGCAGGGGAACGTTAGGATTAGGGGGGGACGATCCAGGTCCACGGGCAACGGGAGGACGAGGACCTCCACGGGGGTAACCAGGCATGCCATATTGAGGAGGTGCCCCATAAGGAGGCATGGGGATACCAGGGGCTTGGCCGTTGCTGGGAGGGTAGCGAGGACGTGGGGGCATGACACCAGGTTGACCATAGCCCATCATGCCACGACCCTGAGGAGGGAAACCGCCAGGCCCGGGGTAGTAAAGGGGGGCGCCCATATACGCGGGCGCTGGCATTCCAGCAGCCGCAGCCTGTTGCATGCGGATCTGGTTCCGCTGAGCAATCTGGCTTTCCAGTTGCTGCCTGCGAACCTCGCGGCGTTGAGCGAGAGAGACGTACAATGGCTTTGTGCCAATCATCTTGTTGTTCATCTCTGCAACCGCCTTGGTAGCCTCATCGGGCGATGAAAAGCATACGAATCCGAAGCCCTTCGAGGTGTTCTTCTCGTCACGCATGACCTTGCAGCTAGTGATGGTACCGAACGGTTCGAACTCGAGGCGGAGTTTTTCATCATCAACGTCATCCTCCAAGTTCTTGATATAAAGGTTGACACCCGCGTACTTGCTGAGCTTCTCCATCTTGGCTTGTTGATAGGACTTGCGCAACTCCTCCTCACGCTCAGCCTTTTTCTGGGCACGGGAGACGAAGAGCTTCTTGCCGTTGATCTCAAAGTCGTGGAGGTTGTCAACAGCTCTCTGGGCCTCGTCGTGCGACTCATAGTTGACGAAGCCGAAGCCCTTGCTCTTGCCCTCGTCGTCGACCGAGATGACTGCGGAGGTGACAGCGCCATACCGGTTGAAGAGCTCCTCGAACTCCTCTTGCGTGACCTCGAGGTCAAGGTTCTTAATGTATAGATTGGTGAATTGGGCCTTCATCTCATCGAGCTTGGATTGGCGTTCCTATGAAAATAGAGGTGACGGTAAACAAAAGATCACATGTTCTGACAATTGACACGAACCTTGCGAGAGATGTGGTGACCGACGTAGACCTTCTTGTCGTTCAACAACATGCCATTGACTGCTTTAATAGCAGAGTCGGCAGCTTCGGCAGTCTCGTAATGAACAAAACCATATCCCTTTGAGCGGCCCTGCTCATCGGTGGCAACCTTACACGACAACACGTTACCAAAGGCAGCAAACGTGTCATGGAGAGCCTAAAATGATCTGTAAGATTCCGATAAAGCGATACCAGCGCAAACGCTTACTTTGTTGTCGATAGCCTCGTCAAGGTTCTTGATGAAGATGTTGCCTTGACCAGTCTTGCGCAAAGCAGGATCACGCTGGGACCACATGATACGGCTTTAATAGGAATGTGAATATGGGTTTCATGCCTTTGTGATGTACTGGTTGCTGGTTACTTACCATGCACGGTTCTTAATAAGCGAGTAATTGAGTTGCTCGAGAGCACGCTCACCTAATGAGATTAGATTAGATAATTCACTCGAGAACAAAACCGTTGTAATCGACATACCATCGCTGGTGTTTAGATAGTTGACGTATGCGTATCCAAGGGAGCGACGCGTAACGGCGTCACGGCAGACACGAATACTGTGGGTGCCACGGCGCTTCAGAACCGAATTGAATAAGGTGACTAAAACACGCACCTTGCAACCGGACCGATCATATTGAAGATCTCAAACAACATGGCTTCGGTGACGGTAGGGTCAAGCTCGCCGACGTAAAGCGACGCGGAAGGAGAGGAGGTGACCGAAGTCTGGGGGTTGTACGATGGAGCGGGAGCTGGGCCAGCAGGTGCAGGCTCGGGTTGGACCATAGGAACGGCCTCGGGAACGGAAGATGTGGACATATTTGGTTTTCTGGGTTTTGGGGTCGTTACTGCTTTGAGGACTTTTTCTGCGACTGCGCGGACATGAAGATGTTAGATTGATAAAGAAGATGAACGGAGATGATGATAAGAAGAGAGGAACATACACAGGAGGCAACAAGGTAACCGCTTTTTTTTCTAAAGTCTTTTTTATGAAATTTTTTGGTCTTTTAGGCTGTGAAAACTGGTGAGCACACGACCGGAAGCATGGAATGACGGGACTGACCAAGGTGGTGGTTGTAGAAAACAAGTGAAGCCCGACGCTTTTGGATCAATCTTTAATTTTCAAACTCAGATTACTCAGACCGTCCACTGCCAGTGCAAGACCAGTGGAAGACCAGTGGACGGTCTAACTTTTCTCTTGTTTTATCTGGCGCATTGTTTTTACACAGGTTTTGTTTCATTGATCTGAGCACCCAAGAGAGTCCATTTTTAAAGCGATCAATCAGCTCAGATTCGTACAAGAGTTCGTGATCGGAGAGGTAAATGTAAGTACATGCACGACGCAATCGCCACATGACCCAGTCAGTACTATTCGAGAAAGAAGCTTTGAAATCAGCCACGCGTGAAGTATGCCTTCGCGCCATGAGAAGCAAGCTCTGCTTTAGCCTGCAGGACCGCCGATCAGCACCCTAAACCTGGTAAACGTATGGCAAAGGAAATCACCTTGTCCATGGTGTGTCCAGCAGCTGAGTGGTGGTTCCATATCTGCAATTGTCCCTGGTCATACCGCTGCTGCGCAGACTGTGCACGGGCCATCGTACCTGACGGTAATAAAAAGCATTCCCTAGTCCTTGCACTGTCCATCCAACAGTGGCGATTGTGCCAAGAATGCCAGCGGCCCAGTGGCCTTGTGCGTACATCTGAATCATCTGAATAAGCCCTGCGGAACCTGTACTGGGAATCCCGATGATCCTGAGAGGAATGAAAATACATTCAGCTGGGAGTCGTGATTTGCGAGGCATACACGCACATGTAAACACTGAAGAGAAGGTGGAAGCCGCCAAAGAAGAAATAGAAGTCTGGCAAATGAATGACTGCTTAGCGTGATCGAGAGGGTGAAAGTAAGTTTGACGGACAATAATAAAGTGCTTGCTCCTGCACGACATGTCAAATTTAGAAAATGCTTGTGGGATGCTGAGATGATGCTGACCTTCATATAACCGTTATATATGGGCCTAAAGAGGTGTGAATTTCGGAGACCCTGGTGTATCATGCATGACTTACCTATACCACAACAAGAACGATAGAGGCGTGATAATGAACATGTATCTAAGCCTCATTGAGCGAGGAAGAGAAAACACACTAAAATCTTGCTCACCCTATACTTCCACCGAGGTCCTTTCCGCCGTCGCTTGAACCAGCAATTAGAAGAAATATACATGCGACCATGTTGATGATTAGGGTCCCTAAAAGAACAAGCCAGAGCTGGTACAAGCGAGTGATCAAAGGCCTTGAAGCCTCTGGAATCTCTTCGGAGATGGCATGGTAAATGAGGGGGTAAACTGGTATGAAGGGTATGAGTATACGTTGTGATGAAATGGGGAGTCTGACGCATACACGGTGGCCAATTGTTGCGTCCATGGGTACGGATATGCTCTGCTCTCTGGTTCAGTTCGCGTTCACGTCTTTCCAAGTCTCGTTCACGTCTGCTGATATCCTCAAAATGGGCGTCGTGTTGCGCAGCCTGCTTTGTTGATGGATCGTCAAAGGGATTGGTGTCTAGCGAATGGCTTGAGGCGAAGGGGTTTTCAGTGAATTCACCTTGAATGCCAAGTTAGGAGAGAAGTAGGAAAATTGAATGAGAACTCACTCATGCTGGTGATACTTCGCTTTAGCTATGCTTCGTATGTCGTTGAGACTGAGGGGATGGCGGTCATCGGAATAAGCCGGGATAACTCCCTTTTGTAAAATATTATTTTTAATATAAATATTATTATTTAATTCGATGATCATTAATTTAGAGTACGCCGTAGACGTTTAAGCGGCCAACATGTGCGTAGCCATTATGATGCACTGCTGCGGGGAACTGTTTATTTTGTGGGAATGAAAAGATGATCTTTACACAGCGATGATGGTCTACCATGTGGTTTGGCCCACTGAAACAATGGAGACAACGTTTTGCCTTGCGATGAAGACGTGGGAAATTAGGTCTACTAATGTGGATATACAAGGGATAAAGGATGAAAGACTGATTTCGGAAGTAATAACCGCGTTCTCCTCCTGCCTCTTTCTTTCTCCCTTCAATTACCGTCAGGTAAACGTATTCCTTGCCTCTTTTCATAACGTTGGTTCCTCGTAACCGACTCACGCTTTTTGTGCGTGCTAACACCATTTTTTCTCTTTAAATAGTTGGACCTTTGGTGTCCTGTCACTCGTTGATCACGAACACTCCCTCGTCTTCACCCCCGCTCTCTCCATAACTTCATTCTTTTTCTCCTATTTAGATCACAATATTCACCATGATCTCCACATTTGCAACTCTCTTCCTCTCCCTCATTGCTACCTCTGCAGTATCTGCCATCGTCATTCCTCGCGCGACCGCCCCCAGTGGCTGGAACACCGCAGCTCTCGAGGTTTGCCAATCTTCCCCTGTGATTACCACTTTATGTGCTTATGTCATTTCCCAGCCCTATGACACCTACCATTGCAGGTATCTCGCAATTCAGTGCCAAAACCAGCACAACACGCAATTCTTTACTGATTGCTGCCACCCCCTCGCTGTTTGTATTACGTTGTATTTCTTGGATCAATTTGTTCACCATCTATCTAGGCCAATGAGAGCGTAGATGCTCTTCCCTCTCAGTGTCAGATGCCAACTGGCTCTTCGTGCAGCAATGGTGTACTTGTGTCGACTGGTGCGACCGACGATGGTGGTTGTGATGAGCCCTCATCAACCCCAACAGCTCCTGCATCCTCCACGATCAGTACCACTGTGACGGCTACTCCTACCCCCACTACGAGCAGTACCACTGTGAAGGTCACTCCTGCCCCTACTACGAGCAGTGCCCCCGTCAACGTTGCCCCCGTTCCCACTACAACGCACGTATACACCCCCAGCTCGTCTTCCTCCAAGGCAGTCTCGACGACCGCACCATCGACTGGTTCTAGCGACAGCAGTCTTAACTATGGCGGATTGTAAATATATACTATCTTAGCATCGCTCGCTCAAATACTCAATCTTGCATTACAGTGCAACTTACTTCTACCAGAACAACAACGCAGGCGCATGTGGAACAGTCCACGCTGATTCTGACTATATCTGTGCTATGGACCAGGACCGTTATGGCTACTCTGGCAATTCTTCCCCTCTTTGTGGCCAACAGGTCCAAATTACCAACGAGTCCAACGGCAAGACTGTTGTGGTAACCGTTGCTGATGACTGCCCTACTTGTGACAATGCAAACTCCATCGACCTGTCGGTGGCTGCCTTTGAAGCTATCAGTGACCTTTCTGTCGGTGAAGTTTCCAGTACGTCTTGCCTCATCGTCTGCTTCAATGTTCCTGGCTGACCTGACCCTTAATAGTTGTGTGGAAATTCCTTTAGTTGTTCTCCCTTAGCAAACACCGCCTGCCCCTTTCATCGTTCACTGTTTTCAGTCCTTTCTGTGTCGCATTGATGCGTTATTTGTTTTGACGGGCTAGTCCCGTTGGAGCGCGGTGGTTACTGACCTTGGCGTTTACGAGCCCAATGACCCTGGTGGCTGTTGGTCTCCAGACCCACGATCAAATACCCATTCCCTCCACTGGCAACACATGTTCATTATTCCCTCATTTTCATATGGTTTTGCAAGCATTCGGAATCACGCACACACACGAGTCTCTTTTGTTATCGGGTTTTTATTATATTCAGGGCATGCAGTATGTTCCATACATTGTTGTTAGCTAGGACTACAGTAGTGTCGTGGATGCTTGATCATGTCATATTCACAATAGACAACGCAGTGCGTAATAACATGGATATGAAATCATTGACCGACGGGTGCTGTGGATTGTTCTCTACGGACTTAGACAATTGCAAGGTTGCTGGGTACAACGTGTTACAATTGAAAAAAAAAAACTATTATGTCGTCCAAGGATGGTCGACGTTCCAACTATAGCTAGCGCCCACAATAGTTGTTCCTTACGGGGATAGGAGTATGAAGTCGTCATGCGTACCCGAACTTCATCATCGAAGAGGAACAACGCGCTAAAACCTCGTGGACAGGACCACGGCCGTGACGGCGTCAACGTTAACGTTGGCCTCGTTCATCCTACGCAAATGCCTGACGTTATTACCATAGCTAACCATGTATGTCTAGTATGAAATGTTAACTTTCATTAGTAATCAGTATATTATGTAATTATTTACAAGAAAAAAACGAAACAAAGCTGTATAATGAGATGAGGGCTGGGCATGAAGCGGCCATGCATATATGACGAGATTATTAGCGTTGTGGGGCAGTATTAGCCAGGCAGCCTATAAGTGTTTAGGACCTTGGTGTGCTTTGACCAAGTTTTGCAAGTTAAGTACAGAAAATATTGACATTTGACTGTTCGGGTACACATGACATCGACAATCGAGCAAACCCCTCCAAGTAAGTACTTCAATCCGAGCTTCACGACGGGGAACAGGATCACTATCAGTAAGCCGGGCATACCCTCGGGCACAAACCACACGCGCGTCGCGGGAATATGCCGATTCCCAAAGCTATCTAGCGTGACATTCTTACCAAACAGTCGCCCCCACCCATATATAGGTTTTACAACTTGTTAGCAGCCAACGTCGACGCGTCAACAGCCAAGTTTCATACGAACGACGAGCTCTAGACTACTCTCCATGTCACATATCGCTCAGAAGATTCTCGTTGTGGGCGGTAATGGTTTCGTTGGTATGAACTTCTGCCTTTTCATATTGCTCCAAGCCGCTTACTAGTAGTATGACCGCCAGGCTCCGCGGTTTGCAAGATGGCTCTTGCCCGAGGAATCGAGGTCACTAGCATAAGGTAAGTAATTTGTGCTCAGTGTATGACACCACTGCCATCCATGGCACGGTAGCTTTTCCGGAAAACCTTACAAAACCCCACAAGGCCATACCCCTGCATGGGTGGAACGGGTACGTGCCGCATGTCCCCCTTCTTACCGCATCAGCCCACTCAAACCCCGACAGGTAGAATGGCGGAAAGCCGACGCCATGAATCCAGAGTCATATGCGGACATCCTCCCCGGTGTTGACGCCGTTGTCCACACTGTTGGTACTCTTTTAGACAATACGCAGTACAAGCAGAAGATGCAAGAAGGTGATGTTCTGGGCGTTTTCAAATCCCTTATGGGCCGCAAGGAAGAAGGTCAACGGAGCGCCTATGACACCCTCAATTACGAATCAGGTGCGTGATCCCTATACAGCCTTGTTGCGCAGCGCGCGGTGTTCACGCGGTGTCAGCTGTGTGCATGTGCGAAGCATTTGTCGCGAGCAAGCCCGCATCCGGAATCACACGTGTTCGTCCCTTCGTCTACGTCTCCGCGGAGGACGTGAACCGACCTGTCGTCTCCGTGCGGTATCTCGAAACGAAACGGGAGGCGGAGAAGCGAATTGAAGAAATCATGCAAGATCATCCACAATACAAGGGGGTGTATGTCCGCCCCAGTAAGTGCATCATCAATAATTCGATTCAATGAATAACAAGCCATACTAGGTTTAATATACCACCCGCATATCCGGCCAATGACTACCATTCCAGCCACGATATTCGATGTATCGGCACGGATCCACAACGCAGTGCCATCGTATATCCCGATGCCTTCTTCGGTTCTTCGGTGGTTAGGCACGTCCGTGTTCCCTAATGCCACGGAAAAAACACCTTCTGCCCTGACCTCTATGGCGAATCTGCTCTCTATTCCGCCAATCCATGTTGATCATTTGGCCGAGGCTATTTGTCTTTCCTTAGATCCAGCACAGGATATACGTGGTGTGGTAGGTGTGCGCGATATACGTCGGTTGATTGGTATGACGGCGTCAGAGGAGCCGACCACAAACACCTAGTATATTACTTCAACGTATATACCTTGCAGGCTCTCTCTTGAAGTCGGTACATACTGTGTGATTTCGTTCCCTCGTAGTGAATTTTTTGGTCGACCAGTCACTCATTTAATTCGTGATTAGAACTTGCAACGGTCATCGGAGTTTAGCTTCTTGCAAATCGATAACACTGTTGGGTGGTATTAAATATTAATGATTCGGGCAAGACTCGGAGAATTTGAGAGCTGTTCTCGTCAAGAACTGCTGAACCATGAAATTTTGGTGATGCTCGAGGCTTCCGGGAGATATAGTATTATGGCAGAGCGAGTAGAAGTACTTGATAGTAAGACGTTCATCTGACTAGTACTCACTTGGAAACAAATGTACCGCACCAAGAGGCATTAATACCGCAAGTCCGAGGCTCGTCTGAAAACTTTGTACCTCGGTCAGGAGCAAGACGCCCTCGAGCTACTGTTTATATTATTGGATTTGCTCGTGCATATGACAGGTACTTACAAATGCGCACAGCCTAGGATTTCGTGATAGGTGGAGATATGATTGCATATTCCGGTTATTGCAATCAACATGATGCTATGAGGTTCGGCGGTCGTTCAACGTTCAGCGCTCGACATTGCAACTCCACTTAGCTAGGCCACCTTTGTAGATTCAACTCCCGCCCAATTGAGGACCCCCCGCGCGCCCCAAGAGATTGAATTTCAAACGTCGGGGTGTCCCCGGCCAGGTACGGGATTCCTGAGACCTGCATTGACGCATTGGCCTAGTCCTAGTCGTTTCCTTCGAGGTCGTCAATTTGATTTGAATTCTAGGTATACCAAACACCATTCTGTGAGTTTGACACACATGACCTCGTTATCAATCATCGCACTCGGGCGGGATACGGGTACGAGCTCTGGGGACTCAAGCGCTCGCTCCATGATGGATGATCGAAGCGGTCACATGCATGTTGGCGTGCGAGTTCAAGAATCAGATGATCGTAGCCAGGTAGAGTCAACCTCATACTCGGAGTACTATGACCTACGAGTGGTGAGACATGCCCGTCGACGCGTCATCGTCCGTTGAAGGGGGCGTTGTCAAGGCTGATGTGGACTCGTCCACAAAGTACCAGTACTAGTGTCACGAACGTGCTATTCTAGAGTAGTCTAGACTCGTGACTTGCACTTACTTACTTAGGTGTGACACCTGGCACACAGTCTCCTTAAAGTCATTGAAAATGGGGAATCTAGACTCCTTCCCCACCTTCTCCCCATCACCACGTAGTAACCCCGCCATTCAACTTGCGTCTGGGTGGGTTGGTGAAGCGAGAGAGCGGATACTTGTTCGTGTCAAACAAGCGCTTATTCGCGTACGTATCCCCAACGAAACAAAAATTATTACTCAAACCGTATCGGACGACATTAAATAAACATCATTCGATACCAATCAACGGAATATATACCTGGGGTTTGAGCGCTGAGCACAGACCCCCTTATCCTACCCCGCTCCCCTCGTCATGACCTTCCTTTTCGCTCGCGCACCCTCAATACGAATCGCCCCCACTCCAACGGCCACGCGCTCTATCTCCCACTCTGCATTAGTTTCGAAAGCACTCCCCTTCTATCTTAATAACCTGCGCTCAACAGAGCAAAATGATGGCAAGGTCTTGCGCATGATCATGTTCGGTAAACCCGGTGCTGGCAAGGGAACCCTCTCAGCCCGCCTCGTGAAGAAGTATGACATACTTTCCCTTTCCACTGGGGACCTTTTGCGGCAGCACATTGCGGAGAGGTGAGGTTAACTTCCCCGCGTCACGCATGTGACTGCGGCGCATGGTGCTGCGGTGCTGACCCTTGCCTGTCATGCAATTAGAACGGAAGTTGGCAGACAGGCAGAAGAAATTGTTGCACTGGGAAACTTACTTCCTGATGATGTCATGCTAAAAGTTGTTACGAGTAAGCTTGAGGCACTCAACAATAGGGTTAGTCTGTCATGATTTCCCTTCAACGTGGTTACCCTGAATGTATACTGCGTTTTTACAGCATTGGATTTTGGACGGTTTTCCACGAACGTTAGGCCAAGGAAAAATGCTTGATACCCATCTCCAGTTCGTAATATTAATCTTTTGCTGTTCAGGTACTGACTGCGGCCTCAGGATCCAGAATGCCCCATTAAGTCTTGTAGTCAACTTGGATGTTCCAGACAATGTAATCCTGAGTCGGATATCTGACCGCTGGGTTCATCTGCCATCTGGCCGCGTGTACAACATGTCATACAACCGACCGAAAGTGGATGGCTTCGATGACGAGACAGGTGAACCCTTGACGCGGCGACCTGATGATAACCCTGTACGTGGTTTCAAAGCCTAAACGTCTGCATAGCAATTTCCGACGGACGATTGATTAGGACATATTCTCTCGCCGTCTCAAGCAATTTTACGATTCCACGTCGCCACTACTCGCATATTACGCATCGCCCGTCAACAAGTCAGCACGACTCGTCACTTTGCAAGGCGAAACGTCAGACGAGATCTGGCCTCAGCTAGATGCTGCCGTGCGGAGGTCATTCCCCGGTATTCGAGAGCGCGCTTCCAGTATTGCCCAGCGGCGATATAGTCTCAGTGATCCATTTGCAATGGAGCAAGAAAAGCGAGCGATCAAGCGCCGGGCATCGGCTGGTGATGCATGATGCCTAATGCATCTAAAAATTTAATTTTCCATGTTCGCAGATGCTGTTTTGCTGGTCGTTCTTTCGCTTCTCCAGTTGTCTGGGTTAATGTTGCATTTTTTGTTCTACCTACGTTTCAGCTACGTTCTTGACGTTTTGATGTCACTATGTTTTTATCAGTTGTATTTTTACCGTTGTATACCAATTCTCAAATCTTGAATGCAGCTGTCGATGTTGCGTTGGATCATTACAATTGGTCTCCGAGTGACTGTCTCTAGAAGACACGTATGTCATATATTGCATTGTACCAGGTTCTTCATAAACTATGTGGCCAAAGTATTGGTATTCCCAAGGCAGACCTTCCATCGAGTATGCTTACGGCAAACGAGAACTGAAACTGTAGCCAAACATGGGAGCTGCTTTCTCTAAAGCCACCACGAGCAATGTCACCCCGGTTATCTCTCGCTCACCTTTCCACGTGCAAACGGCTTCTCCATACCTCAAGGCCATCGTTCAACTTCATTGGCCTTCCTGACCCCACTTCCAACCTCCGGCCCATCATATACACCACTACCACCACTTCTTCCTCCCCTTCCGAGTCTAAACAGCACCCATACTCCCTCAGAGAATTCTCAGATGATACCGTAGACCAAGAACTACAGTGGAAACTCCATCGAGAACAGCTCGACGCGTTCAACCACGCATATTGGGCAGAGGTAAGTTCTACATTATCGTGGTTCAGACCCAACGATTCGAACAAATCACTACCAGAGTAACACCCGCTTTGAGGCTGCCAAATCCTCAGTCCTCGCTGCCATACCGCCCAATGCACCCACTGAAGCACACGAGCACGCATTGTCCGAGTTTTACAAGAAGTGGGTCGTCCAAGAACGAGCGCGTCAGGACGAGTATGACGTAGAGCTCAAGAAGCGGACATTCGAGGATCTCTCGCTTTCTGCCAAAGTCGAATTCCAGAGGGCAAAGAAAAGGCTAGCGAGCTGGAGGTTTCTATAATCTATATAGATTTTGCAACTGCAGCGAGAAAGCAGGACTCGTACGATAACTACCCTATCCCTCTCTTGCGTACCCCAGGTCCAGCATCACAAGCTCTCTCACACGATGATACACGTCTCCCAGTCTCAATCCTTCGACTCCTGAGCTCTCGGCTCTATAATCTCTCGCTAGGTCGCCCACCATATCCTCCTGTATGCCTGGGAAACGCGACTTGATCTCGGGCATCAAAGGCACCGACAAGCATTCATTCGGGTCGAGGTCGACGCCGGTTAGCTGAGATAATTGGGGCGAGGGCAGAATAATGTTGAACGTGGTATAGAGCGCGGTCGCGCGGAAACGGGAGGTTAGTTGGGCGTCAGTTATGTTGGCGGTTTCGCGGATGGAGTCCCAGCTGGCAGTGACCGTTAAAGCGGCGAAATGGGACAGCAGAAATGGAACGTACTCGTCGTGGTTGTATATCCTACACCAAACTCTTCTGAATGATGATTGTTGCCTCGCGTCTGGAATATCCTTGTATGATAGTCGTCAATGGAGTGAAGAAAAAATCCAAGACAAGCGTGACCTACCTCGGCGTGTGCAAGCAAGTGCAGCGCAGTAGCATAATTCTCCACGCCCTCCGCGTTATCTTGCAGCGTGAGTACGTCGACCGTATCCTCCACGCTGAGCGCCTTGCCCTGGAGTACCTGCCTCACAAAGATCTTCAAGATCTGCACGCGGCCATCATCAGTACCATGTCCAAACTAAGGAGGATAGATGATCTACGCACCCCAATCAACCCGTGCCTCCGTTCTGCTCTCAGTCTCGTCGCTTTCGCCTTTATCACCGCATCCACTTGCGCATCCAAGCTCTGTTTTTGCTTGCCCCGCAAACTGCTAGCAGCTTCCCGGAACCCCTCAAACATTTTCTCCTGCACCGATACGAAATCCAAGTTATCATGGAAAGCTAGACGGCGGTTAGTCAAACACAAGTACAAAAACAAACCAAGCAGACGCACCATCCAATACTGCCTCATCAAGCTCCCCACCCTCCTGCATCTGCGCCAAATGCGCAAGTTTGCCCACACTAAGCATAAACTACGACGCATACCGATCAATGCCCGCCCAAATGCAAACAACTAAAGACGCTCACCTGCTTAACACCTACATCCCCCGCGCCTTTCGCCTCTCTCAATAACCTCGTCCCAGCAACACTCCACCGCCCCTGCCCCAAATCCCTCAGCCACGCCACTGCATCACACTTGCCTCCCTGCCCCTCCTCTTCCGCCCAGTACTCATCCATATACTTCCCCCACTCACCCTTCCCACTCTCCTCCATCGCAAACACTACCCTCGCTTCGCCATGCACCATACACCACCGCACCACCTCCCTTGCGAACATTCCCCCAAAGCGGTCGACATACTCCTCAATGGTGTGCGCGTGCGGATTGGAAGAGGGGGGGTAGACGGTGTCTTGGTGTAATAGGGTAGCGAGAGAGCGGAAGTCGGCATGGGATGCAGCGAGCGCAAGAGCGTTTGGGAGGTGTGAGGTGAGGCCTGTGAAGTCAGGTTAGGGCAAGGAGAGTGAGAAGGAGGGGAAAGCCTACGGAGAGTTTCAAGGATCTCGGGGCGGAGTTGGTCGAAGCGTTCTTTGAGATCTATGTGGTCCCTCTCAGAACCAGGTTCGTCTGCTGCTATGGGGCTATCCGTCAATTAGCTTTCTTCTCTCTCAGGCTGAATATGGAGTTAAATGACTTGCCTGCCGAGCCAATCCAACCTCTCTTGCACGCATGCAAAAAACATGGTCGCGAGTTCCGGGAGAAGCTCTCTCGACGCGTTTTTAGTGTTTACTTTGCTCGGGTCGAGGGCGAACCTGTAGCAAAAAAGAGGGGTCATGATACATTTGATAAACATTCAAAATCCACGCACCTCGTTGCTGTGTCTACAAGCTTCAATACACCATCGATAACACTCGGGCGGCTCGTCCACGGCTTGATCATAGGCAGCTCAACGCCATACACGGCAATATTATACGCTCGATACGAGAGCGCGGCTTGCAGAATCGTCTAGGACCCAGAACCATATCAGAACCATCCCAAGCACGCACAAAACAAGTGAGAGTAAAGAGGATAAAAACTCACAACAACAGCCCCTCCAACCTCTCTCATGGCTCCTTCTCCAGCTCTCTCAACCCGCTCGACCATGAACGGAATAAGCCGCCCAATCTCTGCTACTCTGTACCTGAAAAAGTCTCTGACGACATCGTGCGAAGCAGATGGGTGTGAAAGAGGGTAGGTGGCTGTGAATGCGTGGATGGCATCGGTGACGAGCGAGTGCGATGCCCCAGCGCTGTTTGATGCGAATGACGATGTAGTCAGAGGGGTAAACGAAGGAAGAATTAATGAGACAACGCACTCTAAATGTTCATTCATCTTTAACCAAAGCTGATGACACGCATAAAGCTTTTCCGCATCTGTAGCAAGACGCTGGCGGCTGCGCTGCGCCATCTTCCCAAGCGCTGAATTGTCGTTGATGAAACGTATGAGCCAGCTGAGCCTATCTTTCCGAGAGGTGAGTTGAGAGGTGAGGTCGTGATTTGGGCGGATGATCTCTGGGTCTTTTTATTTGAAGCACGGACGTCATACAAACGATGAAAATCGTCGACACAAACCATAGCAAGAGAAATCAGCGTCTCCAGACTGGCCAGGAGAATGAGTTGCACGCACCGCTCTCAAGGACAGCCCTACTTAACCCCTCTGCACCTGCCATGAGCGCGTCCGCATCAACCTCGGGAGGGAACGAGAAATGGAGGGGGTTATCAGGATTGCTTCCGTAAAGTATGGCTTGTGTGAGGAGTGCTCTGATGAGGATCGCACGGCCGGTCCTGTGGAACCAGATCTCAGACACAGAAAAACGGTGGAGAGTAGCAGAGATAGGAAACGAACGCGACTTACGCCTCATCGAATGTTTTAACCCTCCCCAGATCCACTCGAGCACGCATAAGCACGCCTGCTGTCAGTATGAGCACGTCCTCGGGCCCTGCCCCTTCCCCTTGTTCCTGTTCTGCAGAGTGTATTGGGGGTTGGGATGATGAGAGCACACCGAGTCCGAGTATCTGATCTGTGTTGGGGTCTTTCAGGGTGATGCGATCTTGGTAGGGAGAGTCTATTGGAAGAGTATCAGAATTGTTCGCTGAATTATGATAGGATGATAAGAGGACATACCCCGAGCACAAAATACGATCACATCCACGAATCTGATCGCTACGACTGCACCTCCCCCGAGGAGTGTCAAACGAGGATGCGAGGGTGCCGATGCGGCTGTCTACAAGCACAAACGCACGCGTTTCAGATAGATCTCGCGTAGAGCCAAGATAGAGTGCGCACCGTAGCATATGGTACCCCTGTAACACTTTGTATCTTCATGCCTCCGCCTATGCCCTCAATTACGCCTCCATCTCCGCCACTTCCTTCATACGCCACCTCCCCCCGTTTCGTGCTAGCACTGAGTCTGACGAGCGCATATATCCTTCTCGGTACCGGTGCACCCATGCCAAACCCACCGTACTGGTCAAGCGCCATTGCGGCTGTCTCCTGCTCGGATCCGGCGTATGAGACGAGGACAACGAGCGTGCCGTTGCTGTGGATGGGGCATCGTCGACAAATTAATTATTACACGTGATGAAACGCACCTCTCCACACCCAAATCAACGCCCTCCAAATCTTCCACCTTCCCCACCGCCTCCCGCACATCCACTTCACCCAATAGCACCTCCTTATTCAAGCTCCACCTCTGCACGCGGGTCTCGCTAAGTGTCCATAGTTCCTTATCCGCTGTCGCACTTCTTCCAAGCTCGCCACTAACAGAGCCAAGAGCAAGAGCAGATATACTCCCAGCTGTGGGCTGGGGAGCAGGCGTGGACCAGAGGAAACGCGCGAGAGAAAGCCCAGGTGTGGGTGGCGGTGCAAAGAGCCTTGCTGAGAGCGTATGCCGGCCACTTTGAGATGTGAGCGTGAGTCTAAACAGACGTCCATGTGAGGTAGACGCAATGTAGATTTGACCCTGAGAGAGCGCGTCAACAGGAAAGACATATGAGCGTGAGGAGCCACCTACATCAACCCTGAGCAATCCAGAAGTATACTCGCCCTCTCCGAGCTCGAGATTGATGCTTTCGAAGCTGCCGCCGCCTGCGAGACCACTGGTTATGCTGTCCCAGAAACGGATGTCACCGCGGAGGGAGAGAAGGACAAGACCAGGTTCGGAGCGTGACCTGGAGGGGACGAGAGCGTGGAATGGTGCTGATGGTGGGTGTGCGTAATCTTGAGAGGAAGGAGGACACGGGAGGATGTAACATGTGGTCGGCTTGGTGTGATGCCAGACGAAGCAGGTGTTCGAGGACGCGGCAAGGGCGTATCCCGTGATGGCATCCACTGCACCGGTCCAAGGTTGAGAGTAGAAATCTGTGCATCATCGAGGTTGTTTTCAGCGCTTGGAATAATTTGAATTGAACAGAATAGACGCACCAGCACCCTTTAGCTCGCGCCTGGCCTCAAACGGGAGTGCAGAATGGAAAGCCACGCTGATCTCGTCTGTGCGCGCATAGAGCGTTTCCCTCCCTGATCCCAATACACGTTCACTATACATTTGCACGTCGTCAACGTCCATGACGTCTTGTACCACAGCGATGTCCTCGGTGCGCCTCGAGGGTGTGCCAACAGCGCGAGCACTGACCATGCGGCGCTGTCTAGGCGGCGTCACTGATGCACGCGGCGTGGCATATCTGTGCGTTTTTCGTGGTGCAGGCGACGCCATCTGTGCAGTCCTAAGTGAGGTCTTCAACGATTACAAGAACTCGTTCATCCACCGTCTGAAGGAGGAAATGATACAAACAAGTATCAATACCTGTTCATCACTCTCCACAACGAGCAAGACAGCATGCTAGGCATAGAAGACTACGGTAGCGACGTCGACAGCGACAACGAAGTGTCATTCACTGCATCGTTACCCAAAGTAAAAGCGAAAGCACCTGCACCATCGAAACCTTCAGGCCTCGCTCTCCCTCCGCCCAAATCATCTGGTTCGTCAAGTCTGTCACTTCCACCACCAACCACCACCAAAACAAAACGCACAAAGAAAATAGAAATCACGCTTCCCTCACTTCCTTCCAATGACTCTGACGGAGACGACCGACCACCAGCCAAGAAATCCCGAATCACATCTAGCAAAGGGGCAGGCGCATCATCCCTTCTCAACATGCTGCCCGCGCCTACACAGCCTCTGCCCATCAAAGCCAAGAAGGCTGAACGTATGCTTGGAGGTGGGAATGGTCCAGGGTTAGTGTTCCATGCACCAGCGAGCGTACAGGAGGATGGCGAAGGGGATGGCGAGGAGGCATCCACGTCTTTCCTGCCCCCTTCACTCAAGAAGGGAAAATCCAACGTCGCACTGGACCGTGAGGACTACAAGCCACAAGCGCTTCCAAAGGCACCTGCCGTGAACTTCTTCTCTCTTGGTATGTTCCCTGCTACTCTGTATTTCTCATCCTTACCCCATACAGGTACTTCACCAAGACCTAATTCTGCAGTGCCATCTACATCCACAACACCCAGCGCATCTACACCACCAATTTCATCCGCCCCCGAGGTGGCTTCATTCACTCCGCCACCTCCAACACCTACCGACCCCTACCCCGGATACTACCTTCTTCCCTCCGGTGCCTGGGCCGCTCACGACCAGGCATATTACGCCACATTCGTCAAAAAGTGGCAGAAGGAGTACGATGCCCAAGTACGCGCACTCGAGAAAGGCGAGGTGGAGAGGGAAGCAGAAGAAGCAGAGGAGGTCAATATGCAGACAGAGATGGAGAAAGCACGGAAAGAGATAAAAGAGAGGGAGGACAGGAAGGCTCTTACGGGCGTCAAGACCGGGGAGCAAGAACAACCAAGGATGAATGTACAGGTGTGTATGCTGTTCTTGAGTGTTATGCTGCGTGGTAGACGAGTGCTCACAATTCAACTTTCTACAGGGCGCAAAACTAGGCTCGACAGCCCGGTCGCGACATCAACTCACAACGCTCCTTACAGATGCATACCACAATCGGGAGGCACTGGAGGAGAAGATCGCACAAGCACGGAGGAACAGGAAAGAGGCAGGGAACAAATATGGTGCGTAACTCTTCCGCCCCTGCTGCAAGGATTATGTTACAAGACTCATCAATCCTGCAGGCTTCTAGGTTCTTGGAAACAATCATGCATCATATTATGGATAGGTTGCTATTACTGCTCAGAGGGTATGTATAATATCTACAAGATGGGCTATGCTACATATTTAATAGATCCACGTCTGTCCATTTACCATGCTTAATGCACCACGGTCGGATCCGGCTCTCCTCAATGCTATGGCTTGCGTGACTGCACGTCTCATCTGGCAGCAGAGAATTCTGCCCAACAACAAATGTTATTGTTTGCATCCACAAGAGAAAAGAACACGCACTTGTAACACTCTTCGTTCCCTCACTGATTGCATGCTTCGCAAGCTCTCCGGGAAGAATGAGCCTCACTGCCGTCTGAATCTCGCGCGAGGAGATAGTGGATTTCTTCGTATAAGTGGCGAGCTCTACAACGAGGGCATCAGTCACAAATTCGAAATCTATCCAACAAAAATGACGTACTGCTCGCTTCCGAGGCGATCCTTTCGAACAGGTCATTCACGAATGAATTTAAAACGCCCATTCCCTTGTTCGATATACCAGTGTCGGGGTGGACCTGCCTCAACACTGCAACACACGTCAGCCAGTTGTTGCATCGGAATGCAAGCGAACGCGAAGGGGCGAACACACCCTTGTAAATATAACTGCTATACGTCTCCTTCCTCGCCTTCTTGCGCTTCTTTTTCGTCGAATCCCCATCCTCCTTCGAAGGTGCCTTCCTAGCCGCTTTCTGTTGTCCCGCTGACGATACGGGTGCTTTAGCAGCTTTAGAAGCAGGCGCTTTGGAGGCGGTTGAGACGGGCTAGATCAAAGGTGAGCAGGTTTCGAGCATTAACGAACGAAAATACCTTAAAAACCCATACTTGCTCAAAGCAAAAGTAAAAGAGGGAAGAAGAAAAGACAGAAAACGCGTAAATATTGCCCCTACGAAGACGCGTCGCGCTTTATACACCGACGCGTTTCAACCAAGCGGAGTTTGAAGTCAAGGCGCGGCATTCTTGATTGATAAGGAAGGACGCTTTCCGGGCGCCCGCCTAGCTCAATCGGATAGAGCGTCAGACTTTTACGACTGTCGGTTCCATCTGACGTAATCTGAAGGCTGCGAGTTCGACCCTCGCGGTGGGCTATTCTTACTTTTGCTTTTGTACCGCGCGCGTTTCTGAACACTTGATTTTTTTATTCGCATAATAATTCATCTTGGTCTCACCATCACAGCAGATATGGTTGGCCGGAGTCGAATAGGCTCAATGATTCTTGAGTCCAGCCGACTAGAACAAAAGGGGAGTGGCCCAAAATACTGTGACATTGACCTCTAACGGCCGGAACTAAGTAAATACTGACGTGCGTCTCGAATTCCAGACAATGGAAGACACATGCTTACAGAAACGAACCAGCTTGCAATTGGGGCTATTGGACGTTCAAGCACATTTAATCATTCTTGCTACTAGTTGGTTGTCCGTTACATGTGCATCCACTTGTTTATAGTCGACCAGTGGCTGTAGTCACATTAACCAGTATTTTCAACATCTAGTTGACCAATGATGCGTTCTCTGCCTCGCGGGCAACGCATGGCCGAGTGTGGCCTGAAATAAACAAGGAACGAGAAGGAAAAACTGTCTCCCTTTCATTGGTCTGACTCGGACTTGGCGAGACTAGATCTGTCAAACATCTTATGGTTCGACGGTTCATCAGAGAAAGTGAACAGAAGCGAATCAAACGTGCGCTAGGAATAATGTAAAAAGACGCTAGACGCTCAAGGTTTGACAACCAGACAGGAGTCTCTACGTACGACGTTGCGATAGACGTCTACAGTGCCACATGCAGGGATGATGTCCGCACAACCGTCGACCCATTAAGAAATCCTAGTGCTTGTCTTCCTCCGTGCTGTGCACTTCAGGCACAGAACGCGCGCGATTCACCCACCCTCCGACGATCCATGACCCTGCAAGTAAACCGAGCAGGACCCAAACTCCTCTGGTTTGCTCATTATTGAGGGGCCTAGACTTTGCGTGCACATCCGGCCCTTTCTCCTTGACAGCCTGAACCACATTCGAGACCGCCTCGCCAACTCGGAAAGCCCGCGGCAGCCCCAGGTCATTAGCCAGGTCACGGAAGACACCAGATTCAACCGCAAGTTCGGCATCCACTCCAGGTTTAATAGCGGCCACTTCCTCCGTAACGACCGCTTCCTCGTGAGGCTTTTCAAGATTGTAGGTGGGACCACCATCAGGATGTGTCGCAGACCCCGAAACGACGTGCAATTTTGGGTGAGAAGGTTCTATGGGCTCAGGTTTCGGACTGGATGAATCCCAAAAATCGGGGACGAAGGGCTGAGGGGATGATAATCAGATGTGTTACAAAGATCATATCAAAGAGTTTGCATGTGACAACGACTCGATATGGTCGATGGGGGTAGAACCGTTAGACCCGTAACTTAAATCGGACCGCCCTATCGATCAAGAAAAGAGGGAAATGCTCACTGTTTGAACGGGTGCGCATGGCCCATCTTGAGAGAGGTCAGGCAATCTGACCGACAAATAGTCGGGTGTCACTGATGCACTCGCGGGCTGCGATGCAGGTGGTATTCCTGGGGATGCAGCTTGCGGTGGAGTGGCAGATGAAGACGCATTGCGAGATGCGGCGGGTGTAGGCTGCGAAAAAGGAACAGTTCTAGATTCTTCGTACTCCTGAATGCGGTTTATGATGGAAGATTTGTTACCCTTGCTAATAGGACAATCAGTTTCGGGTCCCGAGGCGAATAAAATGAAGAGAACAGAATGAGAAAAGCCGAAAGTAAGACTCACGTCGAAAGACCTCGGGTTTTCGCTTCATGACGCAAAGTAGCCACGGTCTCATTTTCCCAAGTTCGAGAGAGCAAAACTGTAGAAACAAAACTCCTTTGGTTTACTGTGGAGCGTGAAGCATTTGTTAGATTTTTCTGACGGAGGACAGCTCGTAACATGATTTTGATGGTTTGGTTTGGCTGCCAACAAAAAGGACCATGTTCGGTGCTGTTACCACGTGCCACGCCATCTAACACAGCTTGGATATTCGAGTCACATCTTATCGAATGATTGGTTCGACTGCTTTGTCGGACTCGTATCGAAGTCGGGTCAAGGGTTACCTGCTGTGGGTTATCATTGAACCATTGTCGCTAAAGAAAGTTCTCGTGAGTCCGGGTCCTGGGATTGATTCGAGCGCTTGATGACAATTTACTGATGGTCTATCTTTTACAGCAATTGACTCCTTGCCTCGTGTTTCTATCGCGTGTTCTTGACCTGCTAATAATCAAAAATCCTTTTTCAGTTTGGCATGACTCTTTTCCTCATACTCTAATCCCAAGCCCTCCGTTATTTCAGCTATGCTTCTCTCTCCAGCGTAAGAAAAGGTCATCGATCTCCCACATATCACCCTTCAAATGTTTTCTTCACGCAGATCAACCAGCGCCAGTCTCCCCTCTCAATCTTTCTGGGGAAAGTTCAAGAAAAAAGGCGACAAGGAGAGCGAGTTCCGCGAAAGGCAGGCCCAAATGGCCCTTGCACGACAGCGACTCCTCACACTTGCCTACGAAGACATGGAGACAGTCAGAGTGGTACGGTCATTCCTCATTCATTCTTATATTCTTTTGTAACATCTTTCGTCCCCCGCCACAGCTGCCCAATAGTTTCCCCGTAAGTGGCGGCGCTAATTGCCTGAGTTCGGCTGATTTGTTCCTGCACAGGAACTCGAAGCTGTAGCCAGAGATTGGACAAAACCTCCCCCAGACGCCATGTTCGGCCTCCGTGTCCCTGTCGAATACGCATCCCTACATGCCTCTGTAAGTTGGCGCCATCGGGTTGGATGATATATTCTGACGTCATTGCCAGCGGCTGGTTTCCGGGCCCTATATCTATGTGAGTGATCGAGATCTATTTCTGATATGGATGGCTCATGGCAGATATGACTAGTTGACTGGTGAGGACTCATACCAAATTGCGGTCATGGGCGTGCAGGGGCTGCGGGTGGAGATTGTGAGCGATGCCCCTCCGCCACCCGATGAACCACCGTAAGTTTGATGCCGTCACCACAAAGTAGTCTAAGCTAACTGTGTCATAGGCCACCACCGTAAGTACGCTTTTGAGTTAGTCATACACTGCTTGAAATGTCTTCAGTCCGCCGCCGGTCACGGAGATGCCTGCCACGTTTAACCTGGAGCTCGTGCCCGGTCAACACGTGGTACTAGAAACAACAGTTGCTTCTGCTGATGACGTCGACATGGCCCGCATGGAAGACGGCACCGTCGTCGATGGCCAGTACTGGGGCAAGCTGAACATAGTGCATGACGGCGACACCCACACTGTCGACTTCACAGGCACCCGTATAGTCAACCCTGATGTCCCACCCGACCTTCTCTTCGATTCACGGGTCATGAGTAAGCTCACGACCGCCGCCAAGCCTTCTTCTGTCAAATGCCACCTGAGCATCCTTTCACCTACTCTGGAGTATTGCGATGTCATTCTCTCGATCAACCCGTTATGGAGGCTTGAACTTACGTGGCCCCCTGCGCAACCAGTTAACGAAACCAAAGTCAAGTATTTTCTCCGCGTTCACCCTGGCGGTGCGCTCGAGCATTTTGAGAGTGAAATGGTTACGACGTCGTTATATTACGAAGCAGTGTAGGTGCCATGCTTTTCATCTCCGCATTATTGAACTTCATGGCACGTAGACCCGACCCATCGATGGTCGACCCTAATGATTTATTGCACCCCGAAACGGATATGCTATGACGTTCCGAGATTTCGTGCCCCACCTTATGAGCGTCCTAGATCAGCTGGGCATGTCTAAACATGGGCGAACTAACTTCATCAAGTGCGTGTTCTCATGTCACTTGTCTGATATGGCTGACACTGACATTGACGCGCACAGCAACAACATCTCTGCATTTGCAGCTCACAAAAACATTGCCTACCGTTTCCTCTCGCCCTCGAAGATAGCTGCAGCAATTGACATTTCAGTTACTTCTGATCCCTGCGTCTTCACGCGCCTGTTTCTTATCTTCCGCGGGTTAACGGACGATGATGTGGGACTGTTTGCAGGCGCAGGCGAGAAGGAGGCGAATTCGGTCAACTGGAGGGAGATTGTGGGGTGGAGCGAGAATTCGAAGGACACGACTCAGTTCAGGCTTCTCGAAACTTCCGTGTTTGAAGTTACCTAGGAGGGAAGATACATTTGAGCCGAGGTGGTAGCTGGTCTTCCTGCCTCCAGACGTGTCCCTTCTTTCACCGCTATGCCTTGTTGCTCGTCACCGGCTGGCATTCTTCTTTTTCTGTTTTGCGACGCCCCACCTTATTGATTCGTCTTTGCATTTTGATATCTTAGAACATTGTCGGGCTATATCATCGCTGTCCTGCACATGCTTTCTTGTCACGTCCGCAGCTATTATATCTATTCGATATCTGCTCCCCTTTATATTTCTCTGGTGTTACGTCATTTTGATAAGTACTGGCTTGCCTACGTGTTTCTTTTAGCGATTTTTCTTCATGGTCATGTCGTTGTATCCGCTGTTTCTGTACCGTAGTCGATATCGAAAATGTAACAGTGAAGGAAGATGTTCGAATGTTTTAGTTACTACTAGGCCCGGCTCGTAAATGTCAATTGAATTCTGACTTCTAGTGCTCAATTACCGCTAGAAAGACAGGGGCCGTGACAAAAAGCGCGTGACTGTGACGTCACGCGACGCGTTTTGATTGGTTTCACGTTGGATTGATCTTGTTTTCAATTACCTACATACACGATGCCCGAGTTATCAGCATAGTAAGTTCACTTCATATTTCGCGCATAGTGCTAAGCATTCTACTCCAGCGAACTTGAGCGTGAAGCCAACATCGCGCGCAACCGTGCACTCCTGCAGGAGCTTGATCTCAAGGACGCTGTTACTCAACTCGGCATTCCACCCAAACCCAAGCCTGCCCCCAGAACAAGGGCGAAGCCCATTCAACCTGCGAAGAAGGTGAAACGAGAGCGTGAAGTTGTAGAAGCGCCTCGTAGGCAGAGTGCACGTCTCAAGAAGGAGGTCGTAGATCCGAACGAAACTGCTGCCCAGAAGAAACAACGGGAGGTGAGCGCCCGCGCGACCGTAGTCCTTCGGCATTTATGATTGATCGCGTTGTAGGCAGAACAAAAGACGAGGCGTCGTATTGAGGAGCAAGAGCGCATCGAGGCTGAGGAGAAAGCTCGTCTCGCAAAACGCCCCAGACATCAGGAACTGGATCTCACTACATTAGGGGATAAACTAGAGGACTCAGAAGTCAGCTCGCTCCGATCGTCCCTTCAAGCTGTCACGAACCTCCCGCTCCCAAAGCGTACCGCAGCTGCGGATGCATTTGTATTTCATGAAGACCGGAAGAATGAAGCTGAAGTCAAAGAATTGAGAAAGAGGCTTCAGAAGCTGAGGATAGTGTCTCGCGCCAAGGTGACTGAAGACAGAGTCTACAGCGCTGCCTACCACCCCGAGGCTACCAAGGATTTAGTATTCTTTGGTGGTAAGGTACCGTGCTCAAATTATTGGTAGGTCGCTAATGTGAATTTAGACAAACATGGTCAAATTGGAATTTGGGATGCCAGAGCTCCCGCAGATGAGGTTGAAGATGAAGACGGCGACATCTCTGCAGACCACAATGAAGGCGGGAAATATTGGCGCCTCCAGTGTCACTGGCCTGCGTCTTCCAAATCGTCAATATCATCTATAAAATTCGACCCAGTTGACGCACATAGTGTAAGGACATAGCTTAATCCTGGAAAGACTGCACTGACAGCGCTTCTTAGCTATTTACGACCTCATACGATGGTACAATACGCCGCTTGTCTTTCGTCTCGGGGATTTCGCAAGAGATATTCTCTTCAGATGAACACCTCATCACAAGTATAGACCTTCCGGTTGGTGGTAACGAAATGTGGATATCCGACGCTTCCGGTGGCCTCACTCATCTTGATCTTCGAGAACCCAAGGACAAGGCCTGTTGGTATGGCCTGTCGGGCGCGAAGATTGGCACCGTTAGCATCAACCCGACAAGTCCGCATTTCTTGCTCACGGCGTCGAACAGCCGTTTATTGAAGTAAGATATGACTATCGCTTATGTCCTTGTCTTCTTTTCTCAGCAATGATTTCAAGGGTGTGGGACAGCAGGAAACTACAGAAAATCACCTCAGCAACTGGGCCATATCAATTCAGCCAAGAGGCCGTCGAAAATCTGGTCGAGTCAAAGAAAGGCGAGGGTACTGTCCGCGGTGAATTCGCTCATGGAAAGTCGGTGAGCTCAGCATACTGGGACCCGAGAGGGAGAGGTATCGTCAGCACGAGCTATGACGACACCATAAGATGTGGGTGATATTTGCGCACACCAAGAAAATACTGACAGCTTTGCAGTATGGGATTTGGATGCAACTAAGTACAGTTCATCAACCAATTTCCCCTCCTTCACACCGTTCAGCCGCATAAGACACAACTGTCAGACAGTAAGTGCCAGGTTCGTTATCTTACTCTTTTCTCCTTTACTGACACTTTTCCAGGGCAAATGGGTGACTATTCTTCGTGCGATCTGGAATCCCAACCCAGACGTATTCCCCCACTTCACAGTCAGTTATTTGTTATACCCGGACACAACCTTTCGTCTGACTGATGTCACCTTAGATCGGGAATTTGAATCATTCTCTGGACATATACTCATGCAAGGTACTCATCCATACATTAACTGGACCCGTTTGACTGGCTCTGACCTCTTTACTTCTAGGGTGACTTGATTGCAAGACTCTCGGACAGTTGGTAAGTGATCTGATGGTTTCGGATGACGGTATCTAATTTTCTCATCTCAGGATCACTGCTACACAAGCTGTAACATGTTCCCACCCAAGTGTTGTCGAAAGATGTGCAACAGGAAACGCGAGTGGGCGTTGTGTACTCTGGGCACCACCAGATGTATAGTGACGGGTATCTAGTTCACACCGTTGTATGCTATTTATCCTATTCTTATAGCACCTGGGTCATTCAATCGTGAATCGGGTCTTCCACTGCAAATAGTGAAAATCCCGCCCTCAGGGGATGACGAATACTGAGCGAACTTGCCCTTGATAACCATCTAGTTGAGCTTGCGCCAGGTGTCGACGAATGGGGCATGTAGTTGTGGAAGAAGGCGTGGAGTACGCGGTGAATGAAGAGAAATTTGTTGGCCTTCTAGGACTGCACAGCCTGCAAATGAACAACAAACGTTGGAATGAGTTGACTCAGGTTCAGCCCTACTTACATCATTACTTACGGCGAACGCACGTCGGACAAACAAATCAAAATAACGCGTCTTTGCACCAGAACATTCATGTCTCTCAACGACATCTGGGACGCGCCAATTTCCCCCATTCGCGCTACTACGCCGCATTTTGATACAACCAGCTCACAGAAGCGCCACAGAGAGACTTTATTTCTTTCTGACTCAGATAACGAGGACGAGCAACCGGCGCCCAAGAGACCTACTAGCTCCGCACCGAGACCAGACGTAGACGCGCTCTTCGCCGACATCGATAATGATGGACCAGAGGAAGAGGATGACTTGAGATATAAGCCCCTTGCTCCTGCCCTTGACCTTGAGGCGCTTCGCAAACAGGCCGCGGCAAAGCACGCGTTGACACCCCATCAAATTTTGCCTAGTAGTTCTCCGCCGAGAGATGTAGGTCATGGTGAAGACGACGAGGTGGACAAGGATAGCAAGGGGAAAGGGAAAGGAGAAGGAAAAGAGAGAAAGAAGGTTGCATTACTTGATGAAACAAGTTTGATAGGAGCAACGGGGTTTCCACAACTCATTCAGAATATCAAGGATTTTAAGGTCAAAGGGAAAGGTCATGAGGTGAGTCACACTGACAGGGGACTTGGGTGCTGATGCAGATTTCTGGACGTCTATTTAGCTTTCAGACCTCCATCGGATTCTCCAAGTATACCAGTTTTGGTCTCATAGATTGTACCCCAAGACTCCGTTCAAGGACACCGTTGAGCGTGTTGAGAAGTTATGTCACTCAAAACGAATGCAGGTACGACCGAATATCGATCGCGTTCGCATATCACAATCACACCATCAATGAAGGTCCGGTTAAGCGTATGGCGCGATGAGGCGAAAGGCCTTGTCAAACCAGGAGAGAACGACGACGACGACGTTATTGATCTCACCGATCCAAATATTGAGAGTACCAAGAATGACGATTCGTCCTCTTCGCGTGCCCCGTCTCTTCCGCCCTCGTCGTCAGAGGCTGAAGATGACGATTTCGATATCGATGCTGTCGTTCGAGAAGAGGAGATACGCCTTGCTGCGTTCAGAGCACAGCATTCGGTTTCCCCCGCACCTCCCGCACCAAAAGCCAAATATAAAATTTTGCCACCCGAAGTTGCAGATGGGATGGACATTGACGAAGAGGTGATGTGGAATGACCTCGAGATATTCGATGACCCAATCTCCAACCCCGCTCCGCTACCTCCGAAGAGCAATAAACCAAGCCTCTTAGCCGACGACCAGGATGAAGAGATGTGGGATATGGTAAGGGAACTGGAGAGAGAAGAGTATACAGCATCAAAGCAACTTCCTGTGTCATCCGTGTTGAGCACGCCTTCGGCAGAGACGGCCAACACGTCTCTCGGGACGAATGACGAAGACTTTGATGATATATATGCGTAGGTTCAGATGGTACGTACGCAAACGAATGCCATATTATGATCTTGTCGTTTGGATACAATAACCGAACTTCTTTGTTCTTCACGTCCGTCTTCTGATTCCAACCAATGAAGCCTCGGATATATGAGCACTGAGGACGGCGGCGGCGAGGGATAATAGATATTGCATTTGAATTAGGATCACGTGACCCAAAACTGACAAGGTATCCACTGTAAGTATCTTGGATGCGCATCATCATCACAGTGACAATCGACAAATACAATGTCCTCGACCGAACCTGTTCCAGACCTTGAAGCAGGTATTCTGTACTGGGCCACTCAGCCCGCAAACTACGACGGCGTGCTTGGTCTGCTTCATTGCTAACCACTTTGCCATCGAATATCGGCTAACATTCACATCCAGGTGGATTTGGAACAGGGGTGACTCTGATCTCATTCATTGCCGATGAACCTATATACTGAAGCATTGGTGGCAGTCGCTTCCTCGCGTTGACGCTCTTGGATCGCGTCGCTTCCTCCTCGATCTCCTTCCTGAACTATCCACAGTCCCATCACCATTTCGGAATCTCTCCGCCCCTACGTCCGAAACTAGGCGTGTGAGAGCTCTTGATGTCGGCGCGGGTGTCGGGCGTGTCACATCAGACGTCCTCCTTCCCCTTGTCTCAGATGTTGTCCTGCTCGAGCCTGTAGAGCCTTTCATCAACGAAGCTCGATCACGCGGAAAAGCCAGCGAATCCGGTGTGGAATTGAACGATAGCGGGTATAGGGTGTTGTGGAAGGGTATCGCTGACAAATCGAAGAGCGTTACGTTCTTTAAAGGTGCCTTGCAATCTTTTGACCCAGCTGCACCAGGGACACCTCTGGATCGAGTCGGTTATCTGCCACCCGACGGTGATGACGATAAGGAATCGAAATTTGATGTGATTTGGTGTCAGTGGTGCCTAGGTCACTTGAAAGATGATGATCTTGTGCAGTTCCTGCAGATGAGCAAGAAGGCTCTACGTGATGCGAGGAGTCTCATCGTGGTGAAGGAGAATTTATGCCGTGAGCAAGGAAACGAGCCTGTGACCGTTTTTGACGAGCAAGACTCGACCTTCACTCGGTTCGTAAGAAGCGATTATGTTTTACAAAAGTCTTTACTTTGATTTGTAGGTCAGACCTGGCATTCAAAAATATTTTTCAAAGTGCAGGTCTCAAGATCATCCGAGAGAAAATCCAACATGGGCTCCCCAAAGGGTTGTATCCTGTGAAAATGTACGCCCCGCTCTCTCGCATATATCCTTTCTCATATTAAGGCTTGCATCAGGTACGCGCTAAGGGAGGCATAGGATGTCCTTCAATAGGGTATGTCGTCGCGTCCGTAGCGCAGAATATGCACCATCGAGGCAGTACAAACAAACAATACTCGTCTGACATCGTCTGGGCTTTTGTTCCAACATCATTGCATGCACAAACGGCTACTGGCCCCGGGCGTGGCGCTGTACGAGTTTGACGTTGACGATAGTCCAGGGACGACTGTGAACATTGGTTTGATATCACGATGATATGGCAGATCTATTCGCCGGACTGAACAACTCATGCCAACAACCCCTTCGAAAGTTTCGCACCATATTTCCGGCCTGTTTTTCATTTCAATAGCACCAGAATCGTCGCGGCACAATTGTCAAAAATTGGATTGTGCGCGCGATAGGTAAAGGTGCATAGTTGTGGCGTCCGCATCAGCACCGAAGTGCGTCTATGATTGTCTCGAGCACTTGCCTTGACATGGTACATGACTCCTTGGACTAGATGCTTGGTAGACTTTGGTAGACATGCATGTCGTTCCTCCGCCATCCCACTGGCAGACTCTTTTGATAATTAGGGGGCTAATAATCCGATAACTATTGATCATGGCTTAACCTCTCAAGAATGTCGCTGACTACAGTCTTCAACTCTTTCGCAGCAACGGCGACCCCCTCTCCCTGCCCCTGCTCTGAACCTCGCTTCTCCAGTGTTTCGATAACACAATCCACATTTCCGATGAGCTGCTCGAGTTCAGGTTTCGAAGCAATCTGCATACACTTCTTTGTACCTTCCACGAGGATAGGAAAGAATTCAAAACAGTGTACATCATCGAATATGAGATGGATGTAGAGCCATGCCCTTATTATCATGTCCCACCACTGCTGCTCTGCGATAGGCTCAAGCAATGAAACCGATAACGGTTCCGGTGCGAGTCGGAGGAGGATACCAACTAGGTAAAATGCATGCGAGGAGAATGACTTTGCAGTCATGCTAATGCACTGTTCGATGTGGCGGTCCCCTAACAAGTGGGGACGCCAGCTGGAACTTCCCGCGAGGGCAAAGACCAACTCGAGGTAGAACAAGTCGCGGGTCTGGTAGAGGCGGCGTGGACCATCGTTGACAGGTATTGCACCTGGTCGCGGACAAATCGTGGTCATGACAGCAGGGGAGAATTTGGTCAAAACCATCTTCGTTAGCCTCGCATCATCAATGGCATCGATTGAGGCCAAGACGTCTCGGGCAGTGTGAGCTGCGCGAAGGGCAGCATGACGTAAACGGAAAGGCATGTTACTGCCCATGCATGTGGCGAGTCTCTCGATGAATAGATATAGTTTAGCGGGGCTACAGCTCACTTTGATACCACTCAGTAGCAAAAGGATGTCACCCGCAGTGTCGTGGTCCTCAGAATAAATGTAATCGAGATAGTCCACGAGCCAATCAAAGTCTTCTGGCGAGCAGGAGTTTCCTACCCGCTGAACCGGAAACCAGGGGGTAGGCTCATACACTTGGTAGGCAGTGGCGAGCGTGAAGTGCAGTAACCGCCGAAAAGCTGCTGCTGAATCCGAGGGATCATTTTGCTCGAATGACCTCGCTCGTGGAGAAATCTTCCTACACAGGTCCAAATTCCGTCCAAATACCGGTCGGAATGGAAGTATGTTTTCAGGTCGAGCAAGCTCGAGTATGCGACAGATGACCTTGAGGAGGTACCATGCTCTGCGCCCAACTCCTGTGCTGTCTCTGTCGAGATCGCCTCCGTCGCATACCAAGAGAGCCTTTTGGAACTGCACCAAAAGAGAGACAGCGAGTTTAGGCAGAGCAGAACTAGATAATCTCTTTGTTAAATATAGCAGAAGAACCAACAAATGAGTCAACAGCACCTTTTATCAAGTCGAATTATGTCCTTTTTGTCAAACTGAACCCCCACCATGACGCAAGCAAGAAGAGTGCAATTGGCTATGATTTGACGCGACGGAGAAGATGGAGATATCAATTTTGATATCACAGCTAAGGAGAGTTTTTCTATGTCTTTATCCACTCGCCCAGTAACAAAGTGGTAGGGAAGAACATGTGAAAGCCACTTGGACACAGAGTCGGGACAATTCCCCAAATCTGGAGTAGACCACGATGTGCTCCGATCGTGATCTTCTGCAAAAGAAAGTTTGATAGTTGGGGTAAGCACATAATCTTGGAACCCCCGCCGGTGCCGCATGGCAGTAAACACATCGGAGTCTCTTCTCAACTGGCCATCTTGACTCCACTGGCCAAGCAAATCACCATGGTCAGGATATACCTGAAGAACACGTCCGTAGTATATATGACTCAAAGCCATTGTACACGCCGATCCTCTCTCCTCCAACGACGGTACGATTTGCATCTGGACGTCCAAACAGCTTGTGTAAATAGCATAGAGTTGATGTAGCATGTATGAAACGTCCAGATCCAGGGGCCATTCGACCTGCGGAACAAGGTTAACAGCGGCTAGAGATACTGCGGGATCTCTGGATGTCTCGATCAGCCACTTGATGCTAGGTGCCTCGAGGTGGCTGGAACGTATGTCCGAGAGGTCCAGTTTAAGGGGGTACTCAGTATCCGCCCAGGACTTTTTCAAGTCTAGGTCAAGTGATTGTGCCTCCGAATCTCGCACGTCCTTCCTAGAAGAGTACCAAGCCGAAGATTGCAACAAGGCATGAAGCGCACCGAGAAAGCGCCATATGAAAGCGCTTACAGAGTCTGTGGAGTGAAATGAGCACTGGTTGTCCTATGCAACAGTAATCAAGAACGTCACCTGCTGCAGAAAATCGGGTCCAACTTGATCCGATGGCATCAAACAGCCGTTTCAGCACACCTAAAACGGTCAAAATTTGTGCACGTGCAAGAAAGCATGACCCAGAGCCCACCATGTACTGGCGTCGTCAGCTGCTGGAAATATTTGAAACCTGATTTGAACATCGGGCTTAAAACTCCTGCAATCTTCGTTCAAACTGGAAACACCATTAAAACTCACAAAAAGATCTTACTGTCGATCCGCAACATGCGCAACACTGATGAAACCGGCGTCTGAAATGGACAGGAGGGAGATACCAGTGATGCCATTACGGTCAATGAATAGAACAAGAATCCGAAGACCGTCGCTGCAACTATGACCCAGGCGATCGTGTGCTGCTCGTACCACATGTTGGCGCTCAGGGCAATCCCAAAGAGAAGAAGGGAGATCTGAAGCAAGATCGGAAAGGATTGTACGACAGCATCAAAATACCATGTCATGATGCCGTCGAACATCTTCTGTCTGTGTTTTGCTCGTTCCTCCGCCGAGCCGCGGCCATATCTGTGCGACTTGTAGTGTCCGAGCCACTGCTTGCCTAGCACGGCCCCGAAAGCAGCGAGCAGACTCATGCACAAGCTCGCGTATGCAATCACTTGGATCTTTACATCTGCCGTGGATGGAGACCACGTAGATGCCGGCGCTGCTGGCGTAGAGCCCGCTGCGAGGGTGCCCATTCCGATTTGTACGAGCTGCGCGAGCAGGGCGTTGGTGGTGTCGCTGGGGTCAGGACTGAGCCTGGACTCCATTGCTATGATGAAAGATGTGCTGACAGCGGAGAAAAGACCGGACTGATCGAACATCAACTTCAGACCGAACCAAAGATGACCATGCCAGTGCGAAACCTACGAAGATCAAGACAATGTCCATGTCGCTAGCGTATTGCTCAAGGAAGTCGCCATCGTGTTCCTCCGCGACTCCTCTGTATGCCGTCCAGAATCGAGAGCGACCATCCTTGCCACCCTTTGAGGCAATTGTTGAATCCTGGAGAACGTCCAATACTTGCTTCATGACGTTCACGCTGTGGGCGTATCGTCAGCTGCGATGACTTGTCTTATTCTGTCGCTCACCATTCACTTAGATTCGGCTGGTCCTTCTGCACTACGACCTCTTCTGCCTTGCTGAAATAATTTAGCTTGTGTGGTGTTGTAATTGAGCGAAACTTACGGAGCTAATCCCTCGTTAGGCGAGACATCGGAAATAGGTCTTGATGACTGGGAAGGCCCAGCGTTCGGGCTGCAGTTCTGCTAAGGAGTGATGCATAAGAATCAAGGTAGAAACAACTCACTCTGATGGCAGCTTCACCGCCGAAGATCCACAATTTTTATCCTCCCTGTCGTTCTGTTATGTGGGTGATAGATGCCGAGAAGCCGCGGCTTACTCCTTGGTGGGTCCTGCAGTATCATTTTCTCGGTGAGGTTGCTCATCGCTGTGGGCGCCATCGGCGCTACCCTTCTTTGGTGACATGGCGAAGATGTACTACTTAATAGCTCTGCAACTCAAAGTCAGTAGGATGAAACAAAGGGTCAGGAAGTATCACACCTCTGCCACACTCTGACAGGAGTATGTATACGACCTGGCTTTGCTCGAATGCCTTGGCAGAAAACACAGTCAGGCCCATCCAGGGCCAGGGCTTCGCTTTGGTTTGGCTCAGGGCTGAGTACATCACTAGTGACGGCTGAGCGCTGAGATGTCGTCGCATTGTTCCCCTTTCAATTGTGGAGAGTTGTCCCATGGGGGCACTTGTCGCGCTCGCTGGAAGAAAATCATTGGCCGTCGGTGCCTGATGTTCTTGACATGGGAAGTGGTACCTGTTAGATCCAATACGAAACTGATGGTATTAGGAACTCCGAACAGCTCGTGACTAGCATAAGTCGAGCATGTTACGAGTCTAGATTTCGAGTTGAGCTAACAGAGATGAGTGGTGGTACAAAGTAAGCCACTTAGGCGGCTGCAACTACAATGAACACGTGCAGAGCAGTGTTGATGCTGAGGCATTCTTGAGCGTTCTCAGTGGAAATTCACAGCCTGACATAGCACTAGTCCGCATGTGGTAGTACCGGCGCTCGTGATACGTATTAGATGTCAGGATTCAGGAGGTGGGCCTCAGAGCTGTCATGCGCTGGGTACAACGTTGTGTCTGTGGTACAGCCGAAGCATTTGCATGCGTGTAGTGCGGGATAACCGAATCAGATGCGAGGGCTCTGAGGGGGAATAGGGCGCGGACTAAGCTGGCGAATTCCTGTGAGGGACCTTGTAGTAGTGGGACTGTAGGGCCAGGTACCCCGGAAAGGCAGCCGTCTCCGCGAGGGCGTCAACGGCATGGGTGGTAGAAGGTGGTAGAATGGGAAGTGGCCGTGCTGGTATCGGAGGTAGTGCGTTAATGTCAAGGGGATCCAAAAGAAATGTCAGCACTGATCGCGTCGCTTTTCCTCAATCTCCTCCCTGAAATATACAATTCCATCACATTTTCTAAGTCTCTGCCCCTCCGCCCGAAACCAGGCGTGGGAGCTCTTAATGTCGGCGCGAGTGTCGGCGCGTGACATCAGACGTCCTCCTTCCCCTAATCTCAGGTGTCGTCCTGCTCGAGGCTGTGTGTAGGTCAGACCTCGCATTCAAAAATATTTTCAGAGGTTTGATACGACGGTGCCGCAGATCTATTCGTCAAACTGAACAACGCCAGTCATGCCAACAACCCCTTCGTCGTTTTCGCACCACAACTCCGCTTTGTCCTTCGCCACAATGGCACCATGTATCGTTGCGGCAGAATTCACAAAAATTGGATTGTGTGCGCGATAGGTGAAGTTGCGCAGCTGAGCCCCTGGGCGGTAGTAAATGAGACTCTCTAGAAGCATAAGGGCCGTCAGGGGCCCATGGACGAGTCTTTCTGCGGACAGGGTTTGAATGATGTTAGCCGAGAAGTAAAGTTTATCTCACCTGGGTATCCCTCAACTTTCTGCGCATAATCCTTATCCAAGTGTATATGGTGTCCATTGAATGTGAGAGCAGAAAAACGGAATAGCGTCGTCAGGCTCGGGGTATACGAGAACGAAAACTCAGACTTGGGAAGATCATTCACTGATTAGAGTCCGCGTCAGCACCAAAGTACGTCACTGGTTGTGTTGAGGACTCGCCTTGACGGGGTACACGACTCCCTGTGCTAGCTACAGATGCTTGGTAGACATGTGATCGTTCCTCCACCATCCCGGGCTCGTTTCGTCCTTGCACAGTCACCTCAATTCTCTGTTTGACGAATATCATCGGTTTTCCAACCTCAAATCCTTTCTTTTCGACCTTGGACACAGTAGACACTGCAGTGGCTTTCTCTCCCACCTTCAACTCTGCACCCTTGTTCCAGGTCATGGTACCGCCCGCCCACATGCGGCGTGTGAATGGTTCAGGAGGACAGAAGTCTGCGTCGGTCCCATCGGTGCGAAGTAAGGCCTCAGGATTGCGCGGGTGGAAGAAGGCAAGATGGTGTCCATATGCGAGAGGTGTACCTTCTGCAGGGGGTGCAAAAGGGCCACGGGTGCCGTCGCGAGTGGGCAGAGTAATGTAAAGGTCTGAAAGGTGATTGGAATGAAAAGTGTCGGTGAGTACAAGTGATTTTGGGGACGCTATCCAGGCATCAAGACCCTGAAATTTGAAAGAGGATGTTGAGAAGAACCGGCGAGCAGAACCGATCCACGAACACATATCGCAAGTCGATGAGTTGAAGCTTCACATGACCACAACTTGTCAAAAGTTCGTCAGAGTCGATCTCCAATTGGTTTTCCAAATCAGGATATTACCAATTTTGGCTTCAACGCGTTTGATGTTTTCAGTGCATGATGCATGAATCCCGATAAAAAGCAGTCGGTGCTTTCTTGCATGAAGAGGCTCCAGTCTGGAGTGGCGTCACTGCGTACAGAACACTTATTTCCGCAGAGAAACTGCGCGCACGTTGTCCTGACCACCGTGTCTTACGGTATTTTACCTAGGTAAGCCTCATTCCAGTTCCAACATGGTACCGTTAACTTGACGGCGCTTTCAGTTTTCTTTGGGCAACACATCAATTTCGCAGGTTTCACACTTCAACGTGATCTCGTTGTTACGGCATATGAAGGAGATGCAGAAATCCCTCGTCAGTCTTTCAATAGGAAGATAGGCAACGAGTGGGTTAGCGAACTCGCTGCTGAGCAGTTTGTTGAGCCTTTCAAAGACTTAGAAGAAGACACAAAACACCTTCTCGAGGTCTGTCGTTCGTATCCGAGTTGCTGTTTCTTACTGACAATTTCCACAGTGTATAGACAGAGGCACGATTTAGGCCGTCGCGATCATGGGAGATGCTGCCCATGCAATGGCGCCATTTCAAGGTTCTGGCGCTGTTCAGAGTATCGAGGTCAGTCGTCAACGACTGCATTCCGACAAACTTACATCATGCTGATATGATTTTCTAGGATGCTTACATCCTCGCGACTGTTCTTGGACACAAACCCACGACCATAGAATTGGTATCCAGGGCCCTCGTCATCTACGACAAGTTGAGAAGGCCATTCTCATCGGACGTAGCTCTACGCTCAATGCGTAACGTTCAGCTATGCGCGTTTTATGAGCTTAGCGATACGATCACTAATAATTGGGAGTGAGCATGGTCGACAATGCTCGATGATGCTTTGAAAGAAGCTGTTATGCTTGTGAAGGACAGCTCAATCAAATATCGAAGCAACATGTTTAATGTACACTAGCAAATACCCGTGACTTCGCCACTGCACCCCCGTGTTGCGAACGAAAATTGTGAGAATGCAAGGGTGTTTTGTACACATAGTGGTTATAACTCAACTGTTTCCTCTGGGTCTACTTCTTTCTAGATACCACTATGTAAGTCTTATATGGATATTGATACGTGCCTTCCTCCTTGTTAATCCAGACTTTATCATCTCCCCGCTCAAGGATACCTTTGACGTCCTCCACTACCTTGGCCTTTTCATCTGGAGGGAGCATGGTAATGTAACTCTTACTCTTAGCGCGATCCGTAACAATTTGCTCGCTAGCAAGAAGATGGTATGCCCATTCTTCCTCATCCTGAGGGTGGAACGAGGAGATATACTCAGGTGTAGAGAACGTCTTCCTCCAGAGACCGAGGCGAAATTGGGGTGTCCCTTTCTCATGAACCTCGATGCGGTCACGGAGTTGCGCAACCCAGCCTGCACCATCTCTGTAGCGCTGTGAGGAGAATTGATAACGAGAAAAAAAAACAGAAGCGAACCTGTCTTCAAGGTTCCATATAAACACAACTGCACCGTCCTTCTTCAAGATACGGGCGAATTCAGCCGATGCTTTCCCATAGTCGGGGCACCAATGGAAAGCCTATATGTCCGAGAGGTGAACTGATATAGCCCGTTTATTAATAGTACTACTCACCTGTGCGATAATAATAAGGTCTGCCCACCCATCTTCGATACCAGTGTTATCAAATGTTCCTTTGACAATGGTACTGCGATCATCATTGACAGTCTTCGTCCACACATCACACATGCCGTCGCTAGGTTCGACAGCCCTCAGCGTGCCAATGCTCGTAGCCCACTCAGGGTGAGCTAACAAGGCACGGGTGAAAATACCTGTCCCTGCCCCAATTCTGAAAGCCAATTGAAAGGAGGAAGTAAACTTAGCGTGTGTGACTCACTCGACGATGTTCAAAGGTGCTGTGCTCTTGGACACCTGGCGAATGTATGAAAGGACACTCCGCTGGGTACGACGGGCGAGCCCTACGCGCAGCCCAAGTGTTAGGGCATGCGAACCACGCGAATGATAGTCAACTCACCGATCATAAAGCTCATTCGTCCCAGTCCCGAAGCCTGTCTGTGCAACAGTATGCACCTTTGTCGCCATAGTGCGCGTAAGACTTAAATTAAACGTGGAAGACGCGAAAAGGAATCGCTGGGCTCGCAGAGATGCGAGGCCAATGATCATGGATATGGGATGGGTCAACGTAGAGGCGCTATTTATGTATGGATGGCCCGTCGCCTTCGGAGACCCGTATGATCTAAAAGTGTGCGATAGCAAGACGATGAAGTCTCCGAACTGCCGAAACCTCCTGAAAGTAAGTCCAACTTCAGCCGTACTAGCATTCGTCAGAACATGATGTTATTGATCATGAGTCACTCTAGTAATGAAAAGTTGTCCCTCTACCGAACTAAGTAGTAAGTGGAAGATCGGACTCGGACCCGGCGCCGGGCCTTGAGCGTCTAGCCTCGGGCCGCTTACTAGGTTTTGATTATCTCTCCCTCACTCAGACACTCCTATAAGATTGCATCTTGATCATCTGAGGGATATAACTTCCGATGGCGTCGTCGACTCGCCGGCCTGCACGCCCTTTGGATCACTTCACGCCTCGCCGCACGTGCTGGAACACTCTGGTATTCGGGAGGCTTCCGGTTTTGATCATGATATCAGTAAGTTTCTACCAGTGGAATGTAGTGGTTCAAGGCTGGTGGCTTTCGAATTTCTTGCCTGACCACCAGTGTGGAGGAGCTCAAGGTCTCGAGTCTGTGTAAGTCGACTCGCTCGCCGATATCAACATTTGCCAACAAATCATCTACCAAGCTAAGTTACTTATCCCCTTCCACACTTCCACACCGCCCCATCCCTTCAACTCTGATTCCAGGACCATAGCACAACACAACATGAAAGAATCATGATAATTAGGGGACTGATAATTCGATAACTAATTGACTGAACCTTTCCGAGTCAAGCACGTCTCTGACTACAGCCATTAACTCCTTCACAGCAACAGTGACCCTCTCTCCCTGCTCTGAATCTTGCGTCTCCATTGCTGCGAGAATATCATCCCCACCCTTGATGACCAGCTCGAGTTCATGTTTTTTCGAAGAAATGTGCACATACTTCTTTGTTTCTTCCACGAGGATGAGAAGGACCTCGAGATAGTACAAGTCGCCGAGTGCGCCAGTAACAAAAGGCCATGCCTTTATCGTCAAGTCATACCACTGCTGCTCTGTGATAGACTTGAGCAACGGATCCGACAACTGTTCCGGTGCGATTCGGAGGATACCAACTAGCCAAGGTGACAGGTATGAGTTGGATATGTAGTCAATCATGCTAATGCACCGTTCTATATGGCGGTCCCCGAACACGTGGGGGCGCCAGTTGGAATTTATCGCGAGGGCAAAGATCAACTCGAGATAGTACGTTTCGGGGCGATTATCGAAGAAGAGGTCTGGATTATAATAGTAATCATCATTTGCGGATGATACACCTGGTCGCGGACAAACCGTGGACACGACAGCAGGGAAGAACTTGGTAAAAACCATGTCCCGTAGCTTCGCATCATCAATGACATCGATCGAGGCCAAGAATTCTCTGGCAGAGTGAGCAGCGCGAAGGGCAGTATTACGTAAACGGGGAGGCATGTCACTGCCCATGCAATCGATGAGCCTCTCGATGAATAGATATCGCTTAGCGGGGCTACAGCTCACTTGCGAGCTACACGCGGCCAGTAGCAAAAGGATGTCGCCCGCGGTCTCGTGGTCCTTGGAATAAATGTAATCGAGGTAGTCCACGAGCCAGTCAAAGTTTTCTGGCGAGCAATAGTTTTTGCATGATTGCGGAACCTTGTTCCACAAGCAGTCGGGCCCAAAATCTGCATAGGCAGTGGCGAGCGCGAAGGGCAGTATCCGCCGCACAGCCGCCGTTGAATCCGAGGGATCATTTTGTTCGGATAACATTGCTCGGAAAGTTAACTTCCTGCACATGTCCAGATTCCGCCCAAACGCCTGTGGGAATGGTACGTGATCAGGTCGACCAAGTTCAAGTATGCGACAGATGTCATCGAGCAGGCCCCATGCTCTACGTCCAACCCCTGAGCTATCTCTGTCGAGATCGCCGCATGTCCAAAGAGCCTTTTGGAAATGCACCAAAAGAGACACAGCGAGTTTGGGCAGAGCAGAACTAGATGATTTCGTTGTTAAACACAGCAGAAGAACCACCAAATGAGTCAACAGCACCTTTTATCAAGCCGAGCTATATCCTTCTTGTCAAAGTGACCGCCGACCATGACGCAGGCGAGAAGAGTGCAATTGGCTTTGATTTGGTGCGATGGACAGGAGGGAGAGGATACCAATTTCGATATAACTGCTAAGGCGAGTCGCTCTACGTGTTCATTCACTCGTCCAGTGAAAAAATTGTAGGGAAGAACATGTGAAAGCCACTCGAGCACAGAGTCGGGACAATATTCCACATCTGAAGAAAACATCTCTATTCTCTCATCGTCGGAAGCTCCTGCAGACGAGAGTGTGATCGTTGGGACAATTACATCGGCGTCGACCCCCGGTTTGTACTGCATGCCGACAACACCTCAAAGCCTCTTTTCCCCTGAACAAGGAGTTCACCACGGTCGGGGTGTGCCTGAAGAACACGTCCGTAGTATATATGACTTAGAGCCATTATACATGGCGACACCCTCTCATCAAATGACGGTACGACGTGCGTGAGAACGTCCAAGCTTGTGTAAATAGCATAGAGCTGATGGAGCATGTCTGAGACATCAAGATCCAGGGGCCATTCGACAAGCGGAATAAGGCTAATAGCGGCGAAAGATACTTCGGGATCCGTGGACGTCTCGATCAGCCACTTAATGCTAGGTGCTTCGAGATGGCTGGAAAGTATGTCCGAGAGCTCTAGGTCAAGGGGGCACTCAGTGTCCGCCCAATTTTCGGCTCCAGGTCGAGTGATTGTGCCTCCGTGTCCCCAACCATTTTCGAAGAGTACCAAGCCGAAGATTGCCACCAGGCATGAAGCGCACCGAGAAAGCGCCATACGAAAGCGCCCCTACCGCACTCACAGGGTCTGCGGAATGAATGAGCTCTGGTTGTCCTATACAACAGTAATCAAGAACGTCACCTGCTGTAGAAAATCGGGTCCAACTTGATCCTATGGCATCAAACAGCCGTTTCAGCACACCTAAAACGGTCAAAATTTATGCACGTGCAAGAAAGCATAACCCAGTGCCCACCATGTACTGGCGTCGTCAGCTGCTGGAAATATTTGAAACCTGATTTGAACATCGGGCTTAAAACTCCTGCGATCTTCGTTCAGACTGGAAACACCATCAAAACTCACAAAAAGATCTTACTGTCGATCCGCAACATGCGCAACATTGATGTAACTGGCGTCTGAAATGGACAGGAGGGAGATACAAGTGATGCCATTACGGTCAATGAATAGAACAAGAATCCGAAGACCGTCGCTGCAACTATGACCCAGGCGATCGTGTGCTGCTCGTACCACATGTTGGCGCTCAGGGCAATCCCAAAGAGAAGAAGGGAGATCTGAAGCAAGATCGGAAAGGATTGTACGACAGCATCAAAATACCATGTCATGATGCCGTCGAACATCTTCTGTCTGTGTTTTGCTCGTTCCTCCGCCGAGCCGCGGCCATATCTGTGCGACTTGTAGTGTCCGAGCCACTGCTTGCCTAGCACGGCCCCGAAAGCAGCGAGCAGACTCATGCACAAGCTCGCGTATGCAATCACTTGGATCTTTACATCTGCCGTGGATGGAGACCACGTAGATGCCGGCGCTGCTGGCGTAGAGCCCGCTGCGAGGGTGCCCATTCCGATTTGTACGAGCTGCGCGAGCAGGGCGTTGGTGGTGTCGCTGGGGTCAGGACTGAGCCTGGACTCCATTGCTATGATGAAAGATGTGCTGACAGCGGAGAAAAGACCGGACTGATCGAACATCAACTTCAGACCGAACCAAAGATGACCATGCCAGTGCGAAACCTACGAAGATCAAGACAATGTCCATGTCGCTAGCGTATTGCTCAAGGAAGTCGCCATCGTGTTCCTCCGCGACTCCTCTGTATGCCGTCCAGAATCGAGAGCGACCATCCTTGCCACCCTTTGAGGCAATTGTTGAATCCTGGAGAACGTCCAATACTTGCTTCATGACGTTCACGCTGTGGGCGTATCGTCAGCTGCGATGACTTGTCTTATTCTGTCGCTCACCATTCACTTAGATTCGGCTGGTCCTTCTGCACTACGACCTCTTCTGCCTTGCTGAAATAATTTAGCTTGTGTGGTGTTGTAATTGAGCGAAACTTACGGAGCTAATCCCTCGTTAGGCGAGACATCGGAAATAGGTCTTGATGACTGGGAAGGCCCAGCGTTCGGGCTGCAGTTCTGCTAAGGAGTGATGCATAAGAATCAAGGTAGAAACACTCACTCTGATGGCAGCTTCACCGCCGAGAATCCACAATTTTTATCCTCCCTGTCGTTCTGTTATGTGGGTGATAGATGCCGAGAAGCCGCGGCTTACTCCTTGGTGGGTCCTGCAGTATCATTTTCTCGGTGAGGTTGCTCATCGCTGTGGGCGCCATCGGCGCTACCCTTTCTTTGGTGACATGGCGAAGATTGTACTACTTAATAGCTCTGCAACTCAAAGTCAGTAGGATGGAAACAAGGGTCAGGAAGTATCACACCCTCTGCCACACTCTGACAGGAGTATGTATACGACCTGGCTTTGCTCGAATGCCTTGGCAAGAAAACACAGTCAGGCCCATCCAGGGCCAGGGCTTCGCTTTGGTTTGGCTCAGGGCGGAGTACATCACTAGTGACGGGCTGAGCGCTGAGATGTCGTCGCATTGTTCCCCTTTCAATTGTGGAGAGTTTGTCCCATGGGGGCACTTGTCGCGCTCGCTGGAAGAAAATCATTGGCCGTCGGTGCCTGATGTTCTTGACATGGGAAGTGGTACCTGTTAGATCCAATACGAAACTGATGGTATTAGGAACTCCGAACAGCTCGTGACTAGCATAAGTCGAGCATGTTACGAGTCTAGATTTCGAGTTGAGCTAACAGAGATGAGTGGTGGTACAAAGTAAGCCACTTAGGCGGCTGCAACTACAATGAACACGTGCAGAGCAGTGTTGATGCTGAGGCATTCTTGAGCGTTCTCAGTGGAAATTCACAGCCTGACATAGCACTAGTCCGCATGTGGTAGTACCCGCTCGTGATACGTATTAGATGTCAGGATTCAGGAGGTGGGCCTCAGAGCTGTCATGCGCTGGGTACAACGTTGTGTCTGTGGTACAGCCGAAGCATTTGCATGCGTGTAGTGCGGGATAACCGAATCAGATGCGAGGTGCTCTGAGGGGAATAGGGGCGCGGACTAAGCTGCGAAATTCCTGTGAGGACCTTGTAGTAGTGGGACTGTAGGGCCAGGTACCCCTGAAAGGCAGCCGTCTCCGCGAGGGCGTCACGGCATGGGTGGTAGAAGTGGTAGAATGGGAAGTGGCCGTGCTGGTATCGGAGGTAGTGCGTTAATGTCAGGGGATCCAAAAGAAATGTCAGCACTGATCGCGTCGCTTTTTCCTCAATCTCCTCCCTGAAATATACAATTCCATCACATTTTCTAAGTCTCTGCCCCTCCGCCCGAAACCAGGCGGGGAGCTCTTAATGTCGGCGCGAGTGTCGGCGCGTGACATCAGACGTCCTCCTCCCCCCTAATCTCAGGTGTCGTCCTGCTCGAGGCTGTGTGTAGGTCAACCTCGCATTCAAAATATTTTCAGAGGTTTGATACGACGGTTGCCGCAGATCTATTCGTCAAACTGAACAACGCCAGTCATGCCAACAACCCTTCGTCGTTTTCGCACCACAACTCCGCTTTGTCCTTCGCCACAATGGCACCATGTATCGTTGCGGCAGAATTCACAAAAATTGGATTGTGTGCGCGATAGGTGAAGTTGCGCAGCTGAGCCCCTGGGCGGTAGTAAATGAGACTCTCTAGAGCATAAGGGCCGTCAGGGGCCCATGGACGAGTCTTTCTGCGGACAGGGTTGAATGATGTTAGCCGAGAAGTAAAGTTTATCTCACCTGGGTATCCCTCAACTTTCTGCGCATATCCTTATCCATGTTATTATGTGTCCATTGAATGTGAGAGCAGAAAACGGAATAGCGTCGTCAGGCTCGGGGTATACGAGAACGAAAACTCAGACTTGGGAAGATCATTCACTGATTAGAGTCCGCGTCAGCACCAAAGTACGTCACTGGTTGTGTTGAGGACTCGCCTTGACGGGGTACACGACTCCCTGTGTCTAGCTACAGATGCTTGGTAGACATGTGATCGTTCCTCCACCATCCCGGGCTCGTTTCGTCCTTGCACAGTCACCTCAATTCTCTGTTTGACGAATATCATCGGTTTTCCAACCTCAAATCCTTTCTTTTCGACCTTGGACACAGTAGACACTGCAGTGGCTTTCTCTCCCACCTTCAACTCTGCACCCTTGTTCCAGGTCATGGTACCCACCGCCCGCCCACATGCGGCGTGTGAATGGTTCAGGAGGACAGAAGTCTGCGTCGGTCCCATCGGTGCGAAGTAAGGCCTCAGGATTGCGCGGGTGGAAGAAGGCAAGATGGTGTCCATATGCGAGAGGTGTACCTTCTGCAGGGGTGCAAAAGGGCCACGGGTGCCGTCGCGAGTGGGCAGAGTAATGTAAAGGTCTGAAAGGTGATTGGAATGAAAAGTGTCGGTGAGTACAAGTGATTTTGGGGACGCTATCCAGGCATCAACCCTGAAATTTGAAAGAGGATGTTGAGAAGAACCGGCGAGCAGAACCGATCCACGAACACATATCGCAAGTCGATGAGTTGAAGCTTCACATGACCACAACTTGTCAAAAGTTCGTCAGAGTCGATCTCCAATTGGTTTTCCAAATCAGGATATTACCAATTTTGGCTTCAACGCGTTTGATGTTTTCAGTGCATGATGCATGAATCCCGATAAAAAGCAGTCGGTGCTTTCTTGCATGAAGAGGCTCCAGTCTGGAGTGGCGTCACTGCGTACAGAACACTTATTTCCGCAGAGAAACTGCGCGCACGTTGTCCTGACCACCGTGTCTTACGGTATTTTACCTAGGTAAGCCTCATTCCAGTTCCAACATGGTACCGTTAACTTGACGGCGCTTTCAGTTTTCTTTGGGCAACACATCAATTTCGCAGGTTTCACACTTCAACGTGATCTCGTTGTTACGGCATATGAAGGAGATGCAGAAATCCCTCGTCAGTCTTTCAATAGGAAGATAGGCAACGAGTGGGTTAGCGAACTCGCTGCTGAGCAGTTTGTTGAGCCTTTCAAAGACTTAGAAGAAGACACAAAACACCTTCTCGAGGTCTGTCGTTCGTATCCGAGTTGCTGTTTCTTACTGACAATTTCCACAGTGTATAGACAGAGGCACGATTTAGGCCGTCGCGATCATGGGAGATGCTGCCCATGCAATGGCGCCATTTCAAGGTTCTGGCGCTGTTCAGAGTATCGAGGTCAGTCGTCAACGACTGCATTCCGACAAACTTACATCATGCTGATATGATTTTTCTAGGATGCTTACATCCTCGCGACTGTTCTTGGACACAAACCCACGACCATAGAATTGGTATCCAGGGCCCTCGTCATCTACGACAAGTTGAGAGAAGGCCATTCTCATCGGACGTAGCTCTACGCTCAATGCGTAACGTTCAGCTATGCGCGTTTTATGAGCTTTAGCGATACGATCACTAATAATTGGGAGTGAGCATGGTCGACAATGCTCGATGATGCTTTGAAAGAAGCTGTTATGCTTGTGAAGGACAGCTCAATCAAATATCGAAGCAACATGTTTAATGTACACTAGCAAATACCCGTGACTTCGCCACTGCACCCCCGTGTTGCGAACGAAAATTGTGAGAATGCAAGGGTGTTTTGTACACATAGTGGTTATAACTCAACTGTTTCCTCTGGGTCTACTTCTTTCTAGATACCACTATGTAAGTCTTATATGGATATTGATACGTGCCTTCCTCCTTGTTAATCCAGACTTTATCATCTCCCCGCTCAAGGATACCTTTGACGTCCTCCACTACCTTGGCCTTTTCATCTGGAGGGAGCATGGTAATGTAACTCTTACTCTTAGCGCGATCCGTAACAATTTGCTCGCTAGCAAGAAGATGGTATGCCCATTCTTCCTCATCCTGAGGGTGGAACGAGGAGATATACTCAGGTGTAGAGAACGTCTTCCTCCAGAGACCGAGGCGAAATTGGGGTGTCCCTTTCTCATGAACCTCGATGCGGTCACGGAGTTGCGCAACCCAGCCTGCACCATCTCGTAGCGCTGTGAGGAGAATTGATAACGAGAAAAAAAAACAGAAGCGAACCTGTCTTCAAGGTTCCATATAAACACAACTGCACCGTCCTTCTTCAAGATACGGGCGAATTCAGCCGATGCTTTCCCATAGTCGGGGCACCAATGGAAAGCCTATATGTCCGAGAGGTGAACTGATATAGCCCGTTTATTAATAGTACTACTCACCTGTGCGATAATAATAAGGTCTGCACCACCCATCTTCGATACCAGTGTTATCAAATGTTCCTTTGACAATGGTACTGCGATCATCATTGACAGTCTTCGTCCACACATCACACATGCCGTCGCTAGGTTCGACAGCCCTCAGCGTGCCAATGCTCGTAGCCCACTCAGGGTGAGCTAACAAGGCACGGGTGAAAATACCTGTCCCTGCCCCACAATTCTGAAAGCCAATTGAAAGGAGGAAGTAAACTTAGCGTGTGTGACTCACTCGACGATGTTCAAAGGTGCTGTGCTCTTGGACACCTGGCGAATGTATGAAAGACACTCCGCTGGGTACGACGGGCGAGCCCTACGCGCAGCCCAAGTGTTAGGGCATGCGAACCACGCGAATGATAGTCAACTCACCGATCATAAAGCTCATTCGTCCCAGTCCCGAAGCCTGTCTGTGCAACAGTATGCACCTTTGTCGCCATAGTGCGCGTAAGACTTAAATTAAACGTGGAAGACGCGAAAAGGAATCGCTGGGCTCGCAGAGATGCGAGGCCAATGATCATGGATATGGGATGGGTCAACGTAGAGGCGCTATTTATGTATGGATGGCCCGTCGCCTTCGGAGACCCGTATGATCTAAAAGTGTGCGATAGCAAGACGATGAAGTCTCCGAACTGCCGAAACCTCCTGAAAGTAAGTCCAACTTCAGCCGTACTAGCATTCGTCAGAACATGATGTTATTGATCATGAGTCACTCTAGTAATGAAAAGTTGTCCCTCTACCGAACTAAGTAGTAAGTGGAAGATCGGACTCGGACCCGGCGCCGGGCCTTGAGCGTCTAGCCTCGGGCCGCTTACTAGGTTTTGATTATCTCTCCCTCACTCAGACACTCCTATAAAGATTGCATCTTGATCATCTGAGGGATATAACTTCCGATGGCGGTCGTCGCCTCGCCGGCCTGCACGCCCTTTGGATCACTTCACGCCTCGCCGCACGTGCTGGAAACACTCTGGTATTCGGGAGGCATTCCGGTTTTGATCATGATATCAGTAAGTTTCTACCAGTGGAATGTAGTGGTTCAAGGCTGGTGGCTTTCGAATTTCTTGCCTGACCACCAGTGTGGAGGAGCTCAAGGTCTCGAGTCTGTGTAAGTCGACTCGCTCGCCGATATCAACATTTGCCAACAAATCATCTACCAAGCTAAGTTACTTATCCCTTCCACACTTCCACACCGCCCCATCCCTTCAACTCTGATTCCAGGACCATAGCACAACACAACATGAAAGAATCATGATAATTAGGGGACTGATAATTCGATAACTATTGACTGAACCTTTCCGAGTCAAGCACGTCTCTGACTACAGCCATTAACTCCTTCACAGCAACAGTGACCCTCTCTCCCTGCTCTGAATCTGCGTCTCCATTGCTGCGAGAATATCATCCCCACCCTTGATGACCAGCTCGAGTTCATGTTTTTTCGAAGAAATGTGCACATACTTCTTTGTTTCTTCCACGAGGATGAGAAGGACCTCGAGATAGTACAAGTCGCCGAGTGCGCCAGTAACAAAAGGCCATGCCTTTATCGTCAAGTCATACCACTGCTGCTCTGTGATAGACTTGAGCAACGGATCCGACAACTGTTCCGGTGCGATTCGGAGGATACCAACTAGCCAAGGTGACAGGTATGAGTTGGATATGTAGTCAATCATGCTAATGCACCGTTCTATATGGCGGTCCCCGAACACGTGGGGGCGCCAGTTGGAATTTATCGCGAGGGCAAAGATCAACTCGAGATAGTACGTTTCGGGGCGATTATCGAAGAAGAGGTCTGGATTATAATAGTAATCATCATTTGCGGATGATACACCTGGTCGCGGACAAACCGTGGACACGACAGCAGGGAAGAACTTGGTAAAAACCATGTCCCGTAGCTTCGCATCATCAATGACATCGATCGAGGCCAAGAATTCTCTGGCAGAGTGAGCAGCGCGAAGGGCAGTATTACGTAAACGGGGAGGCATGTCACTGCCCATGCAATCGATGAGCCTCTCGATGAATAGATATCGCTTAGCGGGGCTACAGCTCACTTGCGAGCTACACGCGGCCAGTAGCAAAAGGATGTCGCCCGCGGTCTCGTGGTCCTTGGAATAAATGTAATCGAGGTAGTCCACGAGCCAGTCAAAGTTTTCTGGCGAGCAATAGTTTTTGCATGATTGCGGAACCTTGTTCCACAAGCAGTCGGGCCCAAAATCTGCATAGGCAGTGGCGAGCGCGAAGGGCAGTATCCGCCGCACAGCCGCCGTTGAATCCGAGGGATCATTTTGTTCGGATAACATTGCTCGGAAAGTTAACTTCCTGCACATGTCCAGATTCCGCCCAAACGCCTGTGGGAATGGTACGTGATCAGGTCGACCAAGTTCAAGTATGCGACAGATGTCATCGAGCAGGCCCCATGCTCTACGTCCAACCCCTGAGCTATCTCTGTCGAGATCGCCGCATGTCCAAAGAGCCTTTTGGAAATGCACCAAAAGAGACACAGCGAGTTTGGGCAGAGCAGAACTAGATGATTTCGTTGTTAAACACAGCAGAAGAACCACCAAATGAGTCAACAGCACCTTTTATCAAGCCGAGCTATATCCTTCTTGTCAAAGTGACCGCCGACCATGACGCAGGCGAGAAGAGTGCAATTGGCTTTGATTTGGTGCGATGGACAGGAGGGAGAGGATACCAATTTCGATATAACTGCTAAGGCGAGTCGCTCTACGTGTTCATTCACTCGTCCAGTGAAAAAATTGTAGGGAAGAACATGTGAAAGCCACTCGAGCACAGAGTCGGGACAATATTCCACATCTGAAGAAAACATCTCTATTCTCTCATCGTCGGAAGCTCCTGCAGACGAGAGTGTGATCGTTGGGACAATTACATCGGCGTCGACCCCCGGTTTGTACTGCATGCCGACAAACACCTCAAAGCCTCTTTTCCCCTGAACAAGGAGTTCACCACGGTCGGGGTGTGCCTGAAGAACACGTCCGTAGTATATATGACTTAGAGCCATTATACATGGCGACACCCTCTCATCAAATGACGGTACGACGTGCGTGAGAACGTCCAAGCTTGTGTAAATAGCATAGAGCTGATGGAGCATGTCTGAGACATCAAGATCCAGGGGCCATTCGACAAGCGGAATAAGGCTAATAGCGGCGAAAGATACTTCGGGATCCGTGGACGTCTCGATCAGCCACTTAATGCTAGGTGCTTCGAGATGGCTGGAAAGTATGTCCGAGAGCTCTAGGTCAAGGGGGCACTCAGTGTCCGCCCAAATTTTCGGCTCCAGGTCGAGTGATTGTGCCTCCGTGTCCCCAACCATTTTCGAAGAGTACCAAGCCGAAGATTGCCACCAGGCATGAAGCGCACCGAGAAAGCGCCATACGAAAGCGCCTACCGCACTCACAGGGTCTGCGGAATGAAATGAGCTCTGGTTGTCCTATACAACAGTAATCAAGAACGTCACCTGCTGTAGAAAATCGGGTCCAACTTGATCCGATGGCATCAAACAGCCGTTTCAGCACACCTAAAACGGTCAAAATTTATGCACGTGCAAGAAAGCATAACCCAGTGCCCACCATGTACTGGCGTCGTCAGCTGCTGGAAATATTTGAAACCTGATTTGAACATCGGGCTTAAAACTCCTGCGATCTTCGTTCAGACTGGAAACACCATCAAAACTCACAAAAAGATCTTACTGTCGATCCGCAACATGCGCAACATTGATGTAACTGGCGTCTGAAATGGACAGGAGGGAGATACAAGTGATGCCATTACGGTCAATGAATAGAACAAGAATCCGAAGACCGTCGCTGCAACTATGACCCAGGCGATCGTGTGCTGCTCGTACCACATGTTGGCGCTCAGGGCAATCCCAAAGAGAAGAAGGGAGATCTGAAGCAAGATCGGAAAGGATTGTACGACAGCATCAAAATACCATGTCATGATGCCGTCGAACATCTTCTGTCTGTGTTTTGCTCGTTCCTCCGCCGAGCCGCGGCCATATCTGTGCGACTTGTAGTGTCCGAGCCACTGCTTGCCTAGCACGGCCCCGAAAGCAGCGAGCAGACTCATGCACAAGCTCGCGTATGCAATCACTTGGATCTTTACATCTGCCGTGGATGGAGACCACGTAGATGCCGGCGCTGCTGGCGTAGAGCCCGCTGCGAGGGTGCCCATTCCGATTTGTACGAGCTGCGCGAGCAGGGCGTTGGTGGTGTCGCTGGGGTCAGGACTGAGCCTGGACTCCATTGCTATGATGAAAGATGTGCTGACAGCGGAGAAAAGACCGGACTGATCGAACATCAACTTCAGACCGAACCAAAGATGACCATGCTAGTGCGAAACCTACGAAGATCAAGACAATGTCCATGTCGCTAGCGTATTGCTCAAGGAAGTCGCCATCGTGTTCCTCCGCGACTCCTCTGTATGCCGTCCAGAATCGAGAGCGGCCATCCTTGCCACCCTTTGAGGCAATTGTTGAATCCTGGAGAACGTCCAATACTTGCTTCATGACGTTCACGCTGTGGGTGTATCGTCAGCTGCGATGACTTGGCTTGTTCTGTCGCTCACCATTCACTTAGATTCGGCTGGTCCTTCTGCACTACGACCTCTTCTGCCTTGCTGAAACAATTTAGCTTGTGTGGTGTTGTAATTGAGCGAAACTTACGGAGCTAATCCCTCGTTAGGCGAGACATCGGAAATAGGTCTTGATGACTGGGAAGGCCCAGCGTTCGGGCTGCAGTTCTGCTAAGGAGTGATGCATAAGAATCAAGGTAGAAACAACTTACTCTGATGGCAGCTTCACCGCCGAAGATCCACAATTTTTATCCTCCCTGTCGTTCTGTTATATGAGTAATAGATGTAAGAAAACCGCAACTTACCCCTCGGTATCATTTTCTCGGGGAGGCTGCTCATCGTTGCGGGCGCGCTGCTCCAGGGCGCCATCGACGCTACCCTCCTTTGATGACATGACGAAGGTTTACTAAATGGATCTGCAACTCAAAGTTAGTGGGATGGAACAAAGGGTTGGGAAGTATCATACCACTGCCACACTCTGGCAGGAGTATGTATACCGCCTCGCTTGGCTCGAATGCCCTGCCTTATGGCACTGCACAAAACAGTGAGGCCCATCCAGGGCCAGGGCTGCCAGTTGCTCAGGGCTACGCCAGGGGAGTACATCACCAGTGACGGTTGAAATGTCGTCACTTTGTTCCCCTTCCGATTGCGGAGAGTTGTTATCCCATGGGGGCGCTTTTTTCTTATCGGCGATCGCACTGCAGTAAACCATGTACCGTTGGTGCCTGATGCTCTTGACACAGTGGGGAACTGGTACCTGTTGAATCCAAAGCGGGATCAGGAACTCCGAGCAGACTCGTGGCCAGCCTGGCACGCTACTCAGGGCGAGTCGAGCTTGTGACGAGTCTAAATTTTGAGTCTAAGGTGAGCTAACGGAGATGAGTGTTGGTACAGAGCAAGTCAGTCAGGCGGCTGCAACCACGACAAACACTTGTAGTGTTGGCGCCGAGGGCATTGTAATTGAGCGTTCTGACTTCTTACAGCCTGACATAGTACTAGTCCGCATGTGGTAGTACCTGCATTAGTGATACTACGTGGGCCTTACAGCTGTTATCGCTGGGTATAGGAAGCGCACGCTGTGACTATGGTGCCTCCTCAGTGCAGCACAAGAACTTGCATGGGTGTATTACGGGATAACCGAATCAGATGGGGGTGCTGCGAGGGGGAATAAGGCAAGGGCTGAGCTGGTGAAGGCGAGGTAGACACTGGCAGAACTTGAGAGTTGAGGTGTTAAAGTTCAAAGTGAAGCTAGATCGTGCGAATGTATATTGCCAAGCTTAATGGCTTTTAGGGCATTATTGGACTAACGACAACAAATGAATTTTTATTGAACCATTCGAGACCTAGCAAGTACGTGGATTCAACTCACCATTTGATGTCGCCGTTTGAGTAAGAGCCGGTGCCAGCAATGCAACAAGATAGTATCGAATGAAGATCACCTATAAACGGTTATACAATGTTCTGATAAGTTCGAACAAATTATCCTGCGTCCTGCGATGAGGTTTCATCATGTCGAACATTTATTGTGTCGGACATGGCATGCACGCACTGTTGAAGTCATGGCATCTCGAGCTTGGCGTGATATACTAAGGATCAGTGACGGTAGCCTCCTTATGAACACGCACTGTTTCATATCTTGTTTCAGAGTGAAGCCACATGTAAATTTTGCTGGCAAGTGTCGAAGGTGGATAGTTACCAGGTCTGTGCATGTTGACGAGCAACGAATGCTCTTGCATAAACCATGACGCATTGAAATTAATTACAGCCGGGGATTTCCGGCAACCTTAAAGTTAGTGTGATTCTTGAAACAATGCCGACAATGACTGAAACGAATAAGCTGCACCATTATAAGACAGTACTGTTCCCGCAGCACACGCGCTTTTGTACACATGCTCTTGCCACCATTAAATCACTAATCGTGGCACCACGGATCTCATCCATGTCAACCTCCATCCACCAAATCATTATCGACAACCGAGGAGTCTCCACTTCGCTTCACTTTAGCGATGTGCTATTCTTCGTTGAACCTACAAAGCTTGACGCTCACAAATCCTCTTGCTGCGCAGGCATATATCATTCTCACAAAGAGCTTAAGATAGAGGTGCCTCTTCGTAATGTCGTTGCCGCCAAATTTGCATCTGGCGCCGTTGAAGTACAATACCTGGTTCGGAAGGGCAAGGAGAGTTTGAACCTTGTCATGACAAGCGGCACAGTAAAGGACGAAGATAGCACGCGTGCCAAGGACTGGTGTCAGGCGCTACTGCTGGCTGCATACCAGGGTTTGTCAGGCTTTATGGTCCATGCGCTCCTGTTTACTTATCTAATTTATTAGGTGCGAATCCATCCAAGAATCTCAAGGTGCTCGTTAACCCTCATGGCGGAAAGGTTAGCTTCAACCAAATTCTATTGTATCCTTTTATGACCGTCCTACTCAGGGGAAGGGAAGAGCAGAGTACGCCAGTAAAGTGGAACCCATATTCATTGCGGCTGGATGTACATTGGATGTAACTTGCACGTCACATTTCATGCCATTCTTACTTCATATTCACGGATGCCTTGTCATACAGATACCACTCATGGAGGTCACGCTCTTGAAATTGCTCGCGAAATGAAGCTGGGATATGACGCCCTAGTCATTGTATCCGGCGACGGTTTAATACACGAGGTCCTCAACGGAATAAATCAGCATGAACAGCGTGAACAGGCATTTTGTATACCAATAGCACCTATACCGACTGGCTCTGGTAACGGAATGTCTCTTAATCTACTGGGACTGCAGGACGGGCTCGACGTTTGCGCAGCAGCCCTGAACGTCCTTAAAGGTGTGTCCTTTCGGTCGCTTTAAACACCAGTATCGCTAAATATTGGAACCAGGACAACCATTGAAAGCCGATCTCTTTTCTTTCACCCAAGGAAATTGTCACCGGATATCATTCATGTCACAGACTATCGGAATTACAGCTGATATCGATATTGAGACTGAACATTTACGGTGGATGGGCGATACCCGGTTCATCCTAGGCTACATTCGTGCTAGTCAGTCATTGCTGCACTCGCCTGTCATCTGTCTCACTCACTTAACTTAGTCATTGCCCGCAAATCGTGTCCGATCGAGTTATCAATGAAGGTCGTCGAGCAAGACAAATCCCGCATGATGGATGCTCTTCATGCACGACGAGCAGGCGAATCACCCAGCCCAACTAGCCTTCCTAGTTCGCTCCTCAGTGATGACAAGAAACTTGATATTGCAAGCTCTTCACATGAGGAGTGGACCCGGTTTGAAAGACCTATCCTCTGGATGTATGCTGGTCAAGGGCCATTCGTTAGCCGGTAAGTAACCTTGTACTGCATCAAGGAAACAAGTAGCTTATGGGTCCGACTAGGGCTTTAATGCAGTTCCCTGTCTCTTTAGCTGATGACGGACTTATTGACATATCCGTACAAGAAATAGTAAGCAGTATATAATTTGGCTGTTTGACGCATCTGACACCCTGTCCGAAGACCAGTCGGAGGAATCTCTTGCGGGCCATGGATGGTGCCGAAGAAGGTAGGACATACTGGATAAATACGGTAAATTCCTCAGGTCTTCGTTCGTGCGTACGACTCACCAGGTGTGATAGAACCGATACTACAAAGCGTCCGCTTACCGCGCACGGCCACTCGCCTCCAAGGGCACACTCGTGGTCGATGGCGAGCAGGTTCCCTTCGAAGAGTTTCAGGTGGACGTCCTTCACGGACTTGGCACCTTTTTATCCCCGTATCCTCATTATGCGCCTGAGTTTGTTGTACGAGACGTCCAAGGGAAAACCCGAGCGACCAGTGTATAATTGTCGTTTCAACGATACCCTTCTTGTACATTGGATATGTAATACTGACTATTTGATTCTTTGTTAGCAATTTTGTCAACACTACAGTCTCTGGTCAAGTTGACTTTGATGTCAATTTACAACGTTCCCGAATCTAGTTGTAGAGTTACATTTGGCGACCGATCGATTATTATTTAATCTTCACTGATAGCCCAGCGAAACCCTTGACAAATCATGAACGCGATCTATCCTGATCTATCCCCATCGATCTTGCTAAACTGTACTTGTTCCTCAGATTGGCGTTTGACTCGTATGTAGTGCACGGTGGCCAGAAAAACGTAATTGTAAGTGCTCTAATCTACTCCTCATCCATCCATAAATTGACTCTCCACAAGTGCAACGTCATCAGAGTCATCGTCATCTTGATCGTCGTCTACGTCCGGTAGATTGAAGTAGTAACTCAGGTTCTCCCACAAAATAGACCGTGCTTCTAAGCTGCGGGACGCCAGCACCTGCAGGGAATTGTAGCAAGGATCAGGCGCCTGCTGTGAGGCAATTTCCTTCAGGACACGTAGGAGATCTTGAGGGGGCCCATTCAACAATTTTTTCTTGTTGTTTTGTTGAATACAAACCGGCGAGTTACACATGCACTGGCCGGCCTGCTGCTCGAATATTCGAGCGAAGTCCATCAGACAATGTTTGCCTCGCGACAGGCAGAGCCAATCAGCGGGCGTTAAGAGCCCCCATCGTGCGGTGCGATCTCCAGGGTGCCACAACTGAAGCATCCCTTCAGAATCAGCGAGCGTCGGGGGAGACGGGCCGCGGAGGGTATCAAAGTCCATGAAAGGACTGATTGTAGATAACATATAAAACGCGGCTGGCAAAATTTCCGGGATATTGGCCTCCCGAGCCAGGCGTATGGCGGAAGCGGGTTCCAGCATACGATTGTCAATGAACTGACTAGCCGCTTCATGTTGCGGTTCTGCAGATGCAGAAAGACCGGCATAATGCTCCATGAGCTTATCCCATTCCTGGAGAGTGGATGGCCAGTCTGCACGGAAGCGAGCCCTGAGCAGCTTCTGCAGGACGCGCACGAAATATTTCTGCGATAGCAGAAGAATGCCCTTGTACTTGATTGCAGCAAGAGGGTTCCGATTCTCCAACATGGATAATATGGTGCTAAAATTATTTTGCTTGAGAGCCAGGGGGCTCATACAAGCACAGTGCTTACCCCGGATAGTACAGTGCTCGAAGGAGGTCTTCAAGATCTTGTGCATCATCCGGCATATTTACCGAATCTACGCCATCGTACATTTCATGATTTGCGGCAGAGGGTAGCGCAAACATATCCGCAAACACTTTAGAGTGCGATCCGAGCACGGATTTGTGAACTCGGAAGGCATGGGTTTTATCAGCACGGGCGGCTAAGAGGACTACACTGCCATCAGCATAATACAGGTCTCCTTGACGCAAAATTTCGTCCTTGGTTGCCTAGGTTGCTTGTAAGTATGATGATGCACGGAATCGCTGACCTCTGCAATTTCTAACTTACCATTCGCGTACAAGATGCAGCTCAGCGGTGATGGAGTGACTCGGGTGTGGGGTGTGACAGTGCGTGCCTTGACGCGTGACAAGCGCGCTCGTTGAATCACGTGGTGTCTTTCACGGGATCGGACCTTGAATTCAACCCTTCATAAGGCTCAGCACACAAACGTCGCGTCCCCTCAACACTCTTCCCTTAACCACCACCCACCACCGCCCCTTGTACAGACCTCATATCTGGTGTGTATACGCTTGCGATATCGCATTGTAAATGCAAACTGACTTGTCTTAACAGTCACATACCTGTACACTTTGTAAATTCAAGCAATGGCACCTAAAGTGAGTCGATTCGTAATTCAAATAGTCCTTATGTGTTGATTGATGGACCAATTCCAGCCCGCATCCACCGCTGGCAAGGCTCCTGCCTCCACCGCCTCCAAGGCACCAGCTAAGGCTGACTCTGGAGCAAAGGCAGCGAAGAAAACCGCTGCTAAGCCAGCGGCTCCTGTTGAGGGTGAGAAGAAGAAGCGCCGCAAGGTTCGCAAGGAGACGTACAGCTCGTACATATACAAGGGTACGTCCATAGGACATGGTGGCAATTTATGGGGTGACTGAATTTGTTGTGAAGTCCTTAAGCAGGTCCACCCGGATACCGGTATCTCAAACAAGGCCATGGCCATCTTGAACTCGTTTGTCAATGATATCTTTGAGCGTATTGCTACCGAGGCATCCAGTATGTTTCCATCGGTGGTTGTATGGCAGTTTATACTTATATTGTACCTCAGAGCTTGCGGCTTACTCCAAGAAGTCGACGATCTCATCGCGCGAGATTCAAACGTCAGTTCGCCTTATCCTGCCAGGAGAACTTGCAAAGCACGCCATTTCGGAAGGTACCAAGTCTGTCACCAGTAAGCACCGTCTCATTCAAGTCATAAATGACGATGTTGAACATCATCGTTCTAGAATTTTCTGCTGGCTCCAAGTAATCTTTCTGTATATTTCACCGTGTATCGTTACAATACCGTGTACCTTTTTGTTATTAGAGATACCTCCGCAGTACTTTCCTCGCATCGGGGCGAGATTTCGTTTATCAGCCACCCATAGCTACACTTCAATCAATTGACCTTTGAGCATCTGGAACTTGTCCGATCCTGATTTGAACTACCTGTCAGAGAGCTTGTGCAAGGTATAATTCATGGTGAAGTGAGGTAGATATGTATATTGTAAACAGGAATTCTAACAACAACAGATCTATAAAAATATTCGGAAGTATGTCATATGTGCACTACTTGTATGAGGCACTGGAGTTAGAGTATGTAACACGATTTTGGTCGACCAAGTGTCAACAATCTAAAAGAGCGTGATGTGTGCGAGTACAGAGTCCAGAAAGTTGATGGCACCTATGATCCAACAGCGAAAAAAAATCCGAGTGAATGAAAGTGTCCATGAAAACAAGCAAGTCCTTGGAGTGGAGTGATGGTTCTAGTATGTGCGTGATTGATGACAGCGAATAGCATAATTATGGTCGAGCTGAGGAAAGGGTCATTAGCCAAATTGAGCGTCTCCAAGGCCAAATTGTATGACGACTTACCTAGTTGTTCTTTGCGGTAGAACCAGAAGTAACCTAGTACAATGACGATCTGGCAGATCAACGCTATCCAGAATGGAGCGGAGGCCATTGGGCTGCCACTGAGACCTTGGGAGAAGTCCCATGTTCCGACATCAGGGAACACGCTCCCTGGACCGATGCGGTTTGGTGCAGTTGCACGGGCGGCCATAACACAGATAGACCCAATGACCTGAGCGAAAGCGAGCGTGGCGCAGACGTGCAATCTTGACAATGTCTGCAGGAGAATCATTCCCAAACCGACACCTTGTATAGCGTCCAAAACGCCGAGCCAAAGCCACAGAGAAAGACCAAGGTATGGTCCCCCTGAGCCAGCCCACGGGATATAGAGTGCAAGAGACGAGGTGCCCCACAATGTCTGCAACATATGTTAGGTGACCGAGGATTGGCGCAACAAGATGAGATCATACCTGACACCATCTTGGAGCACCGAGGCCGACAGCGAACACAGGCAACAACCAAGTATGCGTCTTACTCAAGGACGTGAGGATATAAAGCATGAGAGCCCAAACACCGATGAAAAAGAAGATGATCAGAAGCATAATCGCCCACTTGGGGATCGGAACACTCCACAGGAAACCCCAGTTGCGACCGTAGGGCTGCAATAATGTTAGGACATAAAGATATCAAAGCACCGGACCTAACGTACCCCGCTGAGCCAATAATCACGTAAGATTTCAGATGCGAGGAACCTTGTGTGGAGTATCAGCGTCGTCAACTTTGCCACGAGTACGAAAAGCCTACCAAAGAACTAGTTTCCTTCGGAAGAGAGTCCTGAGGAAGTTGGGAACTTTCGGAGGGGTTTGTCGGTAGTATTCTGTCTCATAGTTGGTATTATCCTGTCTGAGAGCTTAGATAGGACTTACCTGGTAATCCGTACAACATCAAGTATGCAAACCCAAACGACATGATTGAGAGCGGCCACAAGATAAGGACAATCCACCAAGGCGTAAGACTTCCAGGTTTCGCGGTGTTCAGTGTGCTACCCCAGTACCACAGGGCAGCCACCCAAATCTGTTGAGAACCTTGTACAATGCAAGCGCGCAGCGTCCAGACTTCCGTAGCGGCACCCTAAAGAACAACAATCAGCTGCATACAGGAGGCATCAAGAAATGACGAACCGCTTCCTCTCCAAAGTTCAAACCGAAGAAAATGAAAGCAGCAGCAGAGGCGACAGCATATGACCAAGTGGCAATGTCCGATAAGATGGTATGAGTGACTTGAAGCTTCGATGATAGTGAGGGAAGGCCAATCAAAAAGAATGCTATGCCATAGAAGAGCCATGGAGCAGAAAGAACATAGACAGAAGGCTTCAAGCGGAACATCGTATACCAAACAAAAGAAGAAGCTAAGAATACAGCGCTGAGAACATATAGCTGAAGGTTGTCCTGGTAGTTTTGACCAGTGAGCAAGGTCATTTGGTAACTATTTGCAGCAAGCATCTTGAGAACAAACGTGAGCTAACGGATGAGGGTAAAAAATAATAAGTCCTACCTGGCCGAGAGCAATGATGATAGTATACAACGGCCAGCCTCCATATTGTCGAGCCATGGCAATTTGGACTCTGTTCATGATCACGAGGTTGCCGTCAAATTCCGGTTCCGGATTGAATGGGTGAGAGCTAGGTGTTCTCGGGGCTGTATGCGCGGCGTTAGTAACGATGCACGTCCACAAGAAGGGTACACTTACATGTCGGACGGGAGTGCTGCTCGTTGATTGTGAGTGTGCCAGGCATGCTCCAGACAGACTCTCGGTGCGAGGAAATGTAGCTGGCTGCACTGGACAGCTTGTCTCGTCTCACACGTTCGAAGAAGGCCTCCTCAGACTTGACAAGGTACTTCTCAATAGAAAGTTCGCCTTTGGAGTTATCCGAATTCAATGCTTGAAGCTTTTGCACGAACTCTGAGGCAACGCCACCATCGGAATCCGTGAACTAAAGGTATGTAAGTCAGTTAACAGCATCCACCAAAATTCCTGAGATACGCACCGTCGCAATAGCCTTGTTCAACGGCGAGTTAGTCTTTTCTTCGACAATGCTGCCAATGGACTCCATCGAGGCCACTCGAGAGTGCGACCCAAACGGTCTTGTAGGCGGCGTCACACTCAGGAAAGGATCTGGCGCATGCCGATGATCTTGTGCAATTGTCCTGTTCGCTTTCTCCAAGAAGTCACTGTAACCAGGCCGACTACTAGTCGCGAAACTATGCCGTGAATGTTCCTCGTCAGAAGTATCCGATGTATACGACGAGTCGCGGTTGACGCCGAAACGAGGTGGTGCCGTCAGGAAGCCGCTCTCATCATTGGGCGTCGAGACCTGGCTCCACTGTCCAGGAGAACTAGGCACCATTCTCGGGGATGACATGGCACTCTGGGCGTCCCAGTCAGGTTGAACAGGCAGTCCTTGATTTACAGGGTTCCAATCCTCTACTTCCGCCATCGCCTGAGAAGGTTCACTGCCGCAGTCCGACTCTCGCCAAGCGTTTGAACCAGCTAGCTTTCGGCTCATGAAGATACTCCTTCGGTGCATGTCTTCCATCCGCTGGCGCCATTCGACGACTGGGAAACGCTGGACGGCTGACCGAGCACGAAGTATAGCTCTTTCTTCCTCTGTGGATTTCAACGCTAATTTGATCGTCTTCGAAAGCTGAGACAACATATGGGCCGTCGAGGTAGATTCCACAGGGAACCACTACGAGCAGAAGCGCGTTAGATTCTGCTCAAAGAGGACGACGCCAAACATTTACCCATCCAGGCATCAACCCAAGACCACCAAGTCGACTACCAACACCAAGAGCACCTTTCCTGCCGAATTCGACGGCGACCAATCCAAACGGTTCATCACGGGAAGGAATCAAAGCGAAATCAGCACCACTAAACAGATAAGGCGGAAGCGCAGTAAACTCCGGCTTCGAGAAAACGCGATCAGGGTACATCTCCATCAACCGAGCAAGTTTCTCCGCAGCGAACCGACCATAAAGATCGATGACAGGTCCAACAGTAATCAACTGAATGGACGGGCGTTTTTCCAAGCTGCAAGGGGTCTTATCAGAAGCGAGTACCACCACATCAGAAAACACACTCACAGCGATGGCATAATATCCGCGATAAGGTCGACACCTTTCTGCTTAGACCAACGACCAACGAACACAAACAAGTCAGAGTCGGGATCCTGCTTGATGCCTGCCCATTCCTGAGCCTGCCTCTTCATCTCCGGACGCTGCGCCTCAGCAGCCTCATCAATCTGAATATCACGAATAGCCACAGGATTCTCGTCCAAAGCCGCAATATCCGTAGGATCAGGATTAGGCAGCGAATCGACATGTTTGAGGGTCCACAGAGCAGGGTAACGTGCCCAACTTCGCTTCCCATACTTGTCCGACACACCAGCGACACCGATACTCTTTTGATGAACACTAATGAACGATGCAGCGGCGTGAAGCAGGTTGAACGTGTTTCCGAACTGGACGTATTTCGTGCAGTGCTCTTTGCTGATGTTGAACGCGGAGCAGACTTCTTTCATTTCTTCCTTTGTTCGAAGCGGCCACAGACCCTGGAACTCAGCATTGTGCAGCGAGAGACAGACGGGTACTACTTTGGGCAGGAGGTATATCGGAGCGAGCGCGCCGTGGTAGTCGTTGACGTGGTATATGTCTATGACGGGGAATCGGCGAATGGTAGTTGCGATGGCTTGGTTCCATGTAGAGTAGAAGATGGCGGAACTGAGATCGTCCATGCGGGCTGGGTAGGGGTCCGACTTGGTCTGTGCACGGAAAACGGGACTGTCGAGGATAACGTAGGTGATGTTGTCCAACACGTGGGTCTCCACTTCGATAAGGTAGGGCTCGTTGAAGATGACCACCTCAATGGGCTCTGCAGGTTCACCAGCGGGGTAATCAAGGTCCTTGACTTTTGGAATGACCCAGATCAGGTCAACGTCCGTCATAGCTTTCCCCATGAGCGACGACATCACACCGAGACCTCCGATCTTGACTTTGAGCTTCCAGTCAATGATCTCATACTCGAGCGTCGCGATCAGGACCTTGCGCCGCTTGTTCTTGTCTTCTGGCCATCCTATGATTTCCGCATTGGGCTTGCCCCCAAAGAATTTTTCCGTGATGGGAGTCGCGCTTTCCTTGAAGTCTGCAGTCGACTTGTTGCCGAGCGATCCGATGATAGGGAAATACTTGCTTGCGCCCGAGTTCGTCTGTACACCATACCGGTTGTGGCGGATACCGTAGAAAGTATACATGAAAATGATGACTGCGAGTATTCCGGAAATGAGGGAGATAGAGCAAAGAAGTCCGTACATGATGGCACCGACGGAAGCCTGGCCACGAGGCTCAAGAGTCCACGACATTGTAGCATCATTAACGACTAATGCCCACGCGAGTGCAGGGTAAGGCGGTGCCGACATGTTCAGATAATTGGGCGCAATGCTGTTTGGTGGGAGACGATCCATAACGCCGTCGGCGTCGGTGTCGCCGTAGTAGTAGTCATCGTATCCAAATACGTTGAGCTGCACGTAGGTTGGCCATGCAGCCATGATTTCGAGCTCCCAAGTACCATCGCCGATCTGATTCATCATATTGGAGATACCCTGATCATAGCCCCAGTCGTTGAAAGGACCCCGAGCGAGGAATTGGGGAACACGGCGCTGCTGCTTGTAGTTCAGATCTGCATGCACGACGACACTGGCAGTGGTTGCGACGCCGCTCCAATCTACAGCAATGTCAACAACAGAAAAAAAACAGTAGCACTATCAAGACTCACATTGCATCATGATATGTTGGCCCGACCAGAAAGTATCAGAATTGCTGACGACGGCAGAGTCTATCGTCGTAACATTCTCCCAGCTCGTCCAGTTCGACCAACTCTGTCCGTAGTTGCCCGAGTACCTGAACATGTCCGACCCATAGGCATGGTGCGTGAACGTATACTGACCATCAGCATATTTGAACGCTTCGTTATCGTAATCAGACTCGGGGAAAACCATAATGTTGTTGGCTTCGCCCTTCCGCAGCAGGAGATGATCAACGCTCTGCAAAAACATGAGCAAAGCACAACAAAACACAAAAAAGAAACAGACATACCCCAGTAGACATTGTCCCATCGAACGACCCTGGATTATTAAGGATAATCTCCAAAATTCCATCCGAAACGTTGGTCAGAGTACCAGACCACGACCACTGCGAGAACGGAGTTCCCACAATGGGCGACATGACAGGATTCGTGACTGTAGCGCACGCCACCGAAGTCTGGTCGAGCGTAGGCTGCCCACCAATGCCAGAAGACGACACGTTGAACGACAAACTCTGCGTGACGTTATTACACGACATTTCCATATTGAATTCCAGCCATAGGTTGACCACCGTCGCGTTTGGGTCGCCCCGCGTGACTTCGATGCGTGCGTCATGCCCGGGCAGGAACCTCGTGAGCATAGGGGGAGCGGGGAGCCACTCGTTGATAGGGACCAAGGCCTTGATGCCGAACGTGTTCATGTCCACAGACTCAAGACACCCATAATACGGTGTCCCATTACCATAATACGACGACCCCGAGTTCGCGAGCGTATAGTTTTCATACGGAGCAAGCAAGTTCTTCACCGTCACCCCACCCTGATACGGCGACGATATCCACAGCGGACCGCTACAATCATACGAAAACGTCTGCGAGTCGTTCGTGTTGGAGAACAATAGCCAGACCTGGTCGGTGTGCTGCCCTGTAAGGGTCTGCACGTCTGTGATCCCCGCACGGGACACGGACCAGAGGCCCATTTCCGATGCGGTATCGTTTGAACCTGGGAATTCGACAAAGTAGGTCCAGTTTCCGCGCTGTACTAGATCGAAACCGTCTTGGAGGGCATTGTAGGTGCTCCGGAGGTACATAAAGTGTTTCAGGAGGCGGCGCATGTCCATTGTGGGATCAAAATGATCGAGGGAGTTCCAATCATCCTCACACCCCGTTAGGGCGGACTCAAGGGGCATGTTGAAGTACTGGGCAGAACCAAGTTTGTAGCACCCGTGATGCTGCCAAGCTTTGTTGCTCATCATAGCCTGACGACTGAAGAGGAATGTGAGAAAGACAATCACTTCAAGGCGTTAGTAACCTACCCAAAAAGATAGTTTGAAGCAGTGGAGTCATACAGATAGAAGTTCTGCTCTTCGCCATAATAGACCTGTAAAGGGTAAGTACTGCAGTATCAAACGTTCGAATAGAGTTCGTACCAATGGAACCCCTGGCATGACCAGGTACGTAATATAAGAGGCTAATGCGGACCTCAATGTGCCATTCGTCAAACTGGGCCAACGGAAAACATCGAAATTACTCGTTCCGAATAAATGTTTCGGATCAATGAGGCCAGTGCTTGGATTCAAGAAGTCGTTGTTTACGAACATCTGATTCCAAGCGGTGACAAAGTTCGAGTCCAAATCGTACGCCACCGCCAAGTTTCCGTCCATTCCGAGGAAACGCGTGATCGAGCGATAGATTGAATAATGGAACGCGTAGCCATCGAGGTTATTCGACGATTGTGGACGCAAGAAATACTGGTTTTCCGATTCTGTCAAGTTGGCAGCCTGGAGGAATCCCGGGGGCAGCATAGTCGGTGTACGGCCACGTCCCCTGTAAACGGCATTCAATTCATGTCGCCGACCACTGAAAAATAACGACTGACATGTATAGCGACCCAAAAGTATCACCGCCAGTAACTTCACCGGTAATATAAAAGTTCTTCTTTCCAAGATTAGTAGCACAAGCACGAGTTGCGGTTGCCCAAGCGGTCATGCCGTCCACGGAGACCTGTGTGGATTTATCGACACGAATAGCATCGATATCAAGGGCTGTGATGGTCATGCAGGAAAAGGATGTGAGTTTTTCCATAACGGAAGGCTTCCATTCACGGAGACGGTCTTGTACGGAGGCAAATTTGGAGAGCTGACGCTGCCAGTCCGGGTGAACACCAAAGGCTTCCATGTCACCATAATGATCAAAGTCGGACTCGTAACAGCCATCATAGCCCGTTACAGGCTGAATTGTTCCATCATCTTGCCAAAAGACGGGAAGCTGACAAGATTGGTTACGCTGATTGATGACCTACCGAATGGATGGGGATCTTAGTTGAGCCGGCTTCGGGCATGAGGCAAACGGAAATAACTACTTACGGAAAAATCAGCATACTGCTCAAAACCCCATGGGAGGTAGTTTGGGTTTTTGTACAGGGCATTATACTCAGTCAGAGAGAATGGTGCGCTGACATTGAGGTATCTGGGTAACGTTGTTGTGTGAGTGGCTGTACTGTTGTTTTTAGGTTGAACGTACCCTTGAAAGCCGAGAAGGTCGGATAAAGTTCCAACGGTGAAATCCAACATGATATACATGCCGCGTGCGTGTACAGTGTCGATGAAGTTTACCCAATCATTAATAGTACCCCAGTGAGGGTCCAAGACGGAGAAGTCGAGAGGAGAATAACCTGATGGAAGTGAGTAAAATTTTGAATGTAGTGAAGGGGAGAGTAGGACATACTATCGGCTTGCCATATCATGTTCAAGAATATTGTACCTGAGAGATATAAGCCCTTCATGCCCATACCTTGGATGTAGTCCAATTTTGTGAGTAGACCCTTGAGGTCACCACCGAAACGTAACTGAGTCTCTCTCCAATCCCATTCATAGGGAGAACCAAAAAACTGATTATTTGAAGGGTCACCATCTGCGAACTTGTCGAGGAGGATGGTGTAGAATGGGATTGCGCGCCAGTTCTGTGGAGAGAGGGTGTAGGTTGTGTTCGACCTGGTAGTAGAATAATCTGTAGGGTACGTGGCGGACTGGTTTACATTGAGATTGTAGCTTGTGAGGTCTGGACGATAAGGGGAAGCTGATGCAAGGGAAGAAAAACATAGGGAAGAAGCCAAGGCGGCTAGGAACCGCATCTTGGACTACGTTCTTCAGGGCGGCGCGGTGCGAGGGGGAGGGGAAGAGGGTAAGCTTTAGCTGGCAAAATATTATGACAGAGATGATATAGATTTGGGGGGGTGGAATTGGGGGTCCAGGAAGAGACAGTATTTTAGAAGGAAAGAGAGGAAAAACACGTTATACGAATAATAAGCACGCGAGACAGATTCTTCAAGAATTCGAAGCTTAGCCGCGGCCGGGAGCACGCCGTCGGACACGCACGAAATAATCTGTATCAATAATTTCCTATTTCGTAAAACCTAACGACATGGACAGTCCTGACCGCGCACTGCCTGGCTGCCTGTGAAAGGGAGACTTCCCTGCGTCCAGGTACTATCAAACAATGGCCTAGGCCGTAGCCTGACAGCTCGTGACTTGGGTCGATCATGCCAAGGTTTGGTTCAATATCAGTACTTGATTACAGTCGCTCCAGTGACCGATCTGAACCGCCGTTGCCAGTGCAAGGTGTTGGCTCACCGGCCAGCGCTCGTTCGTTCTTCCGTTATTATTCCGTTCCCGTTTCATGTCCAATCCCCGGTCCGCGGTAGAGCCAGCGCATGCAGGATATGACCCTGGTTAAAAGACATGGACGTCGTTCTGTGTGAAGCGGATCATTCATTGCATGTGCCATAGACATCTAACAATACAACCAATCCTACATCTAGACAACGTCAACAGTGTCTAGACCGTATCCCATTCTCATCCCGCGGCGATCCATGTCGTAGAATATAATGTTACAAGATACTGAGACTTGTCTTACTTACCAGTACGGTGTACTACTACTTGACTAACATGGACGATTGCACCGCCACACAGCTTGACCGTACCGCTTCTTGGCTTGTTAACGTTAAACTGCGAAAATCCGTATTGCCAGTTTGCTTGCCTAGCACTGCTTAGCTCGAGCGCAGTGGGCGACTCACGACGTTCACCCAGGCTTTATTTTATCCGGTAATCCACAGTGCTTCGAATATCTGTGATCGACAGGCGCCTTATTCTCATCACAGCCTGCAATACCCGCGCGGTGTCCTCAGACTGTCAGTACGTTCCTTCTTCTGCCCTATCTCACTGCCTGACATTATCCTCTTCTACAGCTGTTCCTCGTGCCCGGCAGTTGCAGTTTCCTATTCCCCGGTCAAGTCGACTTGTTAATTTCTTGTCTCCCCGGAACCTGTCTACCTTGAAATAGCACCACCCATCACTGATGGCTGCCATTACCGCCAGTAACCTACCTACACTCGACATTGCCCATTCTAAATCCTCTGCATCTCCAACATCTCCAACTGCCCGCTCTTCGCATACAGACAATCAACTCACAAACTCCCGCTCTTTCATCAACATAACCTCACCCCGAACACAAGTCTCCTCGTTCCCAGTAACACCAATGTCGGGTATCGGCGCCAGCTCCATTCTCGACCCGCCCCCAGGCTCCACCTTTTCAGATTTCTTGCGCACCTGGAATGATGCCCATGTCGCACGATGGCTTGCAGATACAAAGTGCAGTACACATATCGGCACCTTCAAAAATAATGATATTCGTGGTGATATCTTATTAGAGCTAGACCAGGATACCCTCAAAGAGATGGGCATTGCAAGTATTGGAGACAGGCTCCGCATCGTGAATGGTGTCAAGAATTTGAGGTCCAAATGTTCACCGCGGAATACACTTCCTTCCGTATCTGCCATCGCCCACACGAGGGCCTTCATGGGTTCTATCGACGCCCGCCACCTCGAATCTCCAAGAGAGCCTCCCAGAACAAATGGCGCCGATCACTCACATTCACGCACAAGCTCACGGGAAGTGTGCGGCTCCAGAGATCCCTCGCCCTCATCTCGCACCCACAAGCGTCTCGATAGCAACAGACCTGCTCCACTCGTGTTATCTCCCAGTTCAGGACGTCCTGATCTTCCCCGCATCATTCGAGAACCTCAGTCGGGTGACTCCATACGCAACACTCCCACCATCCGCCCACTCCCCCAAATTGGCCCGCCCCCGCAATCCACCACACCAAACAGCTACACTCCTCGCCCTTTGTTGCCACCCCTTCCTCCCGCACCAAGGGGACAACCACCTCAGCCCCCACGCGGAAACTCACGCACCGTCGTCGGCCCACGTACCCGCGCGCCCAACCAAACAGACGCAACCAACTACGCCAACTCAACCCTCCCACCAGCCCCTACCCCCACCCCCTCCAACATGCTCACAACCCCAACTCAGTCTAACAGCCGGTCCTTTGGCTTACCCCCAGATCCCCGATCAGGCCCATCCCCAATCAAACCTTCCATTCCATCACCATCTCCCCTATCGCGATCATCCCAACGTTCCGCCAACGTTGCGCATAACAGGAATATATCTTTTAATGGCATTTCCTCCCCTCTTGCGCCTACGCCCCCCAATACGAAACTTCCTCCCAGGCCGTCGACGACTGGAACGAGTGCTCATCCGTATGCGTCTGTGCAAGCACCTGGATCCTTGCAGGCCCCCGCTCAGAACGGCATTGCGCTTTCCCCTATTGTCGAGTCATTCCAGGGGCAAGCCTCAAATTCATCATCAGGATCGTCGTCACCCCCAGCATTTGCAGTCGGACGTGGTCCGTTTAACCCTCCCGCTCAGAATACCGCATTGGATACCCTCCGTCGTAAATTGGTTAGATTTTCCATGCCAGAAGAACAGCGGTATTATACCGTTGATGTCGCTGATTGCGCGGGCGGTATTGAGGTGTTGGAGAAGGTACTCAAGAAAGCCGACAAGGTGGGCTCTTCGCGGAGGAACGACGTCATGAGCCGCGTCGAGACAGATGATGGTGGACTCAGCGTAGACGGATGGTCCGTATATCTCGACTGGGACGAGACCAACGACTCAGGTTTTATTCCTCTGTCTCTTATATTTCTTTCAAATTCTGACATCTATATCCAAGGGAAACCACTCTCCGAAGCAGAACTACTAGCAGTATGCCACAGCTCCTCCGATGACCCAGTCAAAGAACGCGGCCTAACACTCCGCAAAAGCGGACGCACAAAACGTTCTAAAGATCTCCAGCGAATATTCGGAGAAAACCCTCCCCGAAACATCAGTCCCACTTCTCCCGGCATCCAACCAAGGCCTTCTGAGTCCGACCATGAGCTTGATGCTGACATAATCCTAAGTATCGATGATTCACAGGGCCAGAAAGCACGCGCCATTAAACGGGCAAGTACTATCAGCGTCCTCAGCGGCCTTGGCGTGCGCGACCCGGAAAAAGCTCTCGATCCTAATACATCGCCTACGCTTGGCCAGCCGAAACACCCGCTCCCATCTGTAAATTCCGGCAAGAAGCCTTCAAAGCTGCGCAACTTCTTCGGCCAGCGTCCGCCGAGCGAGCTGATCACGACACACTTGACGGAATACTTCCCGTTCACGGACAGGAAAATGTTGCGAAATGCGCGGCACAGCATGATGCTTCGGGCTTCGAGCGTAAGTGGAGAGAAGAGGCACAGCACGGTATCCCTCACTCCACCCCTTCCTTCGCGATTCAGCACGAGCACGCAAGGTTCAGGATCGGCACAACGCTCGATGTCACCCTCGCGAACACTGTCTTCTAAAAGGAACTCTACCATTTCTACTAGTTCGACGATACCAGACACGCGGTCTCTGGCAGCACCTTCGATTGGTGAGGACCCTCCACGAGTGTCGATATCCACTGAAGACGGACGATCGGTGATCTTGACTGGAGATGACGTTGAGAAGCTCTCTTCTTCGTACGATTCGAAACCGCAATTACTCCCTCCTGTGACGTTCCCTTCGATATCGCTTTCGGAGTCCATGGAAGACCTTACTGGTCCTCTCCGCCCGAGGTCGAACTCGAATGCGTCTAAACGGATGAGTTTCATGACTGAGTTGAGGAGCAAGCGTGATCGGTCGGATACTGCCAGTTTATTGACTGTGGATGAGATCACTGCTGAGGTGGAGAATCGGAGACAGAGTATGGCGGTTGACATGGGCGTTGAAGGCGCTGAAGACTGGACGAAGGTGGAACCTGATATCGATGATGTCATTAGTCTTTCGGAGGGCGATACCGTGCTCGAGGAGGAGGACGATGATGAAGACGAGAGCGAGGATGTTGAAGAGGAAGACGAAACTGGCCAGGCGATGAATTCCAGCGGTGGTAAGTCAAAAAAAAACAATTTCGAATGTATGCGCGATAACTTGAGCTATTTTAGGCAAGTGGATTAAGGGCGCACTTATCGGCGCTGGGTCATTTGGAAAAGTCTATCTGGGCATGGATGCTGTAAACGGTCTTCTGATGGCGGTGAAGCAAGTGGAGCTACCAAGAGGGTCGGCTCCAAATGAGGAGCGCAAGAAGAATATGCTCAGTGCCCTGGAGCGGGAGATCGACCTTCTCAAAGATCTGTCGCACCCAAATATCGTCCAATACCTCTGTAAGTCCGCTCCGTCATTCCACGCTAGTTGCAATGTGTCATCAGAAACTCACGCACGACAAAAACGACAGATTCTTCTGTCGACGATGATTTTCTCAACATCTTTTTGGAATACGTCCCTGGAGGTTCCGTCACTGCATTGTTGCGTAGCTACGGCGCCTTCGAGGAACCCCTCGTCAAGAACTTTGTAAGGCAAATCTTGCAGGGTCTCAACTATCTCCACGAACGAGACATCATACACCGCGATATCAAGGGTGCCAACATTCTCGTTGACAACAAAGGTGGCATCAAGATCTCAGACTTTGGCATCTCGAAGAAAGTTGACGGCAGTGAGTTGTTTCATCATGACATTACGGCCTTTACATTAATATGCGTGCGGTGTTTGTCAGACCTTCTCACAGGAAAAAGAATGAACCGACCGTCATTGCAAGGGTCGGTGTTCTGGATGGCACCGGAGGTAGTGAAACAGACGGCACATACATCGGCTGCCGATATCTGGAGTGTGGGATGCTTGGTTGTCGAGATGTTGACCGGTGAACACCCGTGGGCACAACTTACCCAGATGCAGGCGATCTTCAAGGTCGGTGATTCCTTTTTTGTTGGCCGAGGCTCTCATGGACATTCGTACAGATTGGTCAATCCGCGAAACCTGCTATACCATCAGATATTTCTTCAGAGGCTCAGGACTTCCTTACGAAGACGTTTGATCTCAATCATTCAGCTCGTCCAAGCGCTGGTGGGCTGCTTCAGCACTCTTGGCTTGCTGTCAAGAAGCAAACAGGATTTTCGAGCAAGAACGCGGCGCTCAAGTCTATTCCAACTATCGAGATCTCGGCATGATACCCACACTCTCTCTCTATTTCGGATTTCTACTTAACGTTATTGGCATTTCCATACACGCACACATGTACCTTGATTCAATGCATATTTGCTGTACCGATGAGGTGCACGCTAGATTTAACCATGCTATTCATCTCTCTCATCGCGTTTGCGTTTCGTTCCGGAGTCTGCTTTCGTACCGGGCCCCCAGTTGGGCGCTGGGTTCTGCTGATAGCGGACGAGCTTTACTTTTGATGCTTGCGTTACTGATCGAGCGTGTCTGGTGAAATTGGCCTCCGTCCTGTGAATTGTGATCAACCTGGGAGGACATGTGCCTTAGACCAGCGCTTGCCTTGCTTCCTTTGCGAGTAATTGCCTTGCGAGAGAGGTCTCAGATACCTTGTCCATTCTCACGGGGTGTTTCTTCACCCAGGACCTGAAGACATCATGCACATCTTGACGTGTTGCGCCGGTCTTCAGAGAGCCAGCTAAAGCATGTGAACGTGATACATGATGTCCGGCATTCAGCAGAGCGGATCTAAATGATCTTCAGTGCATGCATGATAATTCATCTCAGAGATAACGACATACGCCACGTCATCCAAAGGGGGACAAACCGAATGAAACAAGCCAGCTATTCGGGATGGGGTAAAGTAGAACGGGACGTGCAACTCCTAAAGGGTCGGAGATAAGTTGTCTGCGACATAGATACACTTCCGATCGTACCTCATTGGCCACTGTCAGCATGCCTTTCATGCGGACTGCGGTACCATATTTATCTTGATTTCCCTCCAGGTGCTCAAGCACTTTTGAAATGAACCCATTATTGTGTAACGAACCGGACCACATCGGGCCTGCGACCTGCAACGACATGATCCTAACCGTTGAACCGAGCCAAATCTACTCACATGCAGCGCCGAACCACACTCGGTGCATTTTTGTGGGACAGGGGGGCCTGATTGAGTCTTGAACAGGAGGTTTACGTTACCGGATCGTTCATGGGCCTTTTCGACTATCCGGCCCAACGGCTGCTCGTAGAATGACTGGCAACCCTGACATATGTAATACATCGCTGTTTTGCTAGGAACGAGATGCATGACGATGTGTTAACATCATGATATTAACGCAACTTGCCTAGCAGCCTTTTTGACTTCTATAGGCGCAGAATGAATGCGGACGAAGAGGCGGACGTAAAAATCGATGGAAAGGCACAGAAGGGGTTCAATGTATCTTCCGTACCGGCCCGCGGAAGTTGACATTGTGTTTAACACGAGTCTTAGAGCCTTCAGGGACGTCAGTGAGAGTTCAGTCGATCGTGAGGACGCCACATACTGCCTCATGGCAGTATTCCGCTTTGACAGGAATACCACCGTAATTTGAGAAACTTTTACAGCCAATTCAATAAACATTCGCCAACTATATGTAAGCCCATGTACGTACCATTTTTCAGAATAATTTGTCGTCGCTAAAACTGACAAGTCTGTGCATGTGACGCACAGGAGTCCTGTGAGGTGTCTGTGAGCCCTCGGCGTAAAGGATACATTTAGATTGACTTGCCTCCGTCGTTAACGCATTGAACAGCTGCATCAATGAAAGGCGCAGCAGTGCCATATGGATCGAGGTCCACAACATCGACACGCGTCTTCTCTGTGCGATGGTTGTACATGAGTGCACTTACATATTATGTACCTCAGACAAAACCGCAGCTCCGAGAACCAAGAACTTACCATGCATCACCCTCGTTAATTCTCACCTTTCCGCGATCAGGGAGTGGCTGGTGTTCCGATACTACGGATGCAGATGACGAGCTCTCAGGTGGATCGGAAGGTCCGAGACCATTGAGTTCTACATTTCTCTTCATGGCAGCAGTGGCAGATGCAGACAGGTCATTCGCAATGACGAATCTTGAACGGTAATGAAATGTGTGTTCACCCGCAAAACCCAGATACAAACCTCACAAGGGGAATCTCTTTTGCATAGCGAATAGACCGCAAACCAGTTGCCGACAATGCCTCCAGCAGCACGAACTTATGGGACCGGTACTTTAGACAACACTTCAGCACTATCATTGCAGAATATGAAGCAACCCACTGTGACTTCTCGTTTGTTACCTTCAGATGTGCTTCCAATAATAGGAACATCTCCTGGTGAAACATCCTCTGGACCATTGCTCGGCTCAATAGAGTCCGCTTGTGACAATCATTCATTGACAAGACTTTGAATACCACAGGAGAGATACTCACTTTTTGCCTTCTTCTGATCTTTCCGCTGTCCCATCCTCGGCTCTCCTTCCGCCTCTCTTTTTGCTCGTCTCTCCTGAGCCTGCTTCCACTTTGCTTCCTTCTCCCTATTTGATTCTTCGCTCCATACTCTGATGCACGCGACGCTGAGATCCCGATTGAATTCCTGAACTGGATTCAAAAATGCCTCCTCCTTCGATGAAATCAGGATGTGGGAGGTGTTTTCCGTGTGTAGCGTGAACCCTTCGGGCACCGTGATGGACGAGCTGCCAGTGTCTGACATGGTGCTCTTCTTGCGTGATATCAGCAATGCAGACCGTTGTGGATGACGGATTGAAGTGCTGAGTCCGAGGCGCAGAGGCCTGCTAACAGCTAGTAGAGACCTCACGACGATTACCAAGATGAATATCTTGTCAAGAGTGCCTCATAATGACTTGATGCAGACTTCCATCGTACTACCACGTAATTCGCGTGTTTTTTTACGTCCAAGGTGACCTTTGATCATTATCTGCTCTCATGCAGAATCATCCATCTGCAAGTGACAAGTTGTTCACTACAAGACTGGATCAAGGCTTACCCCTTCCGCATGTAGTACCCGGTGCTTTCGCAGCTGCTCGCAAAGTATCCTGCAACCGGAGGCGCACTGTTCCAAGTATACAATGACCTAACTCTCGGTGCGTAGCCTTTATAATATTGTCCGTTGATACTGACGCCAGACTATTCAGCACAAAGATGGACCGATGTCGAAGTTCTCGACCTTCCAGCTTGCAAACGAGCTGCAATCAAAGGCCAACGGCCAACTCCTGTAAGCACTTTTTCGCGCCAGCGCATGAAACTCGTTGATATACACGACAGGACACAGACCGAGGGCCCTCCGTCTGCATTGTAGTACCCTGCTCGCTATCTGAGTCAATATCTACATCGTGGTATGTCTGATATTGCTCCTGCTATATCAGCACGTATTCAATGCATACCCAGGCTTCGCGCTGCTTTTATGAGCCTCGATCCTTTGCCCACAGAGATTTATGTGGCCATCACCTCGGAAGACACGTCGACAGTCTATTACAAGATCAGCCAGGGTATCGTCAAGCCACCCGTGTAAGGCGTTCTGCCGCAGCCGACAATTGGAATCAGACGTCAGTCAGCTGGAGTATCTAACTGACACGACTATACATACGTCAACCGACGAAATGAAGGATACATTGGCCAAAAATTCAGAGTCCAGACAGCGACGATAACGATGCTAGGATGAGATGCAAAATATACGGGGAAAAATGTACGATAGGTGGTAATAAAAATATGGTTCGATGAAGAGTACGATGAAATGTCACGATGAATTGTCAATATTCAAGTTCGATGAAAAGTGCGGTGAAATGTTTCGATGAAGAGTGCAATGAAATGAATCGTCAATACTCAAATTCCTCGGAAACAAGTGATATCGACCCGCGCATATCGCCTCGCCTCACCCGCCCAGGGTCAATCTGCGCGGCAATGATTTTGCGCACCATCGCATTGAGTGACGTTGGACCGCAGCCTGGGCAGAACAAATTAGCACCATGAGAAAAACCAGCGGGAAGTAGACCTCACAAGCAACCATCACGGACCCTTCCGACTGCTCGACTTCATCTGCAAGGATCCTGTCAAGCTTGGGTTTACCAGGTCGTGCATGCTCTGCAACAACATTGATATCCCGTGCTTCTTCCTCACTGATATCAAACTGATTCGGGTCGAGCGAGCCATCAGGTGCGGAGGATGATAACAAACCACGGGAACTGCCAGCATCTGATTTGCCTTCCCAGCTACCGGTGGAGTACATAGAAGTCGACGCCCCTGCACGACCCATTGGAGAAGGACGACCACTAGGAGAGAAGGTGGGCTCAGGGTACGTTGACTGCCGACCGCGTGTGGGCAAATCGCCGTACATAGAGGTCGGAGAAGCGAATGTGTCCGTTGAGATCTCAGACCACCTCTTGTCCAAATTGGTAGATAGCGGGAGCAGTCTGTCCGTAGAGCGCCCTGAGGTGGCAGATATAGCAGACACTCTGTTCGCAGCGAGTTGCATGCTGCTAGGGCGACTGGTAGGGTCTAGCAACCGCACCGTTCTCTCTTCCAACTCCTTTGCAGCAATCTTCCGCGATTGAGCTCGTCGCAACTTGCCTTCCTTCTTCACCTTGAGAGACAGCTTGTGTTCCCCTGGCATGGCGGTGTCATCATCACCATCGAAGTTGGTCAACTCGAGTATATGAGATTCGTGCGCCAAGCCAATATCCTCTGGTAGCATCGGGTCCCCAGGTTCCCCAGTGTAGTAGCTCATATCAACATCGCTCTCGGAATTCTCGATGGAGTCGTTGGAATCAGAGCGGAGGAATGATTGACCGCCGCGTGCAAAGGATGGGTGAGGAGGCTGCAGGTCCTCGAGATGAACAAGGTCGGACGTAAAGAGTGGCCGTTGAGGAACTTGCAAAGGAGGCAGGTCGGATTCCTTGAGGGCAATGGGTTTAAAGTTGGTAATATAGATATCGATCTGCAATGCAGACGATGGTACCAAGGAAAGACAGCGGCAAAGAATAGAAGCACACCACTGTATGTGAGCTACACAGGAGTTGCGTTAGTTTTATAACGATTGAACGCAAATTTTCGAACACTTACAATATTCGCGGACAAGCCATACGAAGCGCACTCGTCGAGTCTTGAATGATTTTTTCCCCCAGCCTCCAGGACGGCCACCCAGATTCTTCCCGTCCCGGCCAGAAAGGCACATACAGATGTACTGCAGCACGGACAAACCGTAGCTCACTCCTGAGCCACCAGCAATGATCAGCACTGTCGAGTAGTTTCCCCAACGGGCGCGAATCGAGCTCCCAAAAGGTCCGTCCACATATGTTCTCAACAGGACACCATGCTTAGGAAGATTTTCTGCGGCAGAAGATGGAATGTCACCATGTGACCGCTCAGCGGTCACGCGTGATACTACATCCCATAAGTCCTGCGTCCAGCCATTTCTTGTACGAATGAGTATAACGATCAAGCGACCCTCATCTGTGGGTGACTCGTAATCACATACAGAGGCACAGGTGAAAGGATGAGTGGTGAATCGCGAGACGCTAGGGATTTTAATGAGGAAATGTTGACCCGGAGCCCACGGTAGAAATCCGGGAGTTATCAAACGCAACCGCACTGTATGCCCGGAGAGTAGCTCAGCGTGAGCATACCCTGGAGGGGGAATGTACGAGGGAGGATATTGTATTGTGGACCTAGCAGTATCCAGCTCGAGCGACCCTGCGGGCAAATGACGAGTGGGCGGTGATGATGAATATGGACTAGCTGTTTGTTTGTCGGACTGATAATATGGGTTTAAAGGGCTAGATGACCGGAAGGATTGCGAATCATCGCGTGCATGCAGCGACTGACGGCGAAGATGTTCCATCTCGAGCGTGTCAGCACGAGTTATTGCAGAGTGTGAACGCTTAGACATCGCTGGTCGTGACGAGCTGCTACCTAGAATGGGGGCATTGGTGGCAAACCACCAAGTCCAGCGCCAGAGGCGTTCACCAGCCCAAATTGCGAGAGCACCCCAACACCACCACCAGAGTGCAGGATGATGAAATGCGGCAGAGGCGAGCATGAGCGGGACAAGCAAAATATGCAAGAAATAGAAGGCTTCATAGAAGTTTCTCCGAATGGGGTTCACGGACAGAGCAATTATTAATGTCAACAATGCAAACGCCTGCTAATTTGTCAGACTCTCAACATGAGAGAGAAACTCGACTCACGATCCAGCCAAAGACGAATGGCATGTAGGAGAAAGCGTACACATATGCGACACGACCAGTACTGGGTTTGTGATCTCGAACGAGCTGGACGCTCCAGAGCGCAATATGAATTGATGTAAGAAACCATATTAGCCTTCCTGTCCATCGATGAAGCCATGCGAGTTTGTCGAAGAAGAACTGTATCATGAAAGGGATTGCGAAGATTGCGAAAGGGGGTGCTTTGAGGGCGAAAAGCACGCAAAGAGGAAAGAGAGCGAACGCGATTTGCCCTACGCGTGCTGATGAAGTCCACCATGCTTTATTGATGGTATATTGTGGTTGAAGTGGCAAATAGGGAGCGATGTTCGGAATAAGACTACGACGCTGGGGCTCCACGAAGACAATGTCTCGGCGAACTTGCCACACTTTGAGAGTCGGCGAAATATAGTCTGGACCGACAAAGGCAAGGGCTAAGGATCCTCCCAAGAGCAATGCCAAGCAAAGAAGTTGGGCATTGGAAGGCAAAGAATTAGGTTGGCGGTGAGGATCATTCCTTTTGAGAGCAAGTGCTACGTTATGCTTTTTTCTCCAAGTGCGTCGACGGAGAGTCCATTTTGTCCAGTGGGCTCCGAGAAAACCACCCCTTGAACCTGTCCAGTGAAGGATGGCAAAGGCAAGAAAAAAGAAAACTACAACAATCCAGATGAGAAAGGAATAGCGTCGACTGGGGACACTAAGGGAATGAATGGTAAGATATGCCGTGATCCATTCAAGGTCGTCTGAGAATGCAGGGGTGGTGGGATCAGTAAGAAACGCGGTGCTGGACGCCGTTGCAGCACTAGACGAGGACATAGAGGTTGGCCCCAGGCTCCCCCGAATTCGCAAATTCGTTAAGCAAGACCTGCAGTCGTGAAGGGACTAAACTGTTGGGAGTGAAAGGACAGAAAAATTAGGCCTAAAAGAGAGAAGATGATGCGTGATAGGGTCGATTGAATTGTTCTTCTGACGCGGAACCGGGTAAGGAATTTCAGAGAAATTCAGACCGAATTTACAGGGGGATAGCAAAGAAAGGAGTGTGAATCATGGCAGTGAAAGTAAGACCTGGCAACACCGGCTAGGGGGTCGGTCCTCGTCAGAAGCCAGGCTGGGCTACTCTTTAGACCTGTGTTAAATAATGTACCGACACGGTTTCGGCCACCCGCAAGCCGTCATCGATTCATCGTTGGTCATCCGTTCAACACGTCAACTGGTCACGTGCCAGGCCTTGCCGCCGATCAACTCCACCATGCCCACAACCATAAGGATATAGGTATCTATTCAGATTTAAATAGACACGCGCCAAACTCGCTTAGATTTCTATACAGTCGTCAGGGAAATTATCCGGAAGACGAGAATAAGTAAGTAACGGATTCATATCTATCTCAAACAATTGCTTCGGCCTTGTCCTGAGACGTGACCGAGATAATCTAGAAGTCATACCACTCCATAAGCCATCTCATTCATCCAGAAAATAAAGATCTGAGCCTCACCTGCTTGCCCGTCTTCCGGATCTTCTCCACCAGGGCCTCTTCTTCAATAGGACCTGTAACGTTCACCAGCTGGGTCTCCAAGCTTACATCAAAACTCGAAACCGATCCTATCAACACGTTTCATTCGGTCAGCCTTGCATCACTCATTCATCACGGCCATCGCACCTTCCTGCTGCGCCTTAGTCAGTACACGAGTGACAGCTCCAGAACAACCTCCGCAAGTCATCTATGAAATCAGCGGTTCATATCAGACTGGCAAACGGATCTAGCCGCAACAGACCTTAACATTGAGCTGATATTTGTGTTCGACCTCACTTGCCATGTTATACAAATAGATAAGAATACAGATGAAAGGCTGGTTGATGGTAAATCGATAGTGTGGGTCCTTGTTTCACAACAAAGGCTTGCTCTTATACAAAGGGCTCAAATCGCGCAATCATGGCTATCACAGGACCCCTGATAATGCCTTTGGAACCCGGGTTGGCGGAGGCCCCAACTTGTCCGGATGGATTTTGTCCAATTTTGTCCAGATCCCGTCCTAGGTTACCCATGAGCGCAAAATTTGTCCGGATTCCAACCCAGGTTATAAAATTTTTCAAAAACGCGTTTTTTGCGTGTTGGAGTAGCTAGGATCATGTAGCGCAGCTAGGGAAACACGGAAATACTAGTATTCCTCCTCCCCCTCATCATGATCCCCTTGCAAGACCGTCTGATTTACTATTCGCTTGCGGAAAAGTTTTGCTGCTTCGGTAAGTCAAGGAGATGCGTGATGTAGCGTTTCGAATGCGGAGACGTCAGCTGGTACAAGTTCAAGTCCCGAAGGTGTCACCTTAGGTGGCCTCGGAGTGAGTTGAACAAAAAGTATGTTTGTTTTTTTCACTTAAATTTGCATGTCAGGCCAATCTGTCTGTATCGGCCTCGGACCGTCGGACAACACACTCCGAATCATAATATTAGTATTGAGCAGTTTTGCGGCAGATTGTAAAAAGTGTGGTTCGAACTCCAGAGCACCAGCGCTCCAACAGTCAAACGTGACATCATACATTACACCCACTACACCATTGTACCATACAACAATAACACTATGTCCGGATGGCAACCTGGCTCCCAAACAACGCTGCTGATGTCCGGACGGTTGACTCAGGTTGACCCAAAATCAGACCCCAAATGTCCGGATCCTAACCTGGGACAAACGGTCATTGGGGTCGATTTCTGTCCGGATTGATGACAGGGTTCCCAAGCCATTATCAGGGGTCCTGCTATCACCCGCTGACGAGTCGGAGCTTGCCGACATTTGTCCTAAATCTCACGCAAACACCGCGACCCCCGCATAGGCCAGTGTTGGTCCAGTGCTGAAATTTATATATTTGTCCGTAGCCAGCAAACACCCATGCGCACATAATCGCTGGTCGGCGTCATGTACAAGATCGTGCATCATCAACTGCTCAAGCGTGAAGTCCGATTATCAAGCATCTCGACCTCGTCACCCTCCGTGGCCACCGCTACCCATCCCGTGCCCGCGGACGGCTGGCCTCTAATTCTAGCAAAGCAAGTACTGAAAAAGCCTAGGGAACGCATCGGTGTCATCATTTGATGCCAACGTAAGACTAGTCACTCACCAAGAAAGGCAGGCAAACCGGCTTGATTGCGATTCGGATTCGTCAAATAATACACTGGTACACCTGCCAACACGAAGCCTGCGGATGACAAAATAAGGACACAATCGTTACAGCAGGGCTCATCAATCACCTAAAACTGCCATAGCTTCTAGCGGTGCAGCGATAATTGGCATGCATAACAGAAATAGCGCAACCTATGAGAGGGTGTCAATGAGTCCACATGGATCTAATTATAAACCTTACAGCACAAAACATCAGTGGGGTCACAATCCATGTTTTATAAGGTCTGATCTCAAGGTTAACCTAAACTTTGTAGAGCAGTGGGTCCTGACAACTCACCTTTCCAGCATTGGTTCCTTTACACGAAGTATAACAAGGCCCAGAACCTTTAAAAAGCAATTCAGATCATGGCGACATCTGTAGAGCACCCAACTTACAGTAAGGAAGAAAAATGACCAAGACGCCACAACGGAGAAGTTGATAAGCGAACGAAAGCCACCTCCAAACATGATAAACACAATAGTGATGGCCGCTTGAAGGAGGATCGCATTAACTGGTGTTTGCCTCGACTTGTTCACCCGACCAAACATTGCCGGAAGGTATCCCTCTCGTCCGGCAACGCAGATGAGGCGCGCAGAAGTGAAGGTGCTCCCTGCGGGAGATCAGTACGAGTACTCGGGAACTGTGCAAGGAATATCTACCATTCAACGCTCCGAAGCAAGAGATGCAAACCATCACAGCAAAAACCACACCACCTGCTGGCCCAAAGATGGCTCGACCGAAGTCCAAGGCAACTGTGTTGCTCAGACCAACAGTGGCTTTGTCTAGCACCACGAAATATGACACATTCGCAAGTAAGAAAAGTATCTGAAATGGTTCAACATCTATAAATCTCAAATGACACTTCTGTTACTTACCATCGCAAGCACCATACTTAAATGAATAGCTCTTGGGATATTTTTACTGGGGTTCTTCATTTCACCTCCAACATAGTTGGCCTGATCCCATCCATCGAAAGCCCATAGCCCAGAGTAAAGAGCTAATGAATATGCCGACGGACTATGGGTGGAGCCCTCAAAGAGTGGCCGAGAGAACGATTCTGACGCTTTCCCCCGAATAAGCTGTATCATCCCCAGTACGATTACAAATAACTGGCGAGGAATGAGCCTCAACTCGGTACTCGTATCATAACACTCACTAGGGCAGCGATCTGAGGCCGGGTCGTTATTAGATGAAACCGATATCAACTACATAGCAACAAACGCACCTTCACAGTGGTGAACACCACAGCAGCCCTTGCGCCTAGATTCCGCGTAGCTGCACAAATTATGACAACGCTGAGCACTGCTGCCACCGCAGTGAGTTTGATGGCCCATTGGGGTATATCATCTGGTGCTACCTCGTCTTGGGCAGCGTGCCATATGAGCCGGTTCAGGTATTCGGCAAAAATGAGACTAATGACCGCATTTCCACCTGTAATGTAATGTTAACTGGACGTATATCTACAAATCTCACCGAAAGTCAGATAGAAAACAAACCAGGTTTCAGTGCTGAGATTGCTGTCCAAGCAAACAGGTAGGATACAAGTGGTCCGTATGCATACGCGAGGTATGCCTGTGCTCCGCCGTTCAGTGGTATACTGGAGCTGTAAACCAAGGTTTTCAGTACTGATTGCCAGTAACATGGCAGGTGACCTAGACGAACCCTAGTTCTGCAAAGCTGCTGGCTCCCGTCCAGCCAAGCAACCCAGAGACAAGCCATACAACCAAGCTTGCCCCTACGCTCTGAGTATTCGCCACTACAACACCTGGTGAGGAGCTAAACCAAGAGTTGTAAATTGGGGTTTGAGGCTGTCTGCTTGATCTACTCACAAGATTCCTGATCCAATCTTCCAAATAATATATCAGGTATGCGGATATAGCATCAGAAAAGTGAACTGACTTGAGAGCCGACGATAAGTCCAATCCCTTTCGTGTACTGTGAACATCTTGTGTTACGCCACGTTGCCAGGACGATCACTTACCATGTAACAAAGTGATATTCTTCTCTCCAGTTTCCCCGAATGAGGTAGTATCCGGTTCACTCATACTTGCGCTCAAAGGTAATAGGTCGCGCTGGAAGTCAAAGCCTGTCATCGAGTAAGACCTTGGCCGCCCTCTCTCTGACATAGGTCCCTCCGAGAGCTCCAAGTTCCGCAGTGAGTCTGACGAGTCATTAGAAGCGCGTGTCGCGAAGGTTAGACGTTGGTGCTCCCCCGATGATTTGAGAGAGGCAGGCGGTGAGAGATCATCGTCGTAGAGCAACTCCGGCATCAAATGAAGGTTCGGTTCACTTAATGAGTGTGAACAGGAAAGACTACTGTCTGGAACGAATCGTGAAACTTTCAGCGCTGGTCGTCGCGGCTGAGAAAAGACCACCAGCTCGTGACATAAACCTTCGATTCTAACTCGCGTAGGCGGTGTAGACCCGAGAATCTCATACGTAATCCAATTAGTTGAGCTCATTGCTCAAGCGCTCATGCGAGGAATTGTCCACAAAGTAACAATTTTATGTAAATACATGCATATCACTGCGCATCAAAGACCCCACGTAGAAATAAGACCACTAGGTGGGTATAGTACTATAGTTCACACTGCTGTGCTTGTTAGTTACTACATGGGACAAACGAACGGGCTCGGAACTGTTCTTGTAAAATTAAAACCGCTCTATGTAGTCAGAAACTGAAAATCCGACGTCGATCTGACAAACAAGTTCCAAGACCATGTGCAACGGCTGACGCTGATGTGCGAAAAGTCACAATGCACCTCGGAGACCGAAAGCGATGTCAATTGGGTTTCCTGTGTTCAAGTAGAGACTGCGCAACTATCGAATGGATATCAATACACCGCTCGTGACATTGCTCCATGCACTGTGATGGCTTGTTAGCGTTTGATGTGATTAGTTAAAGAGTATCACCTTCAAAGACATGTCAGCAGTCATCTGTCCTGACTGCCAGATGCTGGTGATACTATCCAAAGCCGGCATACAAGCAAGTATAACAGTACCACTGGATGCCCGTGCTTCGGCCTCGCTTGGATCAAGTTGAATGACATCTCCGACGATGGCCTGCAAAGTCAGATGTAAGCTGAATTATAAACGGGAAAGAGCATCACATACAGCAGAGCATGATGCAACGAGCCCCAGCATTTCAATTCCGGCATCAGCAAGTGCAGTACTTGCAGCTAATGATCCAGATGCGATACAACCTTCAATTCCATCGTTCTCGATGATCGTGATGAAAACATCAATGGTCGACTTTGGGAATAGCTCCAGGCGTATTGATGATACGATTGCTTGATGTATTGATACACCAATGGATCTATCCTCGGCGTCCTTGAGGGGCCTATGGCATTCAATACGGTAAGTACATGGTTTAGGTACGACTTACGCGCATTGGGGCCCTTCGACGCGTACACGAGAAAGGAGTGAATTTGACTTCAACGTTCAGCCGACCCTTTTCGCTGTAGGTGGTAGTTTTAGACTGCCGTGGTCCATACCTGTGACGATACTCAGCAAAGGTGCGCCTGATGAAGGCTAAAGTGGGCTCGAAACGTACACAGCACATGCAATTTTAGTTCTCTCTGTCTCGATATATGCAGATCCATTTGCCTGACTTATTAGACCTGGCTGGAGGACTGTCAAAAAATCAGCGTCATCTGACAAAAGCGTACAAGACACTGACATATTGGCCTGATATCACCAGGTGCCCGACCGCGTTGCGTTTTTAAGTTGATATCCTCATCGTCATCATCGAATACGGGCGGAAAGCTTTCTTCTGGTCCATTTATCCGCCGGCGGTCGTTTGCACTTTGAGCCATAACGTTGCATTCAAGTCGAAGGAACAGTTTATCAAACAGTTAACGGGCTTACGTAACCCAACATTTCATGAAGCTCTCCTTTTCCCTCCCCAAGACTGCGAAACCAGTCGGCGCAGCACCACCTCTCAAGAAACCAGCAGCATTTGCATCCCTCGGTGATGACGACCATGTCGACGCTGCCCCAACGTTGTCCGACAATAAGACTGCGGCAGCAAACAAGAAACTATTGGCTCAGAATGTCGAATCTTCAAAGGCCGCGAGGAAACGCATGGAGCAGGAGATGAAGGTTGATTCTACTGTGTATCAGTATGATGAAGTTTGGGATAGGATGCAAGAGGTTAAGCTCAAGCAGAAGGAGGCGAAAGAGGTTGATTCCAAACAACGAAAGGTGCGCTTACATTCATCCATGTAGCTTGGAAGTAGTTTGCCAATAATGTTATGTAGCCCAAGTACATCGAAGGCCTTCTAACTTCGGCTGCCACGCGACGTCTGGACCATTTGCGTGCAGAGGAGAAGATGATGCAACGAGAAAGGGAAGCCGAAGGGGACGAATTTGCCGACAAGGAGGCCTTCGTCACACAGGCATACAAGGATCAAATGGCTGAGGTCCGGAGAGCGGAGGAGGAAGAGCGACAGCGAGAAGGTGCGTTCAATTGTAACGATAACAAAACATATTACTTATTTCTGCCTTAGAGGCTGACAAAAAGAAACAAAAGGGAGCACCGACTGGCATGGCCCATTTCTACCGTAAACTCCTGGAAGACTCAGAACAACAACACGAAGAGGCTGTGGCAGCAACGGAGACTAAACGCGTCATTGGTCCACAAGGACCTGTTCCAAATCTAACTATCACCAAGCCCCCAGAATTGACACCAAAATCAGACCTTCAGCTTGCGCAATTAGCTAGAGAGCAAGGCAAAGACGTCGAGCTCAACGACGATAATCAAATCGTTGACAAGCGGGAATTGCTCTCTGCTGGCTTAAACTTATCTGCTCCCAACACGCGACGACTTGGGCTCCAGCTCTCGAAGCAAGCTGCCGGGACGAGTGAGGTCCAAGCTCACCAGGCAGTAGGAACAGCAGCAAGTCGGAGGGAAATCAATGAACGCCGCGCACGGGAAATCAAGCAACAGCTGGAAGAGGAGCGTGAACGGATGTCAAAGCAGAAAGAAGCACACGAAGAAGAGGCAAGACAGCGAACAATATTGAAGCGGAACACACAAGAGGATGTGCAGGATATCCGCGCACGTTACCTAGCGAGAAAAAGACAGAAACTGGAGGAAGCGGAGGTGGTTAGTGGAGGTGACGATTCGATATCGTAAACGTTGAGGAGAGGTGTTTATATGACCGTGACTAATACTACATACTTGCAACGATTACCCCTACCCGACGATAACTAAAGGATGTCCAATGTCCGATGTATTTTTTGAGGGCTCGAAACGTGCCCAAAGAATAGTGTGTTAGGGAGAGATGTGACGGCCACGCGGTGTTTTTCTCATTGTCGCTTGCACTCGTTGAAATTCCTTTAGTACTGCGGCAACCGGTGGCCGCTTGTCAGGGTTTTCATGAAGCATCGGGTTGGCTAAACGCATAAGTTCGGGGACATGGAACTCAGCGAGCTATTTGAGTCGTGCGTCAGTCTTGGCTCTGTGGGAAGACAGTCTGCTATAGTACGAACCTCGCACGCTCGGAAAATTAGAACCCCTAGTGCCCATACATCGATCATAAACGGGTTACTTGGCCGACCACATTCAGCTTCTGGTGGGACCTCCGACCCCCGAGAGTATAATACCCGCGGACAAGAAACCTCATCTATTCGGCGGCTGAGCTCATAATCTATGCAAGCATAACGACCGTTATAATCGGTGAGGAAGTTGCGTGGCGAAATGTCAAAGTGCGCGATACGATGTCGATGCATGAATGCAATGTGCTGGAGGAAAGTTGTTAGCATGGAGTACAAACTCAGTGAATCCTCTCCGTACCTCTATACAATGGCGCAAAGCTTCCAGGATGCAGCTAAGACTAACTGGAGCCTCTGGAAACATGTTTGGAGACCATTCCTCCATAACAATGAAACACAGATCATCCTGGGGCGCATCAATAAGGTCAAGAATAGCTACATTTCTTCGATGGTGAACTCAATTTAACGATATGTCTGGGAAACTCACGTATAGAGTGATTCATGGGATCCTGCCGTTGAGCTGGCGCAGAAAGATAGCGGACGATGTCAAGCTCCCTGCTATCCCGATGGACCGCCTTAACCATTACCTTCATCCCATCAAGACAACGGGTGGCTCGGAACAGGCTGTCTCGCTGGTTTGGTTAGTGACATCTCGCATGGCACCTGACAGCTTATAGGACTCACCAGACCAGCATCTTTGCAAAGAGCATCTTCGTCGCTCCTCGCAAGGGCGCGGTGATAGCCGGACAAATACGCATGCAGTTCTTGCTTCTCGATGTTGCCGCAATGGTGCTGATAATGATCTTTTACATCGCGGACAGTGTCCAGACGGAAACCTCTACGTTCGATGCGACAGCGATATTTCGCCCAGTCAGGCGAAACACGAGCGTTAACTTCATCTTCGTCGCAGGAAGATGGAGACGAGGACGTGCTTGACGCCAGGGATTCAAGGTCCCATTCAGTGGATGAAGACATGAGCAGATAGTGGAGAGTCGGGTTTTTTCGAAGGATAAGAAATTGCAACCGTCACGAATACTCACAGGGAAGCGTTGGACAACGCATACACCTGCATGCAGATATAAAACTCAATGCCGTGGGTGATATAAGACGACTTGCGGTCGTCTGCCTAACGGAATACGGCATGTTAATTGGTATTTCAAGGAATGAAAGGTTCGACGGGCACGGTCGAAGAGGACAGGCGACAAGAAACGGCTGCCAAAAGAGATGCAATAATCTAAGCGTGCGATGATTGCGAGGCATTATGGACAACCTGATTTTTTTTTCGAGGATGTATCTTCTCAGGCCGACAGAGGAGGTGTGACTTCTCACCACAAATCGGTCTGAAACTGTTTAATTTGCGCGATCTACAAAGAGCTAACCGCATCTAATTAGGCAGTCTTTTCTCCTGGTATGTCGTGGATTTGAACAGTGGCCTACATTGACGCGAGCGGACCTTGTTGCTAGATTTCAAAATCTAGACATGCCTTGATGGCAGGCGATAGGAGGCCATGTATGATGGGCAGCTGGGGGAAAGTGCTACCAAGAGCAGTTGACTCGGAAGTACTAGTAAGACTGGATTGGGGTATGTGGCTGTGTCTCTCGGTTGTCTCGTATTCATTTACCAGGCCGATAATCGATAAGTACTATACTATACGACTTTTAGCATATATATCACACACGCACACGTCAGCATCGGTTCTATGCAATAAAATTATCATATTAGCACACGTCGTTCCACAAAATTATTTGGACAGACGGTAGATCATACCGGTACTAACAGCCGTGGTTTCACGTGAATGACTATGGGCAGCAGAGCATGGATGTTGGGATAGACTGTGTATTGACCGTGTAAATTGTTACAACAGCCACCAGCCTTCTACAAGTTAGTCTTCTTGTGCATTACCCATAGTAGGAACTCGCATATGAAACCCATTGGGGCCAACCGGCTGTTCGCTCGTCATATCCCCAAGCAGCTGAGCTCCCGGCACCCCCGACGTCTGTATAATCTTACTCCAAAGCCTCGCAGTCGCCTGGTCTGCGCTATCTGGTCCAGGTCCCCGCTGGGGCCTGCGCATCAGACGCACCAGCGAATTCGCAAGGTGCCGCGGGAGGCTGAGCGAGTTCTTCCGTCGGATCTTGTGGGGGAAGCCCCACTGCTCGTACGGGCTACTTGAAGAGTTGTCCGCTTCGCGAAGCTGCATGACGTATGGCTTGATCCGTGGGTCCCAGAATACGGAGGAAAAGAACTGTATCTTTCTCGGCCCACTTAGCTGGAAGAAGTCTGTGGTGGCCTGCTCGCGTGATACGAATACGAGTTTCCAGGGGCGGACGGGGGACGGTTCGTAGGCGCTGCCTCGCATGGTGCTTAGCAGGAAGAGCAGACCATGGGGAGATATTGGGCGCGGGTGTCCATACGTCACCTGCATAAGCCAGACTGTGGAGGTGCTGTCGTCGAACATGATCGCGTCAATGCCTGGGTGAATAAGCGCATGCTTAGGGGGGTGAAGAACGCGCGGATAGTTCTCAGCTAGTGCCACGAGTTCGCCTTGGGAGCCATATGCATAGCTTGAGGGCAGCACAGCCCGTTGTTCCTTGTGTGCGATGTCAAGCTTGGCACGCAAGATCAGGTCTTCGTGTGCTGGTTGGCAATGCCCTTGTGAGTCGGTACACCTAAGCTCGAAGGCCCCTCCGAATCTGGATATGAGCGCTACCACAGTTTGACGATATAAGATCTTGCCCGCCTCCTCGGTGTCCTCTGAGTTGATCAGGTTGTAGACAGCGTCCTTGGCAGAAGAGGGGTCTAAGGAGGAGATCCCATATGCGAGGAGCCTGCTGGCAACCTGTGATACCGGGTAGGGCAGCGGCTCTGTGCGGTTATCTCCAGGTTGGACGGCGAAGAGGTTACGGCTGTATTGGGCTTCTTGTTCGCGCAATGCGGGATGCAGAAACCAGAAATTATCGCAAGCACACTCCAATTCATTGAGGGAATAATCGGCGTAGCTGGCGTGGCGAGACGCTCGCAGGCAAGTGCGCGCATTGGACCCGAAATGGATGTAAGACCATAGGAGAGCCTCTGGATCGTGCTTTTTTGCAGCAAGAGCACTAAAGACGATGGGTCAGCGATCATGAAGAACGTTAACATGATGTTTTACCTCATCGCAAAAATCTCGTCCCAGGTGCATGGTTTCATCCATCGCTGAAGAGAAACTTCATATCCAGGTGACCATTCGACTTTGAAGCCCAGGCTGTCCGGCCAAAACGTGGTGAAAATGGCCTTGCCACACGTGCCCCACATCAACGCCTGAGTGTGGGCGGTGTTCGGGTGCGTGCTGGGGTTTATATGCGTGCTGTCGACGAGGTGCCACACATCTTCGCGTTTGAACAGGGGGTGATACTCGCTGTTCTCCTCGGGAAGGGTGAAAAACCCATCTGCGGTGAAGCACATAACGCGCGAGTGTAGTTGGTCAATTTGGTACGTCACTGGTTGGCGAGCGAGAAGTCGCTTGACGAGGAGATATGCTAAGAAATGTGTCTTCCCTAAGGATAATTGGATTGAGCAGCAACACTTCCGGAAAGAACTCGACTTACCAATACCTGCTGATCCATGCACGACAAAATTGCGCTCGATTGCGGAGATGTGTTCAAAGAGTAATTCATACTCTGAACGGATGACCATGGACGTTACTCCGTTTGGTAATTCAGCACCAGGGCATCCAGATAGGTCAATGGCGTCGAAGGTGAGGGGGTGCACCCTGTATCAGCCTCAATATCATTCCAAGACCCAAAGAGAGGAAACGAACTAACCCCTCTATGCTCTCCAAATCTGGAACATAACACTTCAGCCCTTTCCTCACGACGGACTGGTCTTGTTGTTGCCAAAGGGAATGATAGAGAGACAAGAAATTGGAGTGCGATACCCAAGATGGCATGTTAGCCTGCATTGTCATTTCTGAGCAAGGAGGTATAGGTGGAGGAAGTGAAGATCGCCGCCATTGCTGGGTATGTGTGTATCAATATCTTCGGATGTGACGGATGACCTCGGATGACGGACGAACGGATGTCTTGGTGACATCATTTCTAGAATTGTTTACTTGTGTTGAATTCTGAAGCCGCTGACTAAGCAAATGAATACATCGCAATTTGGTCAACAATATCACAAACTGTTACCAGTCAATGGAAGAAGGAACCAAGGGTAAGAAGACCATTTTCATTGGGGGTATCGGGGATGACGTCGATGAGACGGTAATTTTCGAGCATTTTTCGCCTTTCGGTGAGTGTTCTTTGTCTTTCGTGACAAGTCCACGCTGTACGAAGCTTTGAAACCGCAGGTGACATCATTGAAGTACAGCTACCTCCAGCACCAACCAATCCATCACGGCCGACAGGCAAGCAAACAAATACGAATCGCTATTTATTTACTGACTCCTTGTAGAATTCAAACATCGTGGTTTCGCATTTGTGACATATTCTTCACCTACAGATGCTCAGGATGCAATCGACAACATGGATCTCAATGAGTTACAGGGCAAGGTTTTGAAAGTGAACCAAGCCAAGCCTATGAAGGGCTTACAGCCGCCAGATGGGAATAGAGCTAGTACGCACATTTCTCCAGGTTACTACGAACCCCCCTCAGTCCTTCCTTCCAACAGTCTGGGAATCAGAAGAGTGGCTGCAACGACACGCGAAGCCATTAGCACAAAGTGGAGGTTAGTAACATCACGGATTTTCGTATTGTTTCACTGACGTTCCTAGGTGTGCAAGGCCGCACGGCCCAACGAGGCCCTTCTGTAGAAAAAGGCGAAGAACAAGCCAACGACGAAGACGCGGATGCAATGGAAGAGTAACCGGTCTTGCCTCAGTAGCCATTTCATGGCAAGTGGAACGAACTGTATCAGCGAAACTCCACCACCTTGTTAGTCTTGGCAGCTTCCTTATGCCTGCGAGAAAGTGATGTTGCGGGAGCGGAGACCCAGTCCAATGTTGGCATCGGCAACTGAATCTGCAGTACAACGGTATCAAAAATACAGATGCTAGTACAACGATGTAGAAACTAAAACAGCGTTACTAAAATGGGTTCCCCTAGTACTCCTTTGACTGTGTGATGTCGGATTCTTCGAACTGAGCCCGAGCACGCTTGATATCCTCCTGCATGAATAACAATTCCTCCATACGAGCCAGCTTTTTCGCATCTGCCAATCTCGACAAAGCTCGACGGAGGTCTTCGATAGACAATCGTGTTTTCCGTTGTGGACCACCAGCAGTTTGACACTATGCCCCAAGTAATGGTTTTGGTTGAGTTTTGGCACTCACATGTGTGTATGACACAATATCAAGAAACGAAGACACGCACAATATCTGCAATGAACTCGACAAGTATTTCTTCCATGACATTTACTGTGTCATTGGCGGGATTGCGATCATCGCCGAAACCGTACATGAGGTTTTTCACTGCAGAATCTGGCTGAAGAGTTTTCCAAAACAAAGGACCTGACAGAACGCACGTTCTTTGGAAAAGAGGCCCTTGAAATTGGCCTGTTTTCTACTGCGCCCAGTACCTCCACCTGTAGTGGCAGGAGCGGTTTCTCGGGTGTATGTTGGGGTATAGGATGTAAAAGTGGTCGCCTTCGGAGTAGCGACAACTGGAGTGGGGGTGGGTGTTGTAGGAGGCGGCGCCGTCGTCTGTACTGTGGGCCGCGCTGCCTGTTGAGAAGGAGCTGGTGCAGGCTGCTGTGGGATATAGGTGTATGGATATGGCCATGCACCATAACCAGTCACACCTGTGGCGTAGCCTTGATGATACGCTGGATAACCTGGAGTCTGAGGGTGAGCATATGCGCCTGGCGCACCCGGGTGATAATATGGATATGTCGTCCCCGCTGGATGCTGCCCTGGTTGGTAATGTGAGTACGACATGAACGCGTTCGTCCAGCAGTACAGGGTGCAAAGCACAAGCCGTGGGACACATTCCTCTTTTGTGTGCCACCCCTAAATGTACTTGTGTAGCATTCAAGTAAAACGTTGCCCGAAGTTACAGTGTGGACAAAGATAATGGATATACGAATATGGTCAAGTTAGATATCCTGGTCAATCCTGATTGTCCAGATCGCCTCCCCTCTTTGCACGCATTTCAAGATTCCTCGCGTTATCCATCATCTGGCGAACTCTCTGCCACTCGAACTCGACTAATCCACGCTGATCAAGCCAGTCCATCACTTTATCTGCATCTCGCATATCTTTGGGAGGTTTGATACCCCCTCCAAAAGCGATTCGGACAAACCCGTGATTGTCGTCAAGAACTTCGTCGATCTCCCGCAACAAAGATCGATACAAGCGATACTGGTTTCAAAGTCATCGAGCAATGAACACGATACTTGGAAGATATCTTACCTCCCAGTGACTGAACTCGTGGAAAACCTGGGTCCGAGAAGCGCAGAAGCGGCCGAGATAAAACTGCTTTCCAGAAGATTCGTGGCTATCATCATCAGAATCACTGTCTGATGACGACTCGTCCTCTGACTCGGACTACTTGCAATTAGGTGTTAAAAACAGAATTGGACGAGCTAAAACATACCTCGTAATCATATTTATCATATGGCTTGCCACTCACTCGGCCAAGTAGCGAGGATATTCTCCCACCTAGATTACAAGCATCACACTGAGGAGCGCTGAACTCCATTCTTACTAATTGAAAGTCAGGGTATCTCTCAAGCGGCCTCTTGAATTGGGGTTTCCAGACCGAGGACGTGACCAAGGAGTCTTTCATCCCAGATAATTTCCGTCGAACTACTTGAAGCGGGACAGAGAAATATTCATCCGCTGCACTCCGTATTAGCGCTTAGCTTCGAATGCCAATGGACATGCAGACCTTCTAACATCTTCTTCATGAATGGGCGTCTGTCAGAAGAAGACCGAACAGCCATATGGACAAATAACTGGCAGATGATCTTGAATTGATGGGCGAGATCTTGATGGGTGTTCATGCTGAAGGCGATGGGTAATTGCATAGTCGAAACACCCTGTTCGTCATCCTCAACAATAAAGTTATCATCTCCATCTGATTGTTCATGTTCCCCACTAGAGGACTCAGATTCTTGACCACGATCTGGTCGCGCACCCTTGAAGGGTCGCACCACTGAGCCTTCCGACTGCTCGGCATCCGATTCTGAGGATTCAAGCTCAAGGTTGATCCCTGAGCGTTTCTTGTCCTTGAGACCTTACAGAATATTCAATAAGATAAAACTTCACACGTCAGGGATATCGACCCACTCTTCAACTTCTCAAGATGTTTTTGGAATGTTGTTTTCTTGTCGCGAGCGCGAAGACGCGACTCGATGATATCTGGTAGCGGATGTAGCATCGCGAGGAGGAAAGTAGATAGAGCTTACCATTCTCATCGACTTCATCGATAACACTTCCTTCAGGACTTGGAGGTCTGGCACCCTTGACCAACTTTCGTTTACGAGGTTGAGATTCATCATCAGAATCTGCTATTGCTTTCCTCTTTCCCTTCTTATTCCCTTTCCATCGCGTAGGTATGCCAATATGATCCTCCAGCGAGTCATCACTTGCTGCTGCAACTGGAAAATTGTCTGTAATAACGAGGGATTTCTTGCGCCGTTTACTAGTCGGTCGGCGTGGAGAATCGTCTTGATCGCTGATGTCGATGACTTCAGGTTCAAACTTGATCGCGCCAACATCGCTATCCTGTGCTACATCGTCACTTTCGTCCGAGTCAATAGCAATAATCTTGGGTTTCCGCTTCGCCTGTCTCTTCTTCACAGGTGCTGGAGGCGAACTTGGAGGCGGAGAAGATGGAAATAGACAATCGGCCAAAGTTCTCTGCTTCATCTTCTTGGGAGATGGTGACTTGCCAGCTTTTTTCATGGAACTGAATTATGAGTGGAGTGCTTAGATACAGTCGATGGTTCTGTCAGCCAGGGGGAGACTAAGTAGTGCGGTGGCTGTGGATCGCTAAACATATGGTGTGACTAATCAACTCACCCTTCTCCGAGTCCGAGTATTGGCGCCGGCTTTAAGTACGACGTGCTCAACTTCAGCGTCAGTTCACTGAATTGTCAATAAAACTTCAATAGCTGCGTTGGACGAGTTTCTTACGACCAGCTGCAGTCATTTAGGCTGCAATGGCCACACCGGCTCGAGCCTCTATAAAGCCATTCACGCCATTGCTTCGCGTTGACACTGAATCACTTACTCCTCCATCCCACATCAAGTCAGGTCACGATGGCTCTCCTAGCGGGACGAATAGTGCTACCCCTACCCCTTCACCCTCATTCTACATCCCGCTTTCACCCCATGTAGACAAATATTCTCCTTCAGCCCAATTAGCCAGAATGGCACTGTCGCAACGTGACTCCACGAATCACGCCAAAGAGGAGTCGAGAAAGCTGGTAGGCCTACTTCTTGACCAGCTTTCTTCCAGAACACGTCCTCCCTCAATCTTCCACGCGTTAAATGTCCATGCTACTCCACCGGCTGAGGCAGGTCTTGGACACATAATTGGAGCAGTACGCGATGTAGTTAAACAGAAGTCGCACAATCGTGGCGTTTCAGCCCCCGTTTCGCAATCCATGAAAGAAGATGACGATGAAGGGAGTGGCAGTGTCGCTTTCTCTTCTGAAACCACTTTTGACCTCATGGTCCAATTGAAAGACGTCTTACTATTTTCTGCTTCGCAGGGCTGGCAGATATTTGACCAAGGGTAGTATGAAATTATTGTTCCAGCCGAATCATCACTGAAACTCGCATAGAGCTTCTGGCCCGGGCGCAGACACCGGACAATTCAACAAACCGTCACCATTCAGTATTCGCAGCTCTATGAGAAGAAGTAGCTTTAGCGGAAGGCGCTCAAGATCTCCTTCGCCTGCGTCGAAGGGAAACTTGCAAGCTGCTTCAATCTTATCCCGATGCATCTCCATCCTTTCTTCAGTGATCTCGGAAGACTGTCGCTTTCAAATTTCTTCGCCAAGACCATCGAAGCCACCAAACGCGCTGCAATCAGTGTGCCTTGATATTGCCCAATTTCTTGCACATGTTCACCCGAACGAACCATCAACAATATCCCGTATCGCGTTTGCGGTTCTTCCTGCGTTCGAGACATTTCGAAGTGAGATGCGCCCGCGTTTGTTGACCTTTTTCGACAATGTGATACTCAGGGGAGTGTTCGAGGATCTAAATCGAATCAGGGGATACGTTTCTACAGATATTTCGGGTACGTTCAGTCAGATGTTTTGGATGATTGGAAATTGACCGACAGCAAAAGACGAAGTTGTTGTTATTCATGGTCAAGCAAACCCTGTCTCTATTCAAGTTGAGATGGCTCTTGATGACGAAAATAATTCATCTGGCCAGACCGCTTCGTGGCAGCCTTGGACATCTCTTGCCTCTGCGAGTCACCCCCGTATCCAGGCCACAAATGCCCCTCTTCAGCCTTTGCCTGTCTATTACTTGGCCTCCATAACTGCTCCGCTGCTGGCCGCCATTCTGGAAAATATCGATACTATTTCGTTGCCGCCCACGTATAGTTTATACCGGCTGCTTGATACGATAATCAGCTCTAAACCAGGTTCATATTTGGATGTGTTGGAAGTGATAGCATATCACGTACCTCAGAGTCGCCGCGCTGCTTTATGCTTGCTGGCGACTTTTTGGCCACGGGCTCTTGGGCATGTCGTCATCAGCAAGGCCCTGCCTGTCCTTGGTCAAGGGGAGCAACCTTGGACAGGGAGTATGCCCAATCCTCCATTGCAATCAAGCACTTTCTGTGCACACGATTTTGTACCATGGAGATTCCGGCAGTCACAGGGGCCATCGGCATTTGACGAAGCATGTTCAAACCTCTGTCAGTCATGCGCTTCCTCCATCACGGGGTTCGGGCTTCTCTGCTGTGGATGTATGTGCGCCGTGCACTTCGATTGCTACGACTACCCGGAAGGCAATGTCCATCATCAGTACGTCGTGGCATCCGATTCGGGAACACGGAAATTGGCCGTTCACCGTTTTTGCCTTATTCCCCCATCTAAGCGTGACGCCGACCTCGTTACTGTGAAACGAGCTCAACATAATTTCAGACACGTCAATCTCTTTACCTTGCCTATTTGCTTTCATTGTTCTCTGCCGATATGGGGTTGTCAGGCGCTCCACTGTACGACATGCAAGCTTTTTATGCATCACATGTGCCTCGATAAACCGCTCGCAATATGTGGAATTGTAGATATCAGTTCCATTCACATGACGGTATCATTGGATAGCATTAGTCGCACGTTTGCGGATTACTATGCGGATATTTTCCTCTCCTCCGAAGACCTGGGGAAGCGGAGTTTCGAGGATATTTCTGTGTCATCTGCCATGCTCTGGACGCAGCTGCAAATTTATAACAATGGACTTGCCCTTGGTTCATTTGTCCTAGCATCAGACGGTCGTGAAGATACAGCCAAGGGATTCGAGCTGCAATTTCTGGTTGAGCTTTACGAAGCTTACCTATCCTCTGGAAAACTACCCGTTTCTGCGACTCTGGAAGAATACTTAGAGACCAACCGACACAACCCGTCCTCTTCGGCGATCATGTTTGATTGGTCAACTTTAGCTTACATTTCCTCGACCATCAAGTCATCATACGACGTCCAACATCCACCATCAGGTGCTTGGCCAGACTTGCGCGTGTCTGGCGAAAATATGACGACACAGGATGACAATGATGCAGCACGTCATCCGTTCGAGGTCGTTACTTTGGGGCATCTCCGTAATTCCTTGGGATACGAATTTAACATGTTGTCTGAGGGCCCCGCACGCCACTGTCTTTCTCATCTTCACAAGCTTGGTTTCTTCACATGTGCGGATTTCCCTACATGCGTACCCGGGCCTGCAAAGTCAAGTCAACACTGTTACTTCCCACTGCCCCTTGGTTTTGACTTGTCCGCTGATGTGGAGACGCTGGTGTCAGCTATCGAGGCTTGCCTTTCGGATTTGGACCTTTCGGTCAACGAATGCGGCTTCTTGTTCTTGGTGAGGCGCTTCTGGCCCAGCGGGTTGGCATCGGATTATGCTCTGCGCAGGTTATCTCATGCTGTACTGTCCTGGATATTTGCTGAGGTACGCTAGTTCGTTGACGACTGGCATGTGATTGATTTCTTTTCCAGGATGACAGTTTGGCAAAGATTCTTCGTGATTTCATCCCACAAGGGATTCATCTCCCAGGTATTAGGAGCGGATCCGATGCTCCTGTGTGGCCAACAGCCCATGACGCGCGTCGCGCACCAAGCAGTTCCGTCAATAATGGTGGAGACTATGTCGCAGCCAGGCGTTCTCTGCTTTCAAGATATGCTGCTCGATGGCTTCTAGCACTACATGATCAAGATGTTGTTGCGTATGCCCGATTATTATCTGAGATTATTCAGGATATTGCTTCGCGCCTCGAAAGCCCAGGCCCCAATGCACACGAAGTCCGTGCCACTCCTATGAATGTATAGCTCACAAACTGATTTGGAGGCCTGACAGTCATCGTCCACTGCGGAAAGATCACTACGCTTTATCATAAGACTGTGCAGAGCTTCAGTCGACTTCACAGCGCTTGATGACCTATTTCTCATGTGGCTTCAAACACTCGAACCTGAGGTGCTCGATACGGTGGTACGGCATGTGATACATATTACTGAGTGATCGGTGTTCATTGATCCAAAGTCTCTTCCAATTTTGCAACGTCTCCTCAATCGAGATTCAGCCGAGAATGCATCTCGCCACACCACGTTTGTGGACCAAATTTTTGCACAAGTAGATGGCCATGTAGTGAAGCTATCTGATCCATGGGGCATGGTTCGGCGGGCTGCCAAGGAAAACGGACTTTTGGACAGCCTCCGCTGGCTGAGATTATTTGCTCGCTCGGGTGTCGACATTAACGTACCAGTATTTGCCGAGTACAGCGAATTGTCGCGGAAAGGACTTGTGACCTTGAAGCAAGCCTCAGTTTTCGCTGAAGCGACCCTGCTCTCCGCGTGGACGAGGTCGATGGGCCGACAAGATCTACAGAGATCGATCTCAGCTATGGTCGCCGGTCTACAGCCTGCTACCCTGAATGCCCTCCGATCCTCAGGTGACAATGCTTCATGGTGAGTTTCCGGGTACTGTTGTGCTGCCAGTGTCTAATTACTGATAATACGTTTGAAGCGCATCGACGTTCATCAGGCAATCCCTTGCTGCTTGCTTGTTGCTTTACGGATGTGATCGCGCCATACTGATTTCAAACGGAATGATAACAGAAGAAGATATCAAGAATCTTCCTTCAAGGCAAGTTATACCATTTTCGACTCGCGGTCGCAAGCTGACTGAAAACTAGGAGAAAGCAGAACACCCGTGTCGCTAATGCTACTGACCCCATTATCATCGATAGCGAACTGATGCTCGTTCTCAGTACTCTCGTTGCCACTGGCGTGGAACAGGTCGTCTGTCTCATTGCAAAATTTCTACACTCTTTCATTATGCACGCTTCGCTTCTTGAGGCACATGAGGTTGATAACTTCTTGTTGCGCAATGGAAGTACCTTACATCCCTGGTATGCACCATTATCTCCTGAACTTGTTATCAGGCAGACAACTCTTCCTTATTATAGTGTCTGGCACTTTTATGGGATTCAACACCACGAGATCGCAAGCATTAGGATCACCTTATTCCTCAGAATATTGATTGTTGACCCACAATCATTTCATGAGTTTGTGTCCTCGATGAGCGGACCAACGGTAGCATGGGACATCAGGTATTTACGTTCTCGTGGTTTTAGATGCTAATAACGTATTGGCAACTAGACTTCTCGCCATGGACAGATTCTTTCGCATGATATTAGACATTACTAGTCCCGACTTCGTCGTCAATGATCGGCCCTGGAAATACAGTGTCGTTGACCTCTTCTACCACGCATTCGAGCCGCTCTGGATCGATGAGAAGGTTATGCTGATAGCTTTATTTTGTCATCACCTGACTGATGCGACCCTTGTCGATAGGAAGAAGTCAGGACAGCAGTGGACACCTGGTTGCAGACATTGCTTTCAGCCCATTTGGACGCCATCGCATCATGTTGGGACGATGCCTTTCCCTCCCTGCCTATGTCAAAACGTCTCCGGCTAATCTCCTTTCTGCTTCAGCTCCAGTCATATTTCCCAACATGGAGAGGTAACATTTTTACATCCACATTTCATTGATGTTGAGTGTGAATTGGCTCTAGTGCTTTCGTGGAGCACAGTTATCGAGACGCTGCTCGAATACGACTATTTCCAACACAACAGCAACGACGAAGATGGCCCTGCCGCTGCTCACCTTGTACGTCAAAATTTTCGTTCGTGGATCAAGCATTCGACTAACCGTTTATACTGGCAGGAAATGTACGGGTTGAAGACTGAAAATGATGCTCACCCGCGGGATTTAGACCCAAACATCCACTCCATTCAGGTGCGAGGGACTGTGGTGTGTTGACATGCCTCTGTTTGACTCCTCGAACAGACATCGATTGCGTTGCTTGGTCTGCGCATGATGAAAAACGGAGTCGAAATTGATCTGACGTCATGTCTAAAGTTCAAGTTGTATCTGGCCAAAATAATTGGCTTCAGTGGGGCGCAGATGGTCTCTGCATCCAACGGGCGGGCGTTCTCAATCCACTTGGATGGCTTCGGTGCCATTCCACTACAGTCTTTGCCGTGTGTAAACGAATTTGCACTCATCCTGGATGCCCCCCATCCATTCGACCTGCCGCCCTCCCTGATGAACAGTCCGTTTGCCGAAGACGACAGACCTTGTCGCGTGCTTATTGGGTCCATTTGGATGGATGTTGTGCTGAGTGCTTTCTGCGCCATAGACGAACCACTCAAGCTCCCAGCGCTTACCTTGAAGAGTTTGCTGGAAGCACTAATGGCGATGATTTATAAGCACGACTTCGATAGCCCCGCGCTCAGACATCTGGATGTTCTGCTCCGCAGGGCGTTGAAGAAAACCTTAGACCTGTTGTTGGTTGACCTAAGTTATGACTCGCGTCAAGTGGCATTATCTGTGATAGAGACATACATCAAGAGGGGGTCTGCTATATCTGGTGTTCTAGTGACGTGAGTGTGGTACACCTTTCGACTTCGTTGAGAGCTAATTTAAGCTGCCTGTAGTGAATCAGTTGAACGTGCTGTTGCACTGATCGCATTGTTGAAACATAACACCGAAGATATGTTGGTCGCTCAAGCGAAATCGTTTATCGAGAACACGCTTGTCGCGTAAGGTGCCTTTCGCTGCTCGCTCCCTACCCGCTGACGAATTATGCCACAGATTGGCACCCAGTGGAGTGTTCTGTAGTTTGTGCAGAGTATGTTACTCATATGGTAGGAGTGGCTCAAACTGATCAAAACGCATTTAAGCGCCCGCTCGGCTCGGATTTTTTCATCATAATAAAATCCATCGTAGAAGATCAATCCCGCAGGGCATCTCCGCCGCAGGAAAACCTGCGAGAAGTTCTTCTGCAGAGTATCGTGACGCAGCCCCCAGACGCGGATTGGAAGATCAATCATAATATTGCTTTGAACGTAAAGGAATACACAGAGTTGGTCTATTTTGAAGGGCTCAGCAAATGGTTAATCAAAGGTAAGAGATATTTCCCCCACTTCTGCCACTCGTGCCAATCGGATTGCAGACCTTATAAACTGGCTCACGGTGACGGCACGTCGAGCATCAGCCTTGGGAAATAACGCCGGATTTGACCCAAATCTGCTGCTGTATATTTCCGCAACTCTTTTGCAGTATAACAAAGCACATGCCGAGGTAAAAAAATATAGCGTTCTTCCCCCAAACCAATCCATGACCATTCCTGGCACTTCCTTTAGGCTCTCCTGGAGTGTACAGAAACGGTGCTGAGGGTCGCATTATCAAGGTCCAATGTGGAGAAACAGAGTCTAATTCGCGCATCGCATGCTGTCAGTTCGCTCAGCGACACATTTTTGAGTTCAAAGCAGGACCTTGTATCACCGAACGCCAACCACGTAGCACAAATCTTGTTGGAAACACTGGAGGACGTCTTCCGAGCCAGAACACGAGTCACGCCTTCGACTTTGAATGCCATTGTCGAGGTATTTATCCTCTATCACGAAAAGGTGCCTCATGATCTGATCATTGCCTTAGACGATTCTGTGCACTGATATCCGAATTTACTCAAGCCCTGATCGAACTGGCGCCGTTGGACTACGACAAGTGGCAAGCAGTGGGCTTTACTTTCTACACAATCATGCCTGGATAATTTCTGAGTCGAGTGCGGAGTTATCTGCATCGATTGCTATTTCGCGATTGGTCCTTCATGCTGTAGATGTTGGGCACGCGTCGCTTTCAGACATGATTGCCGAAGGTTTCGAGGTACGGGCACGATGCATGTCGTGGACTACGAACTCAATGAACCTCATCAGAAATCTACACAAGCTGGCACAGTTATCCGTGCTTGGAATATTCTGCTGCTCGGCGTGCTTAGTGACTCTACTGACACGCACATCCGGGTCTTGTTACCGCAGTTAAATGTCTTTACGGTGGCATATTACAAGTGCTTGGGTGCATATGTGCATGAAGGGACAATGCCTTCCGAATCCGCCATGGCAGATGTAGAGCACGCTTTCATAGCTCTCAAGCTGTGGCTGTTGCTTGCACAGATTGCGCTTGTCAATCCTACGCGAGAGTCGCCTAGCGCCAAAGCCGTTTGGAACGAGTTATGGCCTCCATTTGAGGCGTTGGTAAATCTCTTCAAAGTTGACAGTGTCCCGGAAGATCTCTTGGTAAGAATTAGATATTTGACCACTGCTCAAACAATCATGTACTGACGCAGTATCATTAGCCACTGGCAACGACAATATGGTCTTCCGTAGCAAACCTATTTCTTTTTGTGCTCCAATCACGCTCACCTGTAGGGTTGGACACCATACCGCATGCAGTAATGCTGAACCGCTTGCGAGACTCTGGAAGACGAAACTCTGCACTTAACAAGGCATGCTGTGCAGTGCTGTCTTTGAATCGTACTTATTTTATCCTATCTAGCTGTCCCGGGCTTTAGATGGAGATCTCTTGCCAGAATTGCTACCGAGTGCGGTCATTACTCAAGCAAAGCAGGATGTTGAAAATGCAGAGAAGTTGCGAATGTTGGAAAGCGTGCAGCGGCCAGTGGAACGCAGAAGGGACATGCGGATTCCTACGTAGCCTCATATAATATCAGTTTCGCAATAGATTCCAGGGTGCAGGAAATTAATGAATCTGAGGAATGGTCGACAAAAGGAGAGGCGGCGGATATGCATATCTCGGTGTCAAGCTGCCCTGAGTTTCGCTTTTTGTGCCTTCTTTCTATTCTCCTTCATGATTGTGTAGCCAACGAAGAAACCGATACCCGAAAGTCCAACCACGAGCACAAATGCGGGCAGCCGTATTGCCCATTCGCGTGCAGGAAAATAGTTGTGTATGGGGCTGGATGCGTCAAAGAAGGGCTGAAAAAAGGGCGAGTAACATGTCAGCTACATTGTTCGCCCAGCGTAAGCCTGGTGAACTAACGAGTAAGATGGCCCATGTCGTGTAGTACGTGAACACGAAACCAGCAGCTAGCAACATCACCCCTCCAAGAACCTTGTCGCTTGCACCCTGGATAGTTGCTCCCATCAGCCAACCTTAAAACATCACTAGATTTACTGCTCACCATCGCAAAGTCTGTCAAACCTACCTGGAAGTTGAATCTGAGGTCGCGTGTAATTATAAGGAGTAGAGCAGTGCGACTCCGGAGGCGGTCCAAAGTTAACGTTGAAAGTTGGTGGGTTGGCGGACCGGCGGAAGAACACAACCTACATACATAACACGAGTGCGTAGTTCGTCTCAGAAGTCATAATTATGCCAGCTCATCATCAACGTTTGCGAACAGTTGAGCAGCAAGAGAATCTGACTTTCGTATTTGATGATTTGAGCTTGTAACGAACAGCTCAAAGCATCCCATGACATCTCATGCATTCGCAGCGCTTGCACACATCCCAATCCTTGTCCTCCCAGTGGGCCCGATACCCCGTGCTGTCTTTGAGAAGTATGCGGCGGAGATCAGGACGTTTGATTCAATTCGCTTAGGTGATATACCTGCTGGCATGAAGGATGAGCGAGGTATGCAGCCCTTTTTGTGCTTACACGACAGTTGTTTATGGATCATCAGCCCGTTTCATGCCAAATCCACTTTCCAGTGGTTATCTATATCTGAGCTACCCGTCCCATCCTCCTCCTCCTCGCCATCTGCCGCTGTCTCTGTTCCGACCGTCTCACTTCACGCTAGGCATAATCGGTGTCGCTGCGTGTTCCTCCTCATATTCCATTGCTTCTGCTGTTGAGCAATTCGAGAATACTGTGCTTGACATCTCTCCAGAAGGCTCGACATTTCCACTGGCCAAAGTCTGCTTTGCCTTTGAGGATGACGAAAGTGCTGGGAGCACTGGTCTCGGAGACACGTTACCCGGGATTGTGTCCATTCCGAGCGTAATGGGGAACAAGAAACTTTATATTGGTACTCTGCTTGCGGATTTGTGCTCTCACATTCTAGCTGAACTTGGTCGTGTGGTATGATCATCATTTAGTACAAAGTCTCGAGGACACTGCTAACGGATTTATAGTATCAAGTTCTGGAAAGTCCCGTAGGAAATGAGTATTTGAATTCTGCCCTTTTCCCGACACTCCCTTCTCCCTCTGAGATGCCGCTTCCTCTCAATTCCGGAAATCTCGGACTTCTTGCATACTCAAGCCAGCCTGAGCTCGATTCATCAGGCCTCGCAACACCGAATATCCAGATCAAACGTAGCTCGACTGCTGGACCCGGTATCAGTCACACGGCATCCTTTATCCACCGGCAATCCACACTTGGTCCCCCAGCGGTCAAGAAACGCGCCAGTGCAATCGGTGCCGTTTCTTCGCATGGTAGACTCTACAAGGTTCTTGGTGATTTCTTCCTGTTGGCTGGTAGGACAGAAGACGCATCGTTGTGGTCCGTGTCCACTATTCATCTTCTCCGTTCGTTGCAGTTGAATTCGCCTAAGGTATGCAGAAGCTATCGTGCTGTTCAAGACCGGGCAGGATCCTGTATGGCATGCCTCCGTTTTAGAAGGGATGGCAACAGTTTTTGTTCTAGATGCATGGTCGGTTGGCCAAGGCTTCGTAAGTCAGTTACTGATCTTAGTGAGCGGCGTTGAAATCGTATACAGCAATCCTCTGTTAGCAACAACGGTAACAAGGAACCTTGGGCCGACATATACGAGCAGCTATCTCAAGCTGTAGCTCTCTATCACAAGGCTCCTGTGCCTTCTGAACTTAGCCAGGATCATTCACTTCTGGCTCTGACATATTGCACAGCTGTCATGCGCCAGACATCCCTCCTTTTCTGCATCTGGTCTACCAAAGGATGGGGTGCATTAGCCTTTGCTTCAATGCTACAACCAGGGTCAACCTCATATATGCAAAAGACGACGTCTGATAGTTCCTGGGCAAATTTGGAGCGCTTGAGTATCGTGTCAGGCGTGTCTCGTTCGCAGATAGCGAATGCCGTGTCCCAAGCACACGGTCCATGGTTACTGCACCTTGGTCCTCACGAGCGGCTTACCATTTTGCAATCTATGGCCAACATTTATTCATGCCTTGGATACAGGCGGAAGGAAGCCTTCGTTCTGCGCGAAGTCACCAGCTGCATCATGGATCTCATTGTTTGTGGTCGGGAAGAAAATGACCTCCTGCGGAAATCCGACGTTGGAAGCGCAAGCATAGGCAATCGCTCCGAGAATGGCGATGAAGTTAACATGGTCGGGAAAGGAGCTGTTGGTGTGCGACCAAACGAGATCCTGGAAGGCAATCAGAGCATCCTGGTACTCCTCATTCGTGCCTGCAAGGTCCTTGGTGTTGATCTGGAAGCGGTCGGTGTGGCAAAAGCAGCAGATACCAGCAGCGAAGTAGAAAGCGGGGACAGCAACAGACCTTCGACAGAGGACTTAGAAAGCTTGGCAGATGCGGCAAAGGAACCCTTCGGGTGGTCAGAGCTTCAAGTTGGAGTTGTTCGCGAGGCTATTGCTGTAGCAGAGGCACTTCCTGGTTAGTCATATTTTCCATGAGAAAACAGTCTCTGAGGCAGCTTCAGATCCGCTCGCTGTGGCGCGAATATCACTGTCTGCATTAAGAACAATGCACTCAGTGTTGGCCAGTAGTGATCAATATCATCTGTATCAAACTGCTGGACGTGCTCTCGCTGCCATGCGTCGACGCGGTGACGCGCCTGCGGTCGAGTACTGGGCCGGACACCCTATCATGAGTCTTTCATTACTCCCGTATGTGATATTTACAAACGGCAGAACCATGTTAACTCTCGCCTTTACAGGTTAGCCTTGCACCGCCTGCCAATTGAAAATCTATTCTCCATGTTGACTGCAAAATCATCCACCACTGATTCGCTCCTTAGTGGGATCACTGACCCTTTCTTATACAATCCCCGGAAATCATCAGGACCGCAGGTCAGTCCCCCTTTTGCTGACGGCGAGACGTGGTTTCACCGTATTTTTGGGATTCGTAGGGCAAAAACTTGATTGTTCAAGGTGAACCTATTGAACTCACGATCACCATACGCAATCCTTATGTTTTCGATCTGGAAATCCAAAGTATCTCGCTCAGGTATAGTCTCTGCTGTGTCAGTTGACCAACGAGTTAATATTCTGACCCTAAGCACAACTGGTGTGGAGTTTGAATGCAGTCCCGTCTCAGCGCTCGTCATTCCTCCCAATACACTTTATCCGGTTACCATCGTCGGCACTGCGAAAACGCGAGGAACTTTGGTTTTCCGAGGATGCATTGTTCAAGCTCCTTGGGGAACCGCAAGAGAGTTTCTATTACCTGTCCCGACTGATGCCGATCAGGATCTGTTTGCACGCCGTCAAAGTGCTGTGAAATGCGAAAGCGGTCGCACCAAGTATTGGGGCCTTGACTCTCGTCCATGGGAGAAGGATAGGAGACGACTCAGCACACTCCCATCCCTTAAGAAACAACCTCAATTTTTACAATGTGTCGTTGTTCCTGAGCAGCCCCTCCTCCGAATCAGATGGACATCGCTCACACATGGAGCAGTCATGCTGTACAACGGCGAAGAGTATGTGCGCTTGTTCTTTTCAATATTCCAATTGATCAACTCCCTGCAGATCGACCATTCGCTTGACTTTGGAGAATATTTCTGCGTTGCCGATCGATTTCCTTCGGTTATCTTTTGAAGACTCCACTATTGGTCCCGCACAAGAAGCTCTGTCCGAGGGAGAACTATCCGTCTTCGAAACATATGAGACAGAATACGATCTTCTGCACCGAAAGGCGTTTTCATGGCGCAATGACAAGGAGATTACCAACATTTTGCCAAAACAAAAGGTAATCCTTTCTGTGACATGTGTAGGGAAAGTTGGATGGTATGTTGTTACCGAGTTCTCGACCTTGATCGGCACTCACTTCATTGAAATTCAGTGCACATGGTACCGTTCATATCTCATATTCCCAGGTCAATCGAGAACACGAGGAACAGGTTCCCGCATCCGAGGTGTTTTACACTCGGCAGTTGTCATATCCTGTGACCGTGACTGTTTACCATATGCTGGAGTGTCATGATCTGAGGCTCATACCAATGGTTGATGTGGACTATGATGACATCGGTCACCGGACTAGCAATTCCGTGACACAACTCCTTCCAGAAGTCGACGATCCAGCAGAATGGTGCTTGTTTGCGATTGACGTCCGCAACACATATGGACTCCCGTTTGAAGTCACATTCGAACGTGAACAAGCTGGTAAGCACAAACCTTCTGTATCCCTTCTAAACATGTTGCTGAAGTTTATCCAGGAACGAAAAGTGCAGCTGTTCCATCGACCGTTCCTCCAGGGTCAATGTCACGGTAAGTCGTTCACGAAACATTTGTAGATGGAGCCTCACGCCAGGTATATCAAGCATCATGCTTCCGGTTAGGAAGTTTAGACTATCAGATGATCAGATTTCGCAACCCATACCGACATTATCAGACCGTCAGTTCGTCGTCGGAAAGTCCAAGCTGTCTATAGAAGAGGAACAAGCTCAACGAGAGCTGTTCTGGTATCGTGAAGAGCTACTCAAGATCGTTTCTGCTCGATGGAAAGAGGTCAGCCGTTCTTCACTCGGACTGTATTCGCCGCTCATGTGTATCGGTTTAGACGAATGGCGATAGACACGGAGATCTCTCGCTGCGACAGCAACGGATGACGCTCCCGATGTTAAAGGCCTTGCGGACAGACGTGGTGCATGTTGACTTGACCTTAATAGTGGACAGCCAGGACAGTTCACCCCAAGAACTCGATTATATTGGAGGCAAATACATTGCTAGTCCAAACGAGATGCTCTACCTTCGCGTCGAGGTCACTAATTCATCATGTTCGTTACTTCTCGACTTGTCTCACTCAGCTCGCTAAAATTGCTTATAGTATCGTCTCTCACGATGGCACTAGACTTGTTCTTTGATCCAGCTGAACACGTCCTTTCGGAAGGTGTTTTATCTAATATTGCAGTAGGGAAACTGGAAAGCGAGGAAACCAGGGCTGTGGAAGTCCCACTGTGCTTCCTCTGCGCTGGTCGTTTCGAGATTGGGGCGGAAGTTCGGGTAATGGGAGCTCCAAAGGACAGTCGGGCAGGTGCTAGTAGACTTTGCATCTCTGTTAGAGAAGATGGATAGTACAATTAATTCGCAATTTCTTGTCTCTCGAATATGACCTGCATCTAATCTTACGCTGTCCAGACCTTCGCAATCAGCTCCGTCAAGCCTATAGGAATCTAAGTTAGATGAAGAAGATGACAGGGGATATTGGTCGTACCAATATCATTTGTATTGAACTGATAAACGCCGACAAGCACGCCAACCGTCGCTGTTCTCAGTGTCCAGGTCATGATGGGGCCAAGGATGGGGAATTTGCGTTTGTGCACGTAGTCCACAATCATCGAGTCAAACTAGCATAAGGGGGTGGACGTTAGACCCTCGCAGAATACTACTTCTACGGCCAACGCACCCCAATATGAGAGTGCATAACTAAGCTGAGACCCAGCAATCCGTCGAGAACTGGGTAAGATGACCCAGAGGTCACAAAGGCGGCTGTGGTCATGGGAACAAGAGAGGCCGCCAGAAGTCGTTCGAATGCCCAGTGATACGAGCCATGTGTCTTTGATGGAGGAGGGAACTCCGTAGGGTCGTTGACCGTTCCCTTGATAATAGCTATTGAATGAGTGTAAGTTTGCTATGTATCACAGAAGGGTGGGTTAAACGTACGTCCACCTGGCACATATTGTGCAGTCGAGCTTGCGGCTCTCACTTTTAAAATGCAACATAAGCTTGATCCACGCCTGACGAGTGAGCAAGGTTTGAATTGACCTTACCTTGCAACGAAGATCGCAAGACATTACGTCCAGTTGCGGAAGCAAAAGTTCTGGGCAGGGTTGAGCGAAGGAGCATGGACGAAGCCATTGTCGCCGGCGGTGTAAATGATGCTAGAGAAAGTAAAGAAAAATGGCGACCCGGGGCGCGGACGAGCGTGGCTGTCACTGGGGATGATTGGGAAGAAAGCGCGAATGCCCATATATGGAAATGGCAGATCAACAAGAAAAAATTAGTCCCACCGAGGATTGAACTCGGGACCCTTGCATGGAATGTAACCTCATAAGTACAACGCTCTGACCACTGAGCTATGGGACTATCGGGTAGTGATGGCCAATTGTTTGGTTCGTAGAACATCGAACATCAGTCCAAGTAATTATCAAGCGCCTAGAAAACCTTGTACACATTATAATATCTATGGTTCAGGCATCAGCGGCTCTTCCTGGCAACCAGATGGCGAGATCCGAAGGAATCTGGTTCCTACTCTTCTTGCTTGCTCCTCAGAATGGGTGATCCAGACTATCGCCTTCAACCCGCTTTCGGAGGACCTGAGCTCGTTCAGGATGAATTCTTCCACAAGCTTGGTCGACTGATGATCGAGAGCTGAGGTTGGTTCTGTAAAGCACCAAGTAGAGTGTGTCTGGGTTATACAACAATGCAATAGAAATATAGTCTTACCGTCCAGTAGAAGGACTTCAGCGGTGTTCAGCCCCATCGCAGTGGCCAACGCTATCCTTTGGGCCTCACCCCCACTCAAGCTAGTCCAGTTCCTGTCCCATAGCTCCTCATCAATGCCCCATGCCTTGGAAACGTCCATAGCGCGGGCGAGATCACCACTCGAAGCGGATTTACGAGACTGGAAGGATGTGATCGTTGCGATGAAGTCGCGAGGCGTGCCTGGCAGCAGAGCGGGCCTTTGAGGCACGTAGAATATACGCGTCCTAAACGAAGGCACGCCTGGGATTACGATACATCTTCATGAGCTTCCTGTGAGTGTCAGGGGTTATGCATACCATGTGCCTTGGCTGTCCTGGCGTTGGCGAATATCCCGCGTCAGACGTGAGAGAAGTCAACTTCAAGGTCTAAGGAGCGTACCGTCCTTGGTATAAGATCTCCCCGTCATAAACGTTTAGGTGGGCGATGCACTTCAGAAGCGTAGTTTTCCTGAACATGAACAGGTTGAGCCTCGGAACGAAATACCACAGGGAGAGAAAGCAATGTACCCTGCACCACTCTTGCCTTGTAGAACGATAATATCTCTCTCGTTGACATCGAAGTTCAATTGGGAGAAAATGATGTGCTCTTGGTCCTTCCTGCAGGCAACATTGCGAGCTTCAATCAACTTTGCCATGATCAGTCTCCACGAAGTCTTCGATGACCTCAGTCGAGTGTTGGTTTCCCACAGGAAATGTATACCTTAGTATCACTAAGCAGCCTTTTGTGCGTGTTCAGATTGGTTCACACCCTATCAGTGCTACGTAGTGTATTCTCGTCAAACCAGATGTTCTGCGGACATGGGGGTGCTGCCGGACTAGCTGATAACCACGCTGGTACTGCAGAGAAGAGATGTATGCCGATAATAGGGTTCGAAAGTATGTCTAAGTATAATTAAATCAGGGTTGAGGGGGCATACCCATCTCTTCCGGGGTCAAAGTAGAGCTCTCGATCATCACACCGACGCCAACCTTGGCAGCATTCTGGATTCGCAGAGTGTCAGTTTGGACGACTTCGCAGTGCACTGGAGACACTTGCCTTGAAGTGATCAATCTCACCCGCCACCAGGAACGCAAAGGTTGGAGCAAAGCGTTGTTCAAGTAGAGCAGAAACTTTGCCTGTTGAGTCCAACTGTGCTCTGAAGGTCGCCATACGGAGGTCGTATTTCGCACCGAGAGTTGCGATAGCATCTCTTCGTTGAGGAGAAGCCATAACTTGAATATCTGCTGCGACCTCCACTTTTTCGTGGAGCTTCTGCCAGTACGTCGCCTGTAGAATACCCGATGGTTGAACTTGTGCGGTTGCAATCCAATTTTTGTCATCGCTCGTAACCTTGGCTAGATACGAAGTCGTGAACTCGGACATATCAGGAGTTGGCCGCTGGTAAAGTGTCTCGACGCCCAATGCGAGGTTTTTTGTCACAGACTGGAGGTAGTTTCCTATGTATATGCCGGTAAGGTCTGCAGGCCATGGATTGACAGCTTTCGCGTTCAAGGAGTAATCTTGGCCTTGGTAATCGTGTTCCAGTTGGACCATGCTATGGCCAGCTTGTGATGAAAGCTATGAATGGGGATGTGAGAAAGAACGAGTGTGACGATGGGATAAGAAACAAACCTGCGTCTGGACCTTCGTGATGGAGTTCTCGGCCCACCCTTGATTCATACGTGCGCTCACATTGCCCTCGTGGTCAACGCTGCCTTGAAGAAAAATCTGCAGGAAAAGGATCAGATAGTGTAACACGAGAACAAGACAAATTGGCTAACGTCGTTGTTGGCGAAGACAGCGCCAAAGTTATACGATGGTGCTGAGACTTGCGACCCGAGAATGAAAGAGTGTGTGACCTGAAACGCCGGGTTCATTGACAAACTCTTCGTGAGATCAGCCCTAGCACCATCGAACATAAAGTTCGTCAGGTGAGTCGCTATAAAACGTCAACCGTTACTGGAAGATCAAACAACAAAAAGAAAACGCGTACACTTGACTTCCTTCTGCAAATTCTCGACTGAACCCGGGTTCGGGAGATCCAATGACTTACGCCATTGTGAAAAGCGACTGAAAGCGTTTGTCAAAGGAGAAAGGGCGGACGTGTACGATGACTTTGGTGCCTGCGGCATGGATGATGGCGATGGGTCAGTGGAGCCATCTTTTGCGGAGGAAATTGTGGGCGACGCCATAGAGCAACACAACACGTCTGGAAACGAAAGTGACGAAAGGCTTCAAAAAAACCAAGTGGAACAAACACTGACAAATTCGGCTCGACATCCATTAATGCACTAGGGAATTGCTTAATCATTCTGCTGTAAAGCTTCTTCTTCAAGTTCTTGCACATGAGCAAACTGCAAGGACGAATCATGCCAGTAACAATGGAGCGTTTGATGATGAGAAGGTTTCACATACTAATCTAATTTCAAAAGTCTACTGAGGCTGCAGGCAGGTCTCGGGGTAGTTCAGTACTCTGACAGTTCCACATGGACATCACACGGATGCAGCTCAGCAGTTCAGTTCGTGGCCCATGTCACTCGTATCTTGGAAGTTAGTCCATATCATGATGTGGACTATTCCTGGACACTCAGCCTAGGTCCTAGCTAGTCACCGTGTTCCGAATCTCTGACAGGAGTAAGACAGATCCGCGTAGGCATGTCTCTTTGCGATACCGTCTGGTACCATCAGAAGTAACTGTGAATCAGTGATGGATCGTCATATGGCCGCGCTAGCTTTATAGCTACTACAGGTACTTGGTGCGTTAATCATTCGGAATCGCAATTTTCAAGTCGTAATTCGCGGACCTCAGAAGAAAAGTTTTACCTGTTGCGGCTTTTATATTTTCGCGAAGACCTCGTGGAACGTGCAACCCGTGGTGGCCACCTGCGTTCAAGAAGACTGCAAAGATCTCCCAAACTTATAATAGTTCAGTCCAATATTAGTGCTGTCAGTACTACTACACCATAGTACTAGACCATACCATGTAAGTTATGATTATACCTTCCTCCATGTTTCCTAGCTGAGCTTTGAAGGCTGTCTCCCTTTTGGACATCGGTGTTAGTTGCCACGCACAACACCTCCCAGCGTGCGATGCCAGCATGTTTGCGTTGACCGGTCCTTGACCGGTCTGACCAGTGTCATGACATGAGTTAGCGTGTCCCAGGGCCAGCGGTTGCCGTTATCCGATCTTTATATAGCTAGCCTCTAATTAATGCTTCGGGCGGCGAGTTTAGAATACAGTCCAGGCAATGCAAAATCCCTATGCACAGCGAGAGACTAGCCCTCGCAAGTGTTTCGGTAAGTAAGAAATCTGTGCTCTGTGTCGCATCAACTAACGTCGAACTAACTTAGAATCTACGTCAGAAAGCGCTTGTTTAGTTGTTAGGGTGATACCGTGGAAACAGTGGCAGCAGCCACATATTGATTGCAATCTCATAGATCTGATATGCGTCTGAATCCGTTGCCGTAGGCCCGTATCGCAGCGTATCACCGCGCTGCTGCGCCAATGCTGCGCAGCTCCATTAACAAATACGGGCCCGCGTGATGACTGCCTGATGTCCATTTCCACGAAATCGTATCGTCAGTGTTCTTTTTCCCTTCTGTTCCCGAGCGATATAATATACACAAGTCATTGCTCTCCCAATTCTCTTTCAGCCCCCCGGCTGTCGACACTCGCTCGCTGACTGGCATCAGGGCACAGACTCTCTTTCGAATCATGGCTCTCCCTTTAACCCCCGCACATCGCAGATCCGTCGTTATCGCGTTCGCAACTGTGGTATGTCTTTGACCTATCGCGTCTTGTCACCTTACCCTCAGCTTCGCATATAGCTCTTTGTGTGCTACTTTATGACTATTGGGCACGAAGACAACTACTCGTCTTTCAAAAGCTTGTCCACGCAATGGTCGGCGTCAAAGGACACCACAGTTGTTGTGGATGTCAAACAGTCGAACGAGACCCCACCACAGTTGGCTTCTTCATCAGAGAGCAAACCGTTGCCCTCCCTTGGAAATATCAGTTCATATGTCTCTTCCCCTCCCCGCAGAGCTAATGCTACATTGGTGATGCTGGCGCGTAATACTGATCTCAACGGCGTCATATCAAGTGTAGAACAGCTGGAGGCGAGGTTCAATCGCAAGTTCAATTATCCCTGGGTGTTTTTGAACGACGAGCCCTTCTCCACCGACTTCAAAAGGCATGTCGCGTCACTATCTAGCGCAGTTGGTTTCTAATGTGTTTTCAGGCGTGTCAGCGTGTTAACTGACGCAGATGTATCTTTTGGGTTGATTCCTCGCGAGTCATGGGTCCAGCCGGACTGGATAGATGAAGGAAAAGCTCAGGAAGGACGCAATAAGCTAGTAAGACAAGGCGTGATTTATGGCGGCAAGTTCATCATTACTCAGACCTTTGTTACTATCTGACCATTGAAACCACAGGCAGTGTTTCGTGCGTATGCTTTCGCAACCCGTTCAGGTACCGTCTCATCTTTATCCATTAGTTACCGTAACATGTGTCGGTTTAACTCAGGGGTGAGCGCTCAGCGTTGCGGATTTAGCAGGGATGTTGATTTTGGCTGACCTCTTCGTACAGTTCTTTTTCAACCATGAACTCTTAACGCCATATAAATGGTACTGGAGAGTGGAGTCAGTTGTCCACCATACCAGACGAATTGAGTTCTGACCACATTCTGTAGACCCGACGTCCGATACTACTGTGACCTGGATTACGACCCCTTTCTATTCATGGAAGATCGGGATAAAGTTTATGGTGAGTTATTCTCGATATAGCTGGTTGAGCTGCTAAATTTATATACAAGGATAGGCTTTACGATCTCTATGCCAGGTAGATTGTCATCTCCGTTGCATCTTTCATAGCATGAATCGCCCCCTTAACAGAATGGGAACCAACTATACCCTCGCTGTGGTCCACGGTGAAAAGTAAGCACTGATCATCACACACGATAGCTTGAGGATGAACGAATTTGTCAGACTTCGTCGCGGAACACCCTCAATACGTGTCACCAGACAACTCGATGGATTTTCTATCTGATAATTCAGGCGATTCTTACAACATGTGTCACTGTAAGAGTCGTTTAATTTCACGGTGAAAGAAGGTCATTGATGCCATTGACTTAGTTTGGTCAAACTTCGAGATTGCAGATATGGATTTCTGGAGGAGCGAAGCTTACACGAAATTTTTCGAGTACCTTGAGAATACAGGAGGATTTTATTATGAGGTAAGTATTAGGTATATCTTTTTCTGTTGGGTATTCGCTGACTGTACACAGAGATGGGGAGACGCACCCGTTCATAGCATCGCCGCGGCCTTATTTACGCGCAAAGATCAAATACATTTCTTTAAGGATATAGGTAGGCTTTTGTCATGTTGTTTCGCAGTCATAACTGATCTTTTTGAAGGATATAAACACGCCGAATTTGCCCATTGTCCCCAAGGGAAACAATGGCGAGAAGGACACTGCTCGTGCGATCCAAACGATAACTTCGGTGCGATAATATTCCATGATTTCTCCTACATGTGAAACTAATGATGGGCGACAGATTTTGCGCAAAACTCGTGCCTGAGACACTTCATGCGGTTGCACGATTAGAAGAGTTGGAAGGTAGACGTTGCGACTTCATACGTGTATTTCTACCATAGGCTACTGTAGACTACTACAGGGTAAACTAATCCAAGTCGCTTGACCCTATATATAATAATGCGTATTTTTATGACTAGATGTATTGACCAGGCACGGTCATGCAGGGACGATATGTGCTACAATATTATGTCTGTGAACGAAACACGTGGAGATCGGAGGAAAAACTTTGAGCTTGAATCCGGGCTGCGCCGCAAAGCGCAGTTCAATTATGTAGTCGTGAGTTGGCTGTTTCCGGTGGCGCGGCTTTGGCGGGGCTGGCACTGGCAATCCTTCCACTGCAACCAACAGCATTCTTATATCCTTTTATTTCTTTCTCTTGCCTTTTACATCCATTTACCTTTCATTCAGGTAGCAAACGTCCCTTGGGACGTGCACCTCTGTAAAGATGATGACGCCCATGCGTTATATCTTGCTTGTCTTGGGTCTTATTGTACGTGTTCATGTCACACTGATAATTCGGCTCACTTGACATTGGAATAGATTTCAGTTCACTACATTCTGAGCTTCACGCACGAAGAATACGGAAAGGCGACATCCATCTCAAATATAGCCGAGCAATGGACTGGCCCGAAGTCAAACCCTCCCTACAAAACGCCTGTGCCCGAAGAGTACTACAAGCCCGACACACCCATGAACTTACAGGACCGCAAAGCGAACGCCACATTCGTCATGCTTGTACGGAACTCTGACCTTTCGGGAATCATGAGCAGTATGAAGCAAATCGAGGACAGGTTCAACAGGAAGTTCAAGTATCCTTATGTCTTCCTCAACGATGAGCCTTTTACGCAGAGCTTCAAGGAGTGCGCATTTTACGTTTCAATACATGAAGCTTCTGACAGCAGCCGTAAAGCCACATACAAGCCTTAACTACTACCACAGTCGAATTTGGCCTCATCCCATCTGATCATTGGCATCAACCATCGTGGGTTGATGAAGATCGAGCAACCAAAGCTCGTGACGACTTGGTTAGGAACAATGTAATTTATGGAGGTACGTAATCTTAGAGTTCCAAGCGTGCAGGTAGCCTGACCATCTTTTAGGTAGCGTTCCGTGCGTATGCCAAGTTATCCTCGCTGCTTCTGACTAACTGCTCCTAGTTACCGCAATATGTGCCGCTTTAACTCGGGCGTACGTAACTCTGACGCGTTTTAGCGAGGTCCTCTAACCAGCCCTTAGTTCTTCTACCGACATGAGCTCTTGCAGCAATACAAGTACTATTGGAGAGTGGAGTGAGTAGACACAACCGGTGGAAACGCAAAGTATTTCGGCTTATTTCCTTATCTTTCCCAATCAGGCCGGACGTCAAGCTTTTCTGTGACGTGGACTATGATCCCTTCCTTGTGATGCAAGACCAAAACAAGGTGTATGGTAAATCAAATGATGCTATCACTTGTACACAAGTCTCAAACATCAACAGGTTTCACCATATCACTATACGAATACCAAGCTACTATTCCAACACTATGGAACACTGTAAAGTGTGAGTGTATTCGGCGTTCACTATGGTTTTAATCTCACCTCCCTCTAGCTTTTATCCATGCTAATCCTGACTTCGTGGCCCCCGACAACGCGATGCAATTTCTCTCTGATGATGGTGGAGAGTCCTACAATCTGTGTCACTGTAGGTTTACTGCGCATCACACTCGCTTCCCTATACTAATGAAATCCCGTGGCCAGTCTGGAGCAACTTTGAGATCGGAGATCTTGACTTCTGGCGAGGTGAAGCATATTCCAAGTTCTTTGAATACCTTGATGAGCAGGGTGGATTCTATTATGAGGTGAGTTCTGTGTTTCCACGCTTTAGGACCTTGTTTCATTTGGAATAGCGTTGGGGAGATGCGCCAGTTCATAGTATCGGAGCCGCCCTGTTTGCGAAGAAGGATCAGATTCACTTCTTCAACGACATCGGGTATCGACATGAACCCTTCCAGCACTGTCCGCAGGGAGATGTCCATGCAAAAGGAAAATGTTGGTGCGACCCTGGCCAGAATTTCGGTAAGCATCTCCGTGCAACATTGAACCACCGCTGAAGCTCGTTTCTTCAGACTATGAGTGGTATTCATGCCTGAACCGATACGACAAGATGTTCTCGTAGACCGAAAGCATCAGTGCTGTCACAGCGTATGTACTCAGCAGTGGGCGATATGTTCCTACAACACTAGATACCGCACTCTACGATCTGTATACCTCAGGCATATCCGAGCACGATAGACCTTATTGCATATTGCACCTAGTCAATGATGTGGTATAAGGCTACAGAATGGACTGCGAATAATATTGGTACTGCAAGAAGAGATAAGCTTGGGATGTGCAACTGCCTTAGTCTCTACTCACCGAGTCGTAAAGACGCGTCCAGTTGGAGCCCAAGGAGGTGTCAATAAGACGGTCGATATATTCACCCACAAGGGAATGAGTCAAGGCGGGTTGGAAGCGATCACGCAGTTGAGCTGCAGTCTGATCACCAAACGCAGCAAAGCATGGCAGCTTGGAGTCTAAAACAAGACATTGAGATCAAATGATCCTGCCGACCGTGGATCTCTCACCTTTTTGCATCAGTTCCACCAGAGCTGCGGATGATCGATATCAGTTCCATGCACGGGACTGATCAAACGTAAGGCACTGACTTATGATTCGATCACAGTGTTTTCTCGCTGCCTCGAACCCCTCACGAAACAGGCGCTTAAACTCCAAAAAAGACTCTCCATCCACGCCCCCTAGCACTTCCACATATTCCGGTGGCAGCTTGAATGGTGCAGCCTCAAAACCTATGTTACCCGGTGAATTAGACAACATGAACCCAAAGTCTATGTGAATGAGGTGCCCCTCTCGGTCCAGCAATATGTTCCCATTATGCCGATCCTTTATTTGCAACAGGTACGTTACGATGGAATAACCTACGAAATGGGTGGGACATTGAATACGGGGATTGAGGTATTGAGAGCAGAACAGACCTGCGAGTGACTTGGCAAAGTTGCGTTGCGCTCGAACAAACTTAGCCATAGATGGATCGCCGTAAGTCTTCACAGCGTATTTCAGTACGCTATCGTTTGTGCAAAACAATAAAATGAGGGACCAACCGATTTGAAGTGATCTAGGAGAGTGACATATCCGAGCCGGCCCTCTGCCAACCGTCTTGCGTATTCGGACTTCTTGATGGAATGTATCGACACGGCGTCTGTTATAGTCTCTACCAAGCCCGACGATGCGCCAGTGGTTAGAATTTGGAAGCTGAATGAGTGTTAAGCTTACGCCATCTAGGTAACTTGGTGAAAGCGAACTCACTAGCGGACCCAACATTGACAGTTCTCTTCTTGCCAAATCTGCTCAAACTGCTGTATAAGCTGAACGGCGACCTGTTCCTGGCGAAGATCGCCACCAGTTTTAACGATCACAGAGACACAGTCCCAGTTTGCTAGCAATGGTAAGTTAAAATGAATAAATGCAATTGTTCATAGTAAGGCCGTAGCCTTACCTAGATGACCATACGGTGATCCGTGCTGTATTCGACTCTGAAAAATAGGACATTGCAGTCATGCAATAGCAAAAATGGTTAAACCCACCTTCTTCGTCGCCCAAGATTCGCTGAATATTACGGCGGAGGGATCGACCTTGTTCAGCTCACGCTTGATGATAGTTTCGTCTTCAGCAGTCTTCATGTTATTACCCACGTCACCAATGCGCATCATCCCGTCTCCTTCCCTGTGTTCTCGCATGCGCTCCATTCGCTCTTCTTCAAGTGCGATCATCTCCTTCATGATACGGCCCCTGATGGCGGCTGCCTCTGCATGTTGCACGCGCATCCGGGTGGTAGCTGGTGAATCGCCAGCCCTCCCAGCGAGCGAGGGATGTAGTGGCCCACTGTTTGCCTGATGATGTGGACCGCCTAACCAGCCAGAGCCGGGGAGCCAACTCAGAGGGCCATACGGTGAACTCGAATTGACCAGCGTTGCAGTTGAATCCGAAGAAGGTAATGTGGTCACTGCCTCGCGAATGAGGTTCGCATTGAGCTGCGAAAGCATGACAGCAGCCGTACGCATGCGTTCGGAGTAATCGTCAAGCGAAAGTATACGATTGTTACTGTTACTATCAGGTGGTGGGTCTGGCAGCTGGGTGGTTGAAGGTAGTGTCGAGAACCGGCCACCAGTGGTTGGAAAGGCGGGAGAAGAAGATAACGACAATATTCCTTCTGGGTTGGGTGATGAAGGCAAGGAAGAAGTTCGAGACCACGCGACCATATCCAGCTCCTTGTTCTTCAGCACGGGTGGAAGCACAATGGACTCTGTAAGGTCTATTGGTCCGCGGTGAGACTCGCCGGCCCCGTACAGTTGCTCGACGAGGTCCATCTCCTCATCGTCACCGATGAGAGAACTAGTACTACTAGTAGCAGAAGCTACAGGGACCGACGAAGCTTCTGTCTCCTCAGTAGAGTCATTTCCCAAAGCATTTTCCGAGCCGACAACGGGATCTCCAAGGGCCTTGTGTTTCAAGGAAAGAGGTGACCTAGTGAAGGCAATGAGTTCTCTCGAAGCACCTTTGCGTTCATTCTCCTTCGTCACTATACGCTTCAGCGTCTCCTTATTTCTTCTCTTTGTTGGGTCAAAGTCAAGGTCGTCGTGCAGAATCTCAATAATGAGCAAATAAGGTACTCGCTCCGCGGAATTGAGCACAACGCTTTCGCCAGGGGGGATTCGAACGATCTTGTGGTGCGGTTGAGAGTCATTCCGTGGCACAGGGTTATCCGATGAAGAACACCACATAGGCATGCACACCTGAGATCCTATATCACGAACTGGGGTATGACAGAGAGGAAGATATTACCTCTGCAGGAAGCTTGTGGTTAAGAGCAGTCAATTCGGCTCTAAGGGCGCTGACTCGCGCAGGCTTTGGCACAACAAGTAGGCGGTTAGAGATGTGCTCGAGCGTTATCAGGAACTGGACCTGTTATATTTCATGTGAAGCCAAAGTTATAATGACAGTGGAAACTGCTTACTTCTGAACGGTAGTAGTGACTTCTGAGGAGATGTGCCTGTGAATCCAAATCATACCGTTGGAGGAGGGAATCGCCGAAATTCAGTGTACTCTGACGAAAAGGATGCTGGGTCGTAGGTATCGAAGGAGAGGATTGGTAAGGGCTGGTAACGCGTGCCGGGGATGAGGGATCAAGTTGATCGAGTGGATCCTCAGACAATGTTGACCGATGCATGTTTTGCAGATGAACTAGAGCGGGACTTGTCTGTGCAGCAACATTCGTCCGACGAAAATTGACAATTGTTCGCTTTTCGGAGACCGCAGGACCATGGGGCCCACAAACATCATTAGAAGGGCGTTCATGAGAACTAGCCGTGTGGTCATCTTCATTGTTTCCATCTGAGGCATTGTCATCATCGTCCCCAGAGTCATTGCGGGTGGTCTGTCCTGATCCTGAAGCAACGTCATTTTCATCGGTCCGTAGGCTTTTCAGGTCTGACCCGTCCTCGTCAGCACGACCCTGCTGCAACGCAACCTCACCCATGATCTCAGTAAGCTTAGGCATGGCTGGAGTTCCGGCTAACATCAGACCAAGTCCGATGAGTACTGGTTCGACATGGGTTTTAACCTTCCGACGTGAGAAGCGCGCCTGGAACGGCAGGTCCAAGCCAGAGTACGGAGAGACTGGAGTTGGAAGATCACCGAAGATGATTTCATGACATCTTTGTAACGTCCGTTGGCATACCTGAAAAGATGGAGAACTAGGTGAAGAAGAGAGATCTTGCAAAGAAGCTTGCATAAGCCAGAGGGTCTCCACAGGCATCAGCTGTGAGCTTGAAGCTACGGAGCTGTTGCCTACGTACAATCATGGCTATATGTGTGGACCGTTGTGAAATGTCTACTACAAAGCATTCCAGTGCTCGTGATTTGGAAGGCCGTGTGACGAGTAAATGACTAGCGAAGCTATAAGTTTGGTTGCTCCGACACGGTGAATACTGGTAAATACCATATGAAACCCCATACTTCGCGTAATTCTTGCGTGTCGAGTTCTTTCAACCTTCGGGTAAGGTAGTACGTGATGCCTATGTTGTCGGAATACACCATCAGGTATCGTAGAGCTACATGAACAGAGAAGAAGGAAGGAGATAAAAAGAGTCGTAGGAGAAGGGCATGGGACATGTCTAACAAGGCTCTGGTCCCCGTCTGAAGACGGTGAGCAGAGAGACTGATTCAAAGTTGTCTAGTTCCCACGGCTGCTATATTGTAACCCTTTGTTATTGATTTGTTACACGTTGACAACTTTGGACCGTCCAACTCGGATAACCAAATCCTTTCACAAGTGCCTTCAATATGCTTTGGCCCCTACTTGCTCTATTACTCTTGCCCTTGTCCTTAGCGGCCAAAAAATCAGCGCATGAGCAGCTGGTTGACCTCGCAGCAGCAGGAAATGGCCTCATACATCTCAACGAACAGACTTATGACTTGCTTGCCTCCTCGAAGCGCAACTGGTCGGCTGCTGTGCTTTTTACTGCGCTCAATCCCCAACGGCGCTGTGCTCCTTGCAAGTCAGTGACAAGCTTCTAAACACACTAATGAGGCTAATTGTGCCTTTACAGAGAATTTGACCCGTCATTCACTGCTGTAGCCAAAGCGTGGGCGACCGCTCCCAAAGAGCAGCGGGACCAGCACTTCTTCGCTACCCTTGACTTCGATGATGGGCACGCCGTCTTCCAAAAGGTGATTCCAGCATCATATCCTGCGAAGCTATATCCAACGACTGACGTGCTTGTTAGCTTGGCATGGCTTCTGCCCCAGGTGTTCACGTGTATCCCGCGACCGAAGGACCAAACGCGTCTGCAAAAAAGGCCCCCTTCAAATACGATTTCCAACAGTAGGATTTTCATTATCCTTGATTTACAAACTCTTATTGGACTCCACAGTGGTTTCGAAGCTGGACCCCTCGCTGAGCAACTCTCTGTTCACACCCCCATCCCTATCCCGTACAAGGCTCCCTTTGACTGGGCGCGTGCAGGCAGCATCGCTTCACTCATCCCAATCATTACCCTTATCTTCCGCTTTATCAAACCAGCACTGCAAAATCGCTGGGTCTGGGCCGCTGGCACAATCACTACCTCTCTAATCATGACCTCTGGTTACATGTTCACTCGCATTAGAGGTGCACCCTATGTTGGCCCGAATGGCGCTTGGATCGCTCAAGGCTACCAAAATCAGTATGGACAAGAAGTTCAAGTCATCGCCATGGTTTGTAAGTTGTCACGCACCTTACACATCATCCTGGTGCTGATCATTGATAGATGGAATATTGGCTGGATCTTTCTTAATGTTGACTGTCGTCACACCACGCCAATTGTCACCCGGCCGTCAAAGAACCCAGGTATACCTCTGGACTGCAGTTAACTTCCTCGTTTTCAGCATTTTGGTATCACTCTTCCGTGTCAAAAACCCAGGTTTGTCTGTCTTAAGCAAGATGTCTGACACACAACTCTAACACTCATATCAGGCTACCCGTTCAAGCTCATTATATAGAATCACGTAGTTTATATTGCAATGATAGCCACGGCATGCACTTGAATTATAAAAAGCAAATAAAAATGTACATGCATGAGAAGAAGTGAGGTGACAGATGACGAAAGCCGAAAGCTAAAATATATCCAGAATAAATTGATGTGATGGTCTCTATGATAAGTATCCGTATGACTGATCTACGAAGCATTCTCTTGCTGTTGGAAAACATCAACGTAGCGGGTTCGTACATTGCGTTTGGCGGCTTGCGAGCGTGGGCGACTAGGTGGTGGAAGCGGTGTCATGGGAGTCGTTGGCGCTGGTGTGTTGGGGAGAGATGTCGCTTCAGTGGGAGCAAGATTCGAACGCACCCGCATGGGTGGCTTAGCGGTGGGAGATGTGCTCAAATCAATAGCTGAAACAGATCGGGCTGGCGGTGGTGCTGAACTTGCACCGTTGGCGTGAGGAAGTGGAGCACTTGCCCGCGCTGGTGAGGCTGTCTGTGCTCTTGAAGGAGGTGGGGGTGGTGCAACTGGCTGTGCGGTTTCAGCACCAGCCTGACAAATTTTTGAGTGATATCACACATCTAAATAACACTGGCTGCATACCTTCTTATTAACCCAACGCTTGAGATCTTTGTCGTAATAGAAAGCCGATTCTTGCCCAAGACTGGCCTTGATAGGACCAGGGGCTGTTTCAGAACGCTTCCAGAACCGGCCCAGCCAGGAGCTCGGCGCCGCTGAAGCCGTCGCTGGGGGGGTGTCTAGCAACAAGAGTTGTTGGGAATATTGGGACGAAGAGGTAATCACAACTGACCTTTCTTTTCCTCCGTTTTCTTGGTGTCCTCTACAGGCGTGGCAGATTTTTCGCTACTCCCAGACTCAGCTGCTTCTTGTTTACGTTCACGTCTATTTGCATTATTGCCAAAGCCCAAGTCCTCGTCCTCATCTTCGAAGCTTGGTTGCGGCTGGAGATTCAACATGGATGGGCTAGGAGTCGCAGTCAACGTGGGGTCATCCATCAAGGAGATAAAGCCATCAGAGGAACCTCGGAAATGATCGACGGAGTGAAAAGTGGCTGTCGTCGGTGTGGGGCCAGAGTCCGAATTGTTGAGTGAAGACCACCATCCTGTCTCCTGTTGTTGTTGCTCAGAGCCCTCCTCAGCAGTCATCTCCAACGAAGGCTTTCGTGACAACGGCTCGGTACCATATGCAGGGGCGTAGCCATTTGTCGTTGAATGCCCATTCATACCTGAACCGTGTGAGGAGTAAGGGTAAGCTGATCGTGGTGGGTGCAAAGGTGCAGTCAAGGGAGGCGCTGGTGACAGCTTCCGTGTTGGGTGATAGTAATCCATGGCAGATGAGGCACGATCAATAGGCACGTGAGAGTGAGAAGTGGAGACTGCCATCGCGGAACCGCTTCTGCGGGGAGGCGGTGTACCGGACATTGAATGCGGGTTCATCATCCCAGGGGGAGGCGACGGACTTGCGGACGTTGTAGTTGATGAAATCTCGCTGAAGTGAGAGAAAGGTCCTAGGGATGACACCTGACTCTTGGACGGTGCTGGCTGAGGTGGAGGCTCGTCCCCTTCTCCAGCGATGAACTTCGTCAAGCGCCCCTCAAGCCAGCTACCGATACTATCAAGACTAGGTTTGTTCACCTTTCCGCCTATCCAAGATCCGCTCTTTGCCATTTGTGGAGTACCAATCAAGCGCTCTGCTAACCCTTTCAACTGCTCGATAACAACGGAATTGAGATAGGGTGATGGATGTGTCATTGCAGCGGTGATTGCCTCGCAAGATCTGTAGTTCGCTTAAGAAGCTGCAGAATCACACTAGAAGATCGACGCACCTGCTGGCTGCCTGTATCTCGCCGATCTCCGCGAGATACGAGGCCCTGATAAGCTTGTATGCCTGTAAATGCGGCAAACCGTGGAATGCTTCTTGTCCCTTCGGGACGCTCTTCAGCGACAAGGCGAACTCGGCAATTTCGGACAGGATAATGGGGTCAGTGTCCTTATAGAAAGCGGGAGACGCGTGTGGATTTCGTGAACCAACGAGAACAATTCGACCTGATGGACTCCCGATGCCCCCTATTGGAGAAGTCTGAGGAGATAGCAAGTAACTGACGATGATCTTAGCGCAGGAAGACATGTGCAAGGATTATACAATTACCATGCATGCGCAGCCTCGACCTGTTGATGCGATACAAGGTAGTCGCCCAGTGCTGTCAAGGTTGCCGACCACTCAGAAGACAGAGGACTGGAGACCATTGATGCCACAAGTTCTGGCCACTTCGACAATGCATTAGCAGGGATTTGTGCTGCCATCACTGGCGAAGGAAAACTAGGTGACATTGGCGTGGTGTGCGCAATAGCCGGTGTAGGGACTTGCAGTGTAGCCGTTGTTCTCGCGAGCAGACTGGTGGGAATCAGTTCCTGGACTGTTTGCCAAGTAGCTTCATATCAGAAGATTCAGCTCGGAAAATGATCACTAACCAGCAGTTGGTCCCTGACCAGAGAATAGACTATAGATCACACGAAGCCACTCTCTTCCATTGCTGGGAGGAGGTACTTGTTCCTTTCCGCGTCCAACAAAGGCCGTCCGCTGTGCATCATGAACACCTAACTCTCCCTTGAGGAACTCGTTAACAACGTCCTTCCAAGCCTCCTTGTCAATGCTGCTCGCAATGACCATCGCATGCGCCCACAGTTTCTCATCCAGCGCGTAGTGATAAGCTTGTCTCCTTTCACCTCTCACAAGGAATTCCTGTATCTTATCTAATGCGGATGGAAGGAGCGTAGAAACTGAGATGGGTGTCTCGCTCGTGCCAGCGTGCCCACCACTGAAGCCTGGAATCATACCAAGGCCGTTGGACATAGGAGAAGCAAAACCTGCTGTCGAGAGGGCACCAGGCCCACTCTCACCACCCTCAGACGTGGCAATGCGAGGAAGCAGCGCCATTCTTACAGCTGAGTCAATGTGAGTACTGGAATGCAACATTAGTCAAGGATGTCGATCCGTGGTCTGGCGACAGACCTTCCAGACAGTGCACCATCATTCTCTACCATGATCTTGAGCAGTTTGACTAGAACCAGCTTTCCCTCAGCACGCTGCTTCTCGGTTCCTTCTGACATATACATCGTCCCACGCAACAGCTCATCAATCCGATCCTCCAGATACTTGATGACGCGTGCCTTCTTTGTTTTGACTTGAGATGCTGCCCCAGTGCGCACAAGACTGACAGGTGTACCAGGGTCAGAAAACAGAGGGCCAGGATAAGCAGCGGCAGAAGGTTCAAGCGCGAATTCAGGGAGAAGTTTGTGCAACACACGTACACGCACATCTGTCGAGTGACGAGACGAGAGTGCAACATCAAATCCAGTGATAAGGTCAGGAGAGCTGTGGAAACACGTAACCACCTTCCCACCAAAACCAAAACTGATCACTGGAGCTCGAGTAGATGTCCGACCCAAAGGATCGTTTGAGCCTAAGAGAGAAGGGGAGGGTGCATATGGAGGGCGAGCCGCGGGTGAGATGAGAAGCTCCTGACTATACGCAGACACCGCGCCGTACGAGCTTGGTTCACCGGGACGGGGCTTGGGAACAAACCCGTTAACTTCACGCTGAGGGGGAATTCCCATGGGCAGGGACGCTGTGGAATGCAAGGATCCGTTGGAACCAGAACGGCCACGATAATCGGACGACGCCAGCGCAGCAACATTCTTGGTAAGTGCATAAGGGTCAGGGGCTGGAGACGCCTGACGTGAATGATGGAAGACGGGGGATGAAGTCCTCTCATACGCAGCATGCGATCTGGGCTCGTAATTGTTCACCGCAGCCGGAGCCGTCGAGTTGTAGGCACTCTTAACAGATCCTGCATGGCTCGCGAACGAGCGGACAGAACTAGGAGATGTCGCTCTGTTGGGCGCGGTATACTGTGATGGCTCATATGCAGATGCCGGATGGGGAGGGCCAGGGTAAATATCTTGTTCACCGGAGTCGAAAGCATTGCGTAAAGGAGAGGAAACCCTCTTTACCGGACTACGCAGGGACGACGCATTTGAACCGTTGGATCCATCTCTGGAGTGAGAAGCGGACCGTCGTAGCGCTGGACCTCGTAACATCATGTCTTGGTGTTGATGCACCTTGGCTCTAGGTGGAGAAGAAGGTGGGCTGCTAGGAGGCTGTGTTGAACCATTCAAACCTCCATGCTCTGCGGGATGTAAAGGTGAGTAGAGATCTTGAACGGTATGGAAAGATGACAATGTCGCCTCGGGCTGCAAACTTTCCGGATCGTCCCAGGGCATATCGTCAGACGAGTAGGCACGACTCTCTGAGTGCAGGTCATGACTTGGCAGTGGATATGGCTCAGTGGCAGGAGAAGCAACACATTGCACGTGGTCCGTAAATGAGGTGGATGAACCCTGTTTGGGAGTAGGCACTTCGTCAAGTAATTCCTGTGTATAAGAGTTTTGTGGGGGTGTCGGAGGATTCGGGAGTAGAGGAGGGGCAGCCAATGGGGATGTATGAGTGCCCGCATGTGACAACCCATGTTGCGCGTAATGATCACCGACAGGCCGTTGGGGGAGCTGTTGGGGAAAATTGGGTGGCGAGGTAATACCAAGGGCCCCTTCAAGCTGACGAGTGGCTGGCGCTCGTGGAGGTGCATAAGAAACTGGAGGTTGTGCCACGCTACTAGAAAGGTTGCCGTATCGGGTACTATCAGACGGGGGAGGGAGAGTAGGGGGCACAGGAGGTACAGGAGGAATTTGCGAGGGCTGGCCATACGAGGCATACTGTCCCAAGGCTGGTGCGCGTGCACTCACAGCACGCTTTGACACCTTCGGAGGAGGAAGAGGGGGATCATACGCATTCGATTTCTGTGGACGATATGATGCAGCCGACATCGCAGGAGGAACCTGAGCAGGAGGGGGAGGGATGCTCGGAGAAGGTTGCTGAGGAGCTGCAGCGTACGCAGACGACGAATAAGGTTGAGAGACTGATCGTGTCATAGGGTTGTACGGCTCATACGTGTTCTGAGAAGTGGCAGGTATGGCAGGTGGTTGTGACGCGCGAGTGGTAGTGGCGTTAGCGGTAGGCTTGTAATGATCATGTACTGGCGCATATGGTTGGCTTATATACTGGCTCCCGCTGTATTGTGAGGAAGTGGCATTCGAGTCCAGTGTGTACTGGTGATAAGCACTCGCTGCACCGCTGGCATTATAACTCCCTTGCGCTGTGGATAATTAATACTGCAGACGTGACAAATTTAGACAACCGACACACCTGGTGGTTGAACATACGAGGCTTGCGGTTGAGCCGTGGAGTGACTAGACGCAGAAGACCACCCTTGAGACTGTTCGTAACCAGAAGCAGAGTATTGCGAGCTATCAGGAACCTGATTTACGGGAACACTGGCATCCTGGTCTAAAGGAACCGCCCAAGGATCTTGTTGAAAATGCTGAGCGTCCTGGGGGATGTGGTCTTCAGGGAACAAACTAGAAGCGTCCTGGCCCATGTCAGATGGATAAGAAGCAGAATCATGGTGTCCATGTTCATGACCCGTCAACCCGGCAGGTGGTGTCGTGTCGGTCTCCTCGTTGCCGATGACCGCAAATGGATCTGGCCCAGAATCACCGTCTGAACCAAAAAGCGAAGCCGCAGCTTCTACAGTACTCATGTTTGCAACGTTTCTGTCCTGCAGGCCAGTAGAGCTCGTGGTCTTGAGAAAAGCAAGAAGCTGACGTTTCGCTGAGGCTTTTGCGCTTGGCGACGTGACGGTAGTGCCTACTTTAGCTCGAACTAATAATACTTTTGTTTGTAATCGTTTACTTCTCTTCCGTGGGATTATAATAATATTTGGTTAGTCCGAGTGACATGCATATGCGTGGCGAAGACAAAATCCATGATGATTATAACTGGTGTGCTCAGGTATCTATACGATCGATATGTACCACGGATGGGAAAAATGACGACAAAGATGATAGCTACATGAAACTTTGAATATCGACAGCGAAGCAGGAATGCGGTATGGTACTGAATGAATGTATGTAAAGAGTGTGCAATTAATAATGTTGGTTGCGTGGATAATCGTGGTGTGAGTGATTGCGGAATGAGGAAAAATTGATGCGAATATACCATAGCATTGCGATTGGAGGAAGGAGGGAGGGAGTGAAGCAAGAAGAAAAATCTGGTCGTAGAGGGCACGCTATTAATTGGCTGGCTTGTGCAATAGTGAGGGGTAGTCCGCAGGTTTATCCGAGACCTTTGAAGCATTAATTGTGCGCTCTAGAAGACGTTCAACTATTGGGCGTTGGTCAGATGGTATTTCATTTATCTCGGTTGTATTTCATGAACATACTGGAAATAAGATGCTTGCTGTAAGCGCTTGAGTACCTGCGCATGCTGACGAGCTGAGGACGGATCTTGGCAATCAGAATATCCTTCTGATCGGTTTCTGCCACGGTTAGTGCCCGTTGAAGGACGTAGTCTACATGAGTGGTCAGTTATCAGAACTTTAATATTAAGTGCATGGCAACGTACTGGCAAATTGGTCCTTCATCATGGACACAATTGGGCTGACACCATCAGTTTTCGGCATGATGATTTCATCGATAAGGACACGACGCTCCTCGTTACCAGCAGTGACGAGCGCCTTCTCGCAAACGTTCGATGCGAACTTGTGGCGAGCCATATTCAACATCTGACCACGAAGTTTGGAGATGACTTGATTGCGATCTTGAGGCTTGCCTTGCTCGAGAACAAATTGAACAACGTAGTTCTTTGCAACTCATTAGCCGACAGACCCGAGTATGACAATGATGAGTACGTACCCCGAATTGATCCTGCATCAGATTGATCATGTATTTGTGCAGTTCATCCATCAGAGGACGTGTTTGGTCTTCAGGCAGGTGCTCGAAGCATCGTTGCAATACACGACAGCCATATGGATGCGTGGAGAGGTCATACACGTTACCCCTGAATGTGTTGACGAAGCCTAGCCGCTCATGCGACACGCGTTCGATCAGCTTTTGGATCACCTGCAGACACATTAGCGTAGAGCATTTCAAATTAAGGGAGCGTACTGACATGGTTGCCGTTCGCATCCTTCACGCATTTAAGTACATGCGGATCAAGTTCCCTGACGAAGGATGCCTGCTGGTCTGGAAGTACAAATTCTACCGCCTAGCAAATTTGAAATTAGATGCCGAGAGAGGTTGTGAACGTGTATACAGACCTTCTGGACAACACGACAACCATACATCTGTAGTGACAGTGGGAGAATATGACCCTCCATCGTGTTGGCAAGAACTGTCTTTTGCACTTGCGTCCCATGCTCAAACAGCTTTTGGATGACCTACGAAGCCATCAGATGTGATGGCAAACGAAGGATCGCACCATAAACATACATAGTTACCGAATACATCTTGAATGAGCTGCAGGGCATTATCAGGCACGATCTCATCAAAGACACCTTGTTTCTCCTCCGAGGTAGCTGTTTCGAGCTTCTGTTGAATGAAGCGAGATCCGTGTTGATCACCGCTAAACTCGACAATATGGCCATAGATATCCTGAGAGTTGATCAGTTTTCTGTCCGCCACAATTATATTGAACACACCCTAAGCTCCCACTTGCGCGCTTTGTTTGCTCTGAATTCATCCAACAAAGGACTGCGCAAAGCTAAACCAGCATCGCTCCCATCCTGGCGCCGCCCGGGACGCACGTTTTGGTGATAAAACGGCATCCCATGGGCAGTATGACCGTACATGGCGCCATTCGGTATCATGAAGGGCAGCTGGGCACCATAATCAGCAGCATAACCCTGGTTGGGAGTATATGAGATCATGGTGGGGCGCAAAATGGTTTGGAGAGCCACCTGTTGTTGTAGTCCATACTAAGGTTGAAGGGTCAGCGGGGCCCTAGATACAATCTGACGTAAAATAAAATAACGTACCTGTTTCTTGTCGGGCATACCACCGGCAGGCGCGGCAGCGCTAAGCTGAGGAGTCGGCATGGGAGAGAGCGGAGGCATGGTTGGATACATTAAGGGCTGGTGCGCGGGGTAGTAATATTGTGAGGGGGACCGCGCGGAGGCTGAATAGTCATAGTATATACTGGACTGCTGGCCAGTAGGAGCATTATGGTGTAGCGCCTGTGGTGATACGCCAGGGTATAGGCTTGCCGCGGAAGTATTATTCATGCCAGCAGATGAGGGGTAGAGTGAAGGGTCGGTCGGGGTACTGTATCCATATCCATAATCCATGTAGGGATCGCGTGTAGCGCCATTGGTATAATACGACGAATAATCGGCCTGAGGGTAACTACCATACGGGGGACGTCCTTGAACCATCTGGGGAGGTGGTCGCACTTGGGGGGCTGAAGGAGAATGAGAAACAACAGCGTTGGACGGTGAAGAGGCGGATTGGTGGCGGTATTGGCCGCTGACGTGATCATCCTCGACTGCCATCCCTCTCAGACCCATAGACAATTCGTTTTCAACAACTGAAGACACCTGCATGGAGTCAAAGCCACCATTTTGACCACCGAAGGCAGACGATCCATAGCCCGATGTATTTGAAGAAGCCGCATATCTATTGGAGACTCCAGTTTCCTTTCCGAGAGCATTGTCGAACCTCTGCGG